CCAAAGCAATCAAACAAAAACCCTGATCAAAATATATTGTGGAATTAAGTTCAACATACCCTTTAGAGCAGTAAATTGAAACCCAGTTCTCGAGAACTTCCCCAGTGAAATACACACGGAATGATGATGATGATAACTTAAAAAGGGATACGAAATATAAACACATTGTATGGAAAAGATGATGGCTACCCAATAAACCTTTGCCAAAAATAGGAAAAAAAAGGAAATTATATAAAAAACTAAACTCATGAACCGGAGAGGACATCTCCAAACAACAAACATCACAAAATGAGTTGAATCGAAGATCTTTTGCTTAGATCTATACCAGAACCTAATCTATCCCTCAAATCACCGGAACCCAAAATTCAGAAGGAAGAAAAGAAAAGGAAGGAGAAGAAGAAAACATACAATATGGTAGCCAAAGCCGCTGCGGTGACGGAAATTATGCTCCGGCAATTCCTCACCGCCGTTCAGTATCACCAACTTTGTGTTGTGTTTCTTGTACTCTTGAAGTCGAACCCTCCACAGCCGCCCTTGTTCTCTCCAAGTACCCTCCCTCTTCGCCTCCGCCGCCGACTCCTGCTCCTTCAGTCTTCTGTTCTTCTCCTTCCTCCTCCGACGATGATGAATCTGTTACCCTCCAAATCACGCGTTCTGAAACATGATGTGTTTTCTTCTCTTTACCTCTTGTTATTGCTATTAATCACGCGTTCTGAAATAGGTTGAGAGCTATTCAGATTGAATCGATAGATGAGATATTTTTGTGATTTATTCATCAATCTTAAATGGGCTAGCTGTAAAATTGAGATGGAAAAGTTTGTCTCACCGATGAGAGGAGAAGAAAAAGAAAAATAACAAATTAGGTCGTAAAAAAATTTAAGATATCCGAATAGCTTATAACCCGGTATTGACCCAATAATAACCCGCGTACTGTTCAATTCCATGAGAGTTTAGAATCCCAAATAATAGTTTCAAGCCCGGAATTAAAATCATGGCATTGGAAGCCTTTTGGCATTGGGCCAATGCCATCTTATTTTTAGACAGCCGAACACCGAATTTGGCATTGGGGGCCCAAATTCCAAATCCAATCCCCCAATGCCATGCAAACGAACAGAGCCTTGGGGTTTCCAATTTGGTGAATTTGAATCACTAATGATTCATTATTTACTCTGGACTCTGGAGAGTTTAGGAGTTCTCCCTACTTCCAATTTATTCATGTTAGTGAGGCGTTTGATATCTTCAAGAGTGACATCATGCATGTTTTCGTAGGTCCCAAAAAAGTGCCTTGCTGATGAGTTGTATGTAAAGGTGAATAAGTTAATCCTAATAAGTACATAATGCATTTTAAAAAGACTTTCAAATCATGGTCTCTGAAGTTGAGTTAAAGTTTTAGTTTTGTCTCACATTATTCTTTACTAATAAATTTGACACCTCTTTGGTGGAATACATATTGCCTAAGGTGTAAGGTGTAAGATGCTAAACATGTAAATGTAAGGTAATGCCCATTATATGAATCCAACCATTAAAAAAAAAGTCAGGCTTGATGGTCTTGCCCTTTGCCTAATGATGGTGACTAGAAATAACGATATTGTGCAAGAATTTTATTGCTGAATGAATATTTTTCAGCAGCATATATATCTTTTTTCAGCAGCATATTTAATGGTAACTTTGATACTTAAAAAGAATGTCTTTCTTTTCTCCAGTCCAATAGATGATGATGTTAATTTGAGTGGTGCTATGATTTTCTTATCAAGAGTCAGGATAAAGTGTAAGGGCTAAATCGATTCCCTAATGTAACTAAAAACCTTATTTTAAAGATCTACATAGGAATTGATGAAACCATTGTGGCTGAATTCATATTCATGTATTTTCTTTTCAAATATTCGACGCTCCTCCTGATACTAATAACATTCAGGATTATTAAATTCAGAAATGCATTTTCAAATTACAACAATTAATCACTTTAAGTTACCATTAAATATAATTAATCCTTTGCGTTTAATGTATATGCTCTTCATGATACTAATAGCAGTCATGATTACTAATTTGTTTGCTTAGATAATTATATGCATTTCACGCATTAATTTATACCCCAACAAGATTGCATCTACTGGAACTGAGAGAGACCTAATTGATTGCGAAGTCACTTTCGGTCAAGTTACATTCAATTGATTCCAGTTTACAAAAGGTGTTGGTGCCGCACAAGTATTATGATCAGACGATGAAAAATAAGCTTGAACAAGTTCAACACCTTCCAACTTTACTGTAGTAATTTTGTTCTGATTTCTTTTGTCAGTGATGAATATCTTTCATTTTAGTTGTACAACATAGTTTATGTAAACAATACATTGAATTATATTTCTACTTTTGTATCTTAAAAGAAAGAGTTCTTTTGTGAGACAATATTTTTACAATGATATAATGTATTACATAACTTTGTCTTTTTGTTATTGCATCAGTTTATTTTCAATGGCACCAAAAAATTCTTAATATTTATCAGCATATATCAACTCTGATAAGGAATCAGTTTGAAAAAAAATCTAATTATACAAGAAATCAGTTTAAAAATATAATAGCAACCATTTTCTTCCCTTTTTTCCCGAGTAATTTTTCTTCTTCTCTCTTTAGTTTTTTTTTTTCAAAAAAATATTTAATTGGCTTATTGTAATCTACTTAGTACATATATTGTGCTGTAATTTGTATACATTTATATTGACACCACAAAATAGCATAATATAGAATAATATGGAGAGACTAAATTTATATAATATGGTGAGACTAAATTTATATAAATATAAAAGAAACTTTCAATGCTAAAATTTTTCTAGAAGTTTTCGAATCGCCTCAACTTTTTCTTCGGATTATGACGCCAAAAACCAAGTTGAAAATGTATTGTTTACTGTTTAGTATTAATGTTTGACAAGGAATTTCACATTAGTCAATCAAATTCAACACAATAATCTACTTTCACCATTTTTTTAAGAAATACATGTATTATGTTCTTGCAAGATTCATAATTTATATACTCTTAATTTATTAATGAAGTTTTTGATAAAAAAAAATTATTTTGAAATGATAAAGTATTTAAATTATTAAAAAAACTTGATAGTTCTACTACGTCGACATAATCGTCTTTTTCGTTAGGTCGACAAAAATGTCGACGTAATGCGTCTACGTGCTCGTCTTCTTCGATAAGTCGATGAAAATGTCGACGCACATAGCTTCTAGCCAAAAAAAGAAAAAAAAAGTTGCGGTAATTTACTAATTTTCCACTGATTTGAGTCTATCACATACTAAAAAGATGCGAGGAATCAAGACAAAAGTCGATGCTGAATATTTTTAGTTATATTTCATATAGCAATACCTTTTATGCGAGTTAACAAAATTACCGACTCATCCGTGCGGGTAACATTTTCGTATATTGACTGCTTTCTTGATTTTTGAAAAAAAATGACAAATTTTCGCTTTTATAAATCTAAAAAAAAAAATTTGCGTAATACATTACTTTCGTTAATTATGTAATGTGTCCATCTGCTTGTATCATGCCAAGAGACTAATTATTTCCATTCATTATTGTGTAAAGCAACATCTTACTTTGTGGGGAAGAAGAAACTTTCTTATATACAGTCGTCACTGCTCTACCAAAAAACGATAAAGCTCTTGATCATACTATACTAATTCATAGCTTCACATCAATTAATTAACCTTACTGCTGCCATCAGCCCCTCACCTTTTTTTTTCCTTCTTCTTCTTTCTCTATAGTAGATGTTTTGTAATATCAAATTTTGTTGTCAACTGTCTTTGGTTAACTGAATCTAAGCCCGATTTCGACCAAATCTAGTAGACTATTACAATTTGACAAAATTTTAATATAACCCAACGAAACCACCCTCAACCAACAAAAAGAAAACAGACATCTCTTGATTGTCGTTATATAGAGGAAGAATAATATGTAGGAAATTAAATCTATCGATGATGCTGATGATGTAATAGCATATACTCCCTCCGTCCCCAAAAAATGTTGGGATAAATATAATATATGTTGAAGCATTCGTCATATAAAATTACTCCATTTTTTTTAAATTGAAATAGTACGATAAAATATTTTTTCTGTCTGAAAAAAAAAATTGACATTGAGTTTTAGAATTTGTACTAATAAAAAGTGAATATTCCAAGTTTTTGATAAGGAGTACTAAAAATGGTCCACATTATTTTCCTGGAATTAACTGAGGAGTATATTTGTTTTTATAATTTACAACAATTGCTTTTAATTAGTCGTGATCAAGGTTTAATTTTTAATTCCTTGTCGTTGATTGCGATTGGACAACAAGCATATAAAGCATGCGTGCTTGCTAGGGACTTGATATTTATCTTCGAAAAAGGGATAACAAAACAAAAGGAAAAGAACGAAATAAAAAGTTAATAAGTGACTAAAAAAGAAAGAAAGAAACTAATGAAGAAAAGATGCAGAAAAAAAAAGTGATAGGTCAGTAGTTCCGTGAAATGACAGCAATAATCGAGAACTTTTGATTTATTTTGATTCAGTGACAAGCTGATTAAATAAGACTTTAAAATCAACCGAGTAATCATACATGTCAAATAGTAAAAAGTTTACAAAATCATTAATCAACCTGACATTATTGATTTATCTATTGAAGTAAATAGAATGTTTATCCAACTTAATCATTTCAACCCATACCCCATTGGTAACAATTTCATCATAAATCTACAAGTGAATATCGAGTAAAGTAGTAACTTAATTAGATCATTATTAATGCATATGTAGTATTCTCTTTGGTCCTTAATATAAGACATCTTGATTTGTCCTAAGTTTTATCTAATACTTATTTTCTATTAACACAAAAACTTTAAAAATATTTCCTAACAATCAAGAGAACACGACAAATGTGATAATATATTTTTAAGGTTTTTTTATCAATTAAAAATGCGTAAGAAGTAAAACTTAGAAAAAAGTCAAAATAACTTATAATAAGGACCGGATGGAATAAGAAATAGTACATACTGAACTTTGAGTTTTGTTAATACAAAACATGAAACTCAAAATTCAAAATAAATTAGTATAAAACTTAAAATTCAAAGTAAGATAGATAATTTTTCTGTTGATCATATTTTTATAAGTCGACGAAATTAAACAAAAAACTCACATCAAACGAACCTTCTTTACTTCAAACAAAATTTGTTACAGTCTCGAATATACTTTTTGTGACACACACAAAAACAAAACGGCAAAACATGATCCATACAACGAACAATTACACATTCCCTCTGCATAGATCTTATAATATGCAGGATAGTGAAACAATGTCTTTGACAAATTAAGACATTGATCATCAAAGTTGTACAAAGAAATTAAAAACCCAACAGTTCAGACTTTAGACAACATCAACTTCAACCAAAACAAAAAAAAAAAAAAAAAACCTATATGTATATATTAATGAACCTTGTTGAAGGCAAGCATTGATCTTGGGGAAGGAAGATGGTGATAGGAAGTGGAAGACCTGGGAGAAAAGCTAGCACATCTCCTCCTTCTAGAACCTCCATCCTTAACATCATCACAATCCATCTCCATTAACACCTTGATAAACAAGCCAACCTCGCAAGGGAGCTCAAGAGGTCCATCAATGGTGAACCCGTACTCGGATTCAGCTTCCTCAAGCAAAATCTTGAAGAGTGGGTGATTCAAACACTGGGTTTTTATGCAAAATTTCTGCTTCTCTTCTCCAACGTACACCCAAAAACTACCTTCGGGGGCAACCCGGTTTCCGGAAGGCCACGATTTGCTCCTCTTCATTCCACCACCAAGTGATTTGCAATATCTATTCCATGCCCTGAAAATCAAACCCTTCTTCTTGCTCCTCCCGACGCCGCCGCCACCGCCGTCTTCTTTCTCCTTGATACTCATCAAATCCATGTCTTTGTTGAACAAAAAAAAAAGTCTAGCTAGCTAGTATAGTATTGTATACACGTATGTGTATATACACTTGAGTTGTGACAATTTTTGATGGTACAAAGTATGAAACTACTGAGTACTTAGAGTAGAGTTTAAGCTAACCTCGGTCGTAAACCAAATTAAACATGACCTGGGATCTTGGTCTCATGGTGTTACTCATGGTTTCATGAAATTAGTTATATTGGTTTTTTTTTTTTGTTTTTTTGTTTTGTGTGTAAGGAATGATAGAAAGTACTACTACTAACTATATAGGGATTTGAGGAAGTGAAGCAAATTGAGATTTGTAATAAGAGAATCACAAGAATTCCAAGGGGCAAAAAATTTAGAAGGGGAGCGCTGGAACTTAATTGGAAAGGGGAAAGAACAACTCACGGGAACAATTGCGTTCAGTGTAGGTTATCAATCCAACTAGCTTAGCTTGGTCCTCTTTTATATAGATGGTACGAGGGCTACTCTTGGTTGCTTATTTTCTTTTCTTTCTTTTTTTTTTTCATGAGGCCGGAGGGCTATTATTGGTACTTTCATCTAAATGTCAACTTGGGTCCGAAGTCTTTGTTTTTTTTTTTTTTTGGTTTCTTTATTTTGTTTTTCCTTTTCTCAAAGAGTGAGTAATAAATTACTAATGACCTTTTCTTTAAAACAATAATGCAATTAGGGCTATTCAACATTTAAATTAGTAATTTTCCAAAAAAAAAATAAATTTACTATCTGATATATGAAGCTAGCCAGGAGGATACCTTCCAGTGTGCTAATGACATTAAAACCAAATCACATTGACTAGATTAATGCTTTAAAACTATAGTTTCTTATTTTCGTTAGTCACTTTTTAATGCGTATGTGTTTGTCCAGTGGAAATATACATATATAATGTGTATGTCCTTTGGGTTACGCGAGGGGGCCATTAGTTGGTTGCTCAACTAAAAAATTCATTAGTAAGTTAATTTGTCATTTTTGGATAGACTTCTCAGCTCTATTATGCAAGATTTGACTAAGCAGCATTTTTGTATTTAGACAGTTTAAAATACGTAGCAATAAAAAAAGGAAGAGAGAGAGAGAGAGAGAGAGAGAGAGAGAGAGAGAGAGAGAGAGAGCTGAAGCGAGATTGTCAACAACCATACACAAAGCCCACAATCTCAATTTGGATAGATTCTCTTTTTTGCCTCTTTGGTAGTCAAAGGGGCTGTGTTAGTACTTACAACTCGTTTACTTGACTAGCTTCCACACTCACTGAAACTGGAAACCACCAAACCACCCGGCGGCGGACAGTCTTGCAGGTTTGATGGATCACCAATCCGAGATTGGAGCGTGCTTCCGCCTTGATGTAAATGGGATAATTAATTTACTTATGCAATATTGTAATCGTTTCATTTTTAAGCTTATTGTCTAACCTCTCTATCTCTTCGTTCCAGTAATAATATAAAATAAAAAACACACACCACCATCAAAATTTTCCTTCTTAAGAAAAATCATCAACTTCAGAACTAACCAACAGAAAATAAAGCTATGTGATCCAATGAACAACCGTCCGTCAAATCAAGGGGACAACCGTCAAATTATCTCAGGGTTAATGGCTCCTTATGTCCATAATCAGAGTTTTATTCCATATTTGTTGTTCTTCATTAACTAAGTACAAATGAAGCATTCGTAATTATTAGCCTCGCAGTTACCTTACTCGTCCGGTTAATTAACAACCCTTTTTATTTGTTGCTTTTTTTCTTTTTTTTTTGGTTACGAAGGCACACTGTAGTAAGTTATAATATTGTAAAAAAATATATAGTACATAACTGCTTGACTTCAGGTCGATCGAACGGTTATTTTGAGACGATATAATATTTTTTTTAATATAGGACGCGTTTTTTTGAATTGGATACGTAATGAAGAGGCTTAAATAATTAAATAGAGTTGCAATTGTAAAAATTATTAGAAGGATTCCGATTACGTGTGTGGATAGGAACAATTTGCCGGCCGACGTCGATTGAAATTTTTATATTCTTTCAATCTATAAACCAACTTCTTGATTATTTTTCATAGAAGCAATGCCAACTTATCATTCTGGGGGGAAGGGGGGGGGGGGGTTCAGTATAAAAAAAACTAAAACCAATTAATTACAGCAGCATCCAGATGTTACCGAATGACTGATCAAATTTCATTAGCAAAAATTTAATTAAATATATTACTTGCTATTGTCGGCTGTGGATATTAAGTTATTGAAATGATTAAACAAAGTTGAATAAGTCCACATCATTTTAAAAATTATGCAGCTAATTCCGGAGTTTTTTTTTCTAAACTAACCTAATCTATCAAATTATGTCCATAAGTAACACAAATTGAAATTTTATTCCTTGACTTTTTTCACAGCCTCGTAAGTATATAATTGACAAACTTTTACTTCTTCATCTTCTTTATTCTTCTTTCCGCCGCCGCACCATCCCTCACAGTCCCTATCTAAAAATTCGTCCGCATCATTCCTTCAAAATTCAGAACCCCAATGGCATCCTTGTCCTTTTTGTCAATTTGGCTCAATCATAGACTACGCCTACTCTTGTGAATTGCTTTATTTCATTTGGAGTAAAATATCCAAATGGTCTCTTACATTTGGATTTACTTGAATTTATATCCTTAATATTAACAATTCAATATTGTAGTCCTAGACATTATGTTTTTACACTTTTTTGGTCCCATTTTACTGTTTCGATTACTTTTCCGTCCAGCTCGATGTTAATCGGCAGTTGACACTCCGGAATCAGAGGTATTTTCGACTTTTCATATAATTTGAACTTCTATTAAAATTTAAATCATTAAAAATATTATAAAAATTCACATTTATTATTTAATTAGTAAAATATTATTTACTAATTTAAAATATTATTTTAAAATGTAAATTATTTTCAAAGTTACTTTTTCTTTATCATTTACTTTAATGTTAATTATGTTGTACTTTTAACCCCATCCCACCGTAATTTTAAAAATTTATCGAGTCATAGTAAATAATTTAAAATTCAAATTAAAAAAAACCAATAAATCCTAAATTATTTCTAAAATTTTACTGCGGTATAGTAATTAATTCAAAATTCAAACTTTTTTAAAAAAAAAATACAAGAAAATTATGGGGTGAAAATCCATATAAAAAATGGTTTATTTAAATTTTTGGCTTTGTTATTGGTTTGAATTGGAGATATAATTTAAAATGTGGCTTTAGTGAAAATTCAAAAAGTTGTAGGTATAGTATTTCAAATAAAATAATATTATTTTTATACCACCATCTCCACACCTCTACCACTGGCATCCGTCGCCGGACCACCCACTGCTGCCGCCGGCCGGCGACCGACCTGCAAGATCCCAGCGAGATTCCGACGACTTGGCTAGAATTTGGCTGGAATCAGGCCTGCCGGCAGAGGCCCGGCGGCGGCAGTTGGTGGTTCAGCGCGGGCGCCGGTGGTGGAGGTGTGGAGGTGGTTGCGTAAAAATAATATTATTTTATTTATAATACTATCACAACAACTTTTTAAATTTACACTCAAAATCATATTTTAAATCATATCTCCAATTCAAACAAAAAATGAAAATAAATTTTTTTTATCCGGATTTTCGCCCCTCAATTTTCTCCCTTTGGGCCCGCTGAATTTTTTACTTCGACCGAATAAAAAATTAGAAGGTGAAAATTCAGATAAAAAATTTAGTTTACTTTTCCTTTTGTTTTAAACAAAAAAATGAAATTTGAATTAGTTACTGTAGTGCGGTAAAATTTTAGAGCGATACAGGGTTAAAAATGAAACGTAATTAATAGTTATTTTGTATCATAAATAGAAAAAATTAATATTTTAAAATAATGTAAAATTAAATTTTATATTAATATTTTAAATTAATAAAATAATAGTTTAAAAATTAAATAATTAAATGTAAATTTTATTATATTTTTAATGATTTAAATTTCAATGAAAGTTCAAATTATATAAAAAAGATGAAAATGCCCTTGATTCCGGCAGGTCAACTATCGGTCAACATCAAGTTGGACGGAAAAGTGATCGAAATAGTGAAATGAGACAAAAAAAAAACGTGAAAACATAATGTTTGAAACTACGATATTGAAATATTAATATTAGAAACGTAAATTCAAGTAAACATAAATGTAAATGACTATTTGAACATTTTAGTGTTTCATTTGAGGTATCTCATTCGTTGCAACAGCCAGGACACACAAAGTGACTTTTTTTTGCAGCGTAAAATTGGAGTTTTGGCGGAAGAGTGGAAGACAACTTCTTTTACGGTTTAGTGTGATGGTAGATTGGGAGTGATGGTTTTGGAATTTGTTGGTGGTTGTTTGCGCCATATTGTTCATGGTCTTCTTTTTCTTTTTTTTTTTTTTGGTGTGTAATTTATAAGTAATTTCGAATAGATTTTTCAAAAAAATTATTGCTGAGTCTCTTTTTCAGAATTGGATTATTGATTGATGTGTTGAGATGTTCTTTTAATTTAATTTCAAGATGTGATTTTGTCAATGGGGTTGACATTTCCTTATTAAAACTTTGTTTGAAACATTTCATCGAAGATGGTGGCTGCAGTTTTGCTTTTGGTGGGCTGTAATGGAGGCTAAAATGCAATGAATTCGAGTCAGAACTGCGAAAGAATTTTTTTTTAGATGTGTGGAAGATCATTGAACATGCATGAAAGGAAAAAGAAAATAGTAAGAAAATGTAATCAAACAAAAAAAAAAAAGAAGGAAAAAGATAAGACAAGACACAATGCTACGGTTGAAAAAGCAAGAAGAATGAAATTGTAGGAGATTTGGGGAAAAAAGAGGGACTGTTTGATGTGTTCATGTATCCATTCATTTATAATTCCACAGTGACGATACATGGTCATGAAAAATTAACAATTTCCACAAACTGGAGGAAAGAATGGTGGTGAGTCACCATGGAAGAGAAAAAGATGAAGATGGGGTAAAACTTTGACAAAGGTAAATATAGTGGCTGTAAAAAAGTCAAGTATGGAATAAAATATGAATTTGTGTTATTTAAGGACAGTTTCATAGATTGGGTTAATTTAGAAAAAAAAAAAAAAACTCGTTAATTCCGCACCACATTCTTTGATGTTTGTGGCAGTTAATTATTAGCCTTGCATAATGTCACCGTGCCTTGTTGTATGCTAAAGCTAAATGATTTATTTTGACTAAAAATTGAAGGTGGATCTAGGGCAAATAATATTAAGATCCTAAGTACACCTTGCAAGGTGTACTCAGGCAGTGCGTGTATCACAAATTTAGGAGAAAAAAGTGATCATTTTAGTCCAGATTTTTAGTTTTCATACGCGCATTTAATCATCGAATTTTATCCCCATTTTTTTGGTATTTAATCCCCATAATGTTATCCCTTTTTTTTGGCATTTAACTCCTTGATCTTATCCCCTTTTTTTTACGCACGTTTAATTTTAAACCTTTTTTTTTTTTACATATCATGTTAGTTTTTATATTATTTTATTTTATGAGATAATTTTTTTATAACGATGGATTTTATTTTAGTAAAATTGACTATGGTTAATCATTGAGACTTATGAATATGGAGAATTAATGTGTATTTTCCCAGTAATGAATAACCAACGTTTTAGAAAATGAATAATGTTATGCAATTATTGAAAGATGATTGATGTAGAATGTATTCGTTTTATTGATAAATATACATGCGTAAGGTAATGCGTATTATATGGTTAATGATGAACAGGAATTTCATTGTTGTTTTCTGACAGATGGTGTATTATCTTATTACGTTTTTGTGATGAACATCTTACGTTAATTAATGAATAACGAGTTCTTATTGATGAATAATTGGACTATGTTTCAACTCTTAGGAAGAGGCTTTTGCTGCTTATAATTCTAGCGCATTGTTTTTTCAATAAAAAGGTTCAAAGATTGGAAAATGTCCAAATATGGTGTTGTCCATTGGAAACAATTTGCATGTAGCAAACAAGGAGTAAAAAATTCATGAGGTAGATGATATACAATAATGAATAATTATACCAAACTGATGAATACATCAATTTCAACAATGAATAATTATACCAAACTGATGAATAATACAAAGATCTACTAATTTATCAAAAAAAAAATACTAGTTTACAAAACTGCTGAATAACCCTCTATATCAATGCCTACACTTATTATGGTTTGGTCTTTTTGCAGATTCAGATATCCTGCTTCTTTCGGCTTCTGATTGATGTTCTTCGCTCATGCTTCTTTTAGATTCTGTCTGATATTCTTCGCTCATGCTACAAGATGTTTATAAATTCCATGAATAACTTATCAGATGTGATGAATTTTTTAGTGTGTTTCTTAATATCAACGTATCAGATGTATCACAAACTTAATGAATGTCTATTCGATGAATTAATGAATAAATGTATATAGATGATGAATAATCTGGGATTATGAAATCGAAAAATTAATAATAATTGCTGACCCAATGAATAACATCCCTTACGGATGATTATCCCAAAACAAATTTTACAACAAATTATGATGAATACCAATTACCAAATTGATGGACAAATTTAACGAATAAATAACACATAGTTGTGATAAACGATGAATCTGGCAATTTCAACAATGAATAATTATACCAAAAATTGATGAATAATACAAACATCTAGTAGTTTACCAAAAAGACAATACTACATAGTTATAGTAAACGATAAATCCGATAATTTTAACAATGAATAATTATACCAAACTGATGAATAATACAAAGATCTACTAATTTACCAAAAAAACAATACTACAAAGTTATGGTAAACGATGAATCTGACAATTTCAGCAATAAATAATTATACCAAACTGATGAATAATACAAATATCTACTAATTTACTAAAAAAAATAATACTACATAGTTATGGTAAACGATGAATCTGACAATTTCAACAATGAATAACTATACCAACCTGATGAATAATACAAAAATCTACCAATTTTCCAGAAAAACAACATCCAACAGAAGAACAAAACTCTAAAATTGATGAAAAAACATCGTCAGTCAAATGAATATACCTTACATTTACAGAATCTAAAAAAAAAAAAAAACACCAATGGTTGAATATGAAGAAAACTTTAAACTTGATGAACAGATATGCATAATCGAATGCATATACAGTAAATCTACAAAACCCATCAAAAAACGCATCAATAGTCCAAAAGATTAATAGTATTACCTTCATTCATCTTCACTTTCCGAACTGCTTCTGTTCGGTTCAGGATCCTCAATCAGTGGTTTCTGCGTGGATGAATTTTGTTCATGTATTACCTTAAATCACATCTTGAACAGAGTATATTTCCGCAATTTCTACTGGATTTGACGCACAATCTGATTCCGTCCCAAAAATTCCAGCCGACGAGAGGTTTTCTGGCCAAATCGCAGTAGAGAAAATTTAGTTTTTTAGTTTTTTTTTTTTTTGTTTGAGACGGCTTGTGATGAATGGGGTGGAAGATGGATATGGTTAATGGCTGAAAATTAGGAAGAAATGGTGGGATTTAAAATTCCAAAAATCACACAAAATGAGGAATTAAATGGAATTGTTGTAAATATTGAAAGATGTCTATTTTTGAGTTGCGTGAGACTCACAGGTGTACCTAGGATCCCTATATTATAATTGGTGGATCTAGTATCTGATGTAGTAAATAACACCTTCTTAGTCTCCAAATAAATAAATAAAAAATGATACACAGTATTTGTTACATAATTAATCGAATAAAACTCCAACAAGTCTCATTTTTTAAGACATAGTATTAATTGAATATTGACAACTAGTAGAACAATTGTATACAACAGCAAAAATAAATAAAGAGATTACCCTCACCAGTCACGAATCACAATCTATGGGCCAAACGGTTACAAATTTCTACGGTATCTTTGTATATCTCAATAAAATAATTCAACGTATTTTTTTTCTTCTTCTGTATAAAAAACCAAAACGAAGTACATTTTCCAGATGTGTCCTCAAAGCGAGATTTTATGAGAAAAATATTGGTCGGTGATGATGAATGTGTGATACATATACAGTACTATTTGATTGTGATTAATTTGGTTCGGTTTTAAGGGGAAAAATTGATCAAGGTATTTAACTTCGGAAAAAAATTACTCCGACATTTGAGATTATTATCGGAATCCACTTTGTCACGAATCTTCAAATTACAGAACGTGGGACCACTACATGCCAACGTGGTAATAGTTGAATAGTCAAACCGCTATTCACCGTCTACTACACAGTTTATATATATTGCGAGTATAATAATATCTCGCGCCTTAATTCTAAAAAGTAAAAACCCAAAACCCTAGTCCGAATTCCTGAAAATCCCCCTCATCCAATCATGGAAATTAAACAAGAAGAATCCTCATCGGGATTCTCGCCAGAATTGGAAAATTCAGAGAAACAAACCGCGAACAACAACAATGCTTGTGACAATGTTGGTCCTGGTTTCTCCAGTCCTATTTTACTGGATTCCGATTCCGACGACACCGACGACGATGACGAAGGCCGGTGGGTTTATCAAGAGCGGCCGGAAAAGAGACAGAGAGTTCTGGCAGCGCTGCCGGTTGGGTTTCTCGATCCTCTTAAACCCGAGGAACGTCTCGCCATGCAACGTATTCTTCCACGTGACGATGATGATCATGATATGGAAATCAACCCAAGTGGCAGTTTTGTAAATAAGGAGCCTTTGGTGGTGGCGAAGGCGGCGGAAAGCCGCCGTGATAGTGGTGGGGAAGTTGTAGTGAAGAGGAAGAGTAGCAGTGTTAGGGAGTTTTGGAAGGCTGGGGATTATGAATTATCCGGTGGGGAATATTCTTGCACCCCTTCCGAATCACAAACTGGTATACAAATTAATATACACTCAGTATCAAATACTAATTCGTTAAAATATATATAGTCTCTGATGTTATGTTTATTTCTTTTTGGTTCTTATACGCAGTTGGAATTGATCATGTTAGAGTTCATCCTAAATTCTTGCATTCCAATGCCACCAGCCACAAATGGGCTTTAGGAGGTGAATTCTTTTTTTTTTTTGCCCTCTTCCAATTTGGTAGCACGTACATATTTCTGCTTTTGTATATATATATATATATATATATATATATATATATATATATATATACATATATATATATATATTTCGCTGATACGGATGGTTTGTTGGTTTTTCTGGACAGCTTTCGCGGAGCTCCTGGACAATGCTATGGATGAGGTGAAACAACTGCATTATTAAAATCTCCACTTTGTTTTCTGATTCGGATTTAGGCTGTAAACTAAATGTAGTAAGTACTTGTTTGCTAGTTCTCACTTCACTCTTGATCCAGGTACCTAAGGGGGCTACCTATGTCAATGTGGATGTGTTAAAGAGCAAGAAATATCATAATGCAATGTTGATGGTACAAGGTACGGGCATTTGCTTTTTATATATCTTTCTTGTTAATTTGTGAACCGTAAGTTGTCCGATGAACCTAACATGTTTCTAGAAGTCAAAAGCTTTCATGTAATGTTTGTGTTAACAGAGAAACAGATGACGAGTCGTGACACATTTATATATAAAGACTTAAGTTTTTCAAACAAGATTCACATCTTGTCACGGATTGAATACATGATATAGACTTAACCGATATAGAGTAGCACTTGTGTTTAGAGTTTCATTGGATACATGATCTGTAAATAGTGAAAATCATAATATATTTTCTTGCTTTCAAAAATCAAATTAGCGGATATTACTTGTAATGGTTACACAGTATGTTGCCTTTTTGATGAATTTTTTCAATTGCATGTATCCTTACCCTTTGTTCGTAATTAACTTCTCAAACCGACTAAAAATGCAGATAATGGTGGTGGAATGACTCCTGATGACATCCGCCGATGCATGTCTCTCGGCTACTCAGCCAAAAGCAAGTTAACAAATACCATTGGACAATGTGAGATTCACCACTTTTTCACTTGTTGCACATAGAACTGATGAAACAATGTCATCTGTCACATAATTGAAGTATATATCACATCGATATTATAATTTCTCCAGCTTAATTTGCTTTTTCCTTCCCTTAGATGGAAATGGTTTCAAGACCAGTACAATGAGGCTCGGGGCAGATGTTATTGTATTCTCACGCTGTGGAGGGAAGGATAATAGAAGGTAGTAATAACGTAACTATCAAAAATTCAGCTTCCTTTTGTTTATAACTAATCACATATGCATTCCTGTACTTATGAGAGCTGACATATGGGGTTTTCTCTTTTTATCTGTAGTTGCACACAGAGTATCGGAATGTTGTCATATAGCTTTTTAATGGAGACAGGGAAAGCAGATATAGTTGTTCCCATGGTATGTGCATTTTACTAGCTACAACTTGCTTACGTGTTGTTATTCATGTTTCTTTGTCGCTTTTTATTTTACATTTTATGTCTTTTTTTTTCCTTAATAACGCTATATTTTTGTTGGAAATCAAAAAGATTGATTTTATGAAAAAGGGAGATGACTGGGACATTATGATACGTTCTAGCCTAGATGATTGGAACCGGAACCTTGATTTGATATCACAGTGGTCTCCGTATGAAACTGAAGAAGAACTTCTTCAGCAGGTGAGTAATCTAGCATGACTTGTAAATTACCAATTTGACATTTTGACCACCCCATTTGACTTCTCTGTTTTTTATGTGGTGGGTGAAGTTTGATTATTTGAAAGATCAAGGTACGCGAATCATAATATACAACCTTTGGGAGGATGAGCAGGGATCACCAGAGCTTGATTTTGACTCTGATGAACATGTAATCCAATTCTTTTTTTTTAATCTCATTTTCACATTCACTTTTCCTGATTCTTACTGTACTTCTCCAAATGCAATTTTCAATGTCTTTAATTCCCTCGTGTTTCTGACTTCAGGATATACAAATCAGAGGTGTAAACCGGGATGAGAAGAAGATTCAGATGGCAAAAACCTATCCTAATATCAGGCATTACCTAACTTATCGGCATTCCTTGAGGGTATAACTGTTTTTCTTAACTTATTTCTACTTGAGGAATAATAGCTTCATTTTCCCTGATGAGTTAGTGTCACTTGTGGATACTAAACTTGGCTTGTTTGTTTTGGGTTTAGCATTATGCTGCCATGTTGTACCTGAGGATTCCACCTGGCTTTCGCATTATCCTGAGAGGCAAAGATGTCAAGCACTACAATGTAGTCAATGATTTAATGCATTCAACATCAATTACGTATTGTCCAAAAACCAATCCTCAGGTAGCACTGATGATGTATTCAAACGTTATGCAGTTTTGTTCATACATTGTATCTTTTGGTATCGTTTAAAAGCTAATATAGTTTTGTGTCTTTTCCACATCACTCTAGGTATCTGCAGAGTTGCATATTGGCTTTATAAAGGACGCACAATATCATCTTGATGTCCAAGGATTCAACGTTTATCACAAGAATCGGCTTATTAAGGTTGACTATATAAATAATCGTTAAAATGCAGACTTTGCACTATATGTGTGTTTATTGTCTGCTCTTGCTGATGAACCTGAAACCTCGTTTTCTACAGCCTTTGTGGAGGGTTTGGAATCCTGCAGGAAGTGACGGCCGAGGCGTCATTGGTAGCATCTGATAATTCCATCTCATGATGTATTTACTTTGTTATGTCAATAATTTGGAGAACAATTTCAGTGACTTTTGTTGAATGATACAGGTATCATAGAAGCTAATTTTGTTCAACCAGCTCATGATAAGCAAGGATTTGAACGTACAACTGCCTTTGATAGGCTTGAAACGCGTTTAATAACCTACCAGAAGAATTTCTGGTTTGTTCATCCTGGATCTCCTTTTTTTTTTTTGGTCTGATCATCCTGGATCCTATTTCTTTGTGTGTTTGTCTTCTCATAATGTTCAAATGTGACTAAATGATTCAATTTAGGTCTCAAAATTGCCACAAAGTTGGCTATTCTCAAAGAGTGTGGCGACAGAAGCCTGTATCGGCAGAGAAAAAAGATACAGCTTCTCCACTAACTCAAGTTCCAGCCAAGGTTAGGCCAAACTTAAGGTCCGACAGCAGAAATGACCACAGATCAACTGTTAAAATAGAGATGACAGATATCCAGGATACACCAACAGAAACACAGTCACGATGTGTGATGGTAAAAATAAACTGAAATTTTACGCTTTCCCTGAAGTTGATTCGGCTACATGCTAATCTCTTACATTTTCTTGGATAACAGAATTGTGAGGATAATGAAGTTCCCGTAAATGACTCACAAATGATAGCCAAATTAATTGCAGACAATAATTCCCTGGAAGAAAGGTTTCTTCTCAACTTTATTGAATATGACACATCTGTTTCTCTTAGTTCAATGCATCAGGAACATATTCTCGTCGATTTAATGTTCCTCTTTTTATTCTCTCTTTTTTTGTCAATGCGTTTACGTAGGTTAGACGAAGTCTTACAGGAGTTGCAACGTGAAAGAGAGCGAAACCAAGCACTTGAAAACAATGTGAGTCTTTCTTTCGAACAAAAAAAAAGGGGGGGGATGTATACAAATTGCATAGTCATAGCATAATTTCTGTACATTATGAAAATTCGTATAGAAGTTGTATTGAGTGATTATCTTTATTAAACTCTCAAGTTTAGAAGTTGTTCTGATATTTTGTATTAAGTCAAGTTTGCTATTCTGTTCACAGCTTCGAGAAGAAAGGGAACAAAGAGATTTGACAGAGCAGAATTTGAGGAACGAGTTAAAGGTTCGTTTGGATTTTTTTTTTTTTGCCCCCCTGCGCCGCCCCCCCCCCCTTTTTCAGAGATTAAATTCCTTCACGTTACCATCTTGCACAATTTGTAACTCAAACTTCTGTGATGTCGTCAAAATTGCAGGATCTTACTGGAGTCAATAGGAAGTTATTTGAAAAAATAAAATCATTAGAAAGTCCAAATACCAAAATTAAAAACTAAATAGTTGTGTTGTATATACATAATAAGAAGAATATGGAATTTGATAGATTTCAATTCATCTGCAAATAGCAAGGAGGTGATTAAAGCACATTTTTATGTAGATTGTATATGAGGGCTATTATTGGCACTTCCTATATTCTATGAATGTCAACTTGTGTGCGAAGACTTTTTTTTTCTTCTTCTTCTTCTTCTTCTTTTTCGTTTTTTCTCAAAGAATACGCAAATTTGGACAATTCAGTATTTAAATTAGTCAAAAGAAAAAATCCAATTGTTATACATAGCATGAGGACATTATCACCAAATCATATTGACTCGATTAGTGAATTAATATTGATGTGCATATATATTATACTGCAAATTATATTTAAAATTGTGACGTATTCAGGTTCTAAAAAATATATATAGACATAAAATTATTGTTTCTTTTTTTTAAAAAAAAATTAGTTGTCACTTTTAATCTCAGAAGACTAATATCTATTTACGCTATTGGAATACTTGTCTATGTTACTTATACTTATTTTATTTTAACTGTAAGTCTCTTAAATTAAGATATTTTTTAACTATAAGTTTCTTAAATCAAGATATTTAATCAGTTAGGAAATTTCTTCATCACGCAGTTAAATTTTAACCAGACATCATGAATAAAGCCTTCGCCGGTTTAATTTTAACCAGAAATCATTAATTTAAGTGGGATGAAACTGTCAAATCATTTTTTTTCGAATTCAATTCCTTCAACTTTCCGTTTTACATTAAAAAAAAAACCCCCCCCAAGTCACCAATTCAACGTCGTTTCGGGTGTATAGAAGTTGGTTTTCCACCCCAACAGATCTCCGTTTTTTCTGGGTTTTGGAAGAATTTAGGCGGCTGGTTCTATGGCTATGCTCTCTCCTCAATTGATAAAGGTGGTAGCCATTACGAGTGCTGCCTCCCCATCCTCCAACTGAATTAAATATGAATCCGAAACACATTGTTCCGTGGGACTTGAGGTTTCCTAATAGATTCAAAAGTTAGCGACGTAGTGCTGCCTTCCCATCCTCCAACTGAATTAAATATGAATCCGAAACACATCGTTCTGTGGGACTTGAGGTTTCCTAATGGATTCAAAAGTTAGTTCGTCACTTCGAAGTTTACAGAGCGCTATAATAACTAAGGGAGAGAATCCTGATTTACCATATTCTGAATGGTCATTTGATCGAACCTCAACATCCTGGAAACAGGGAAAATTCAAAACAAACTTAAGGAAAATAAGCGTACAATTAAAATAACAATCGGTTTTATAATCAGGACACAAAAATACTTGTTGTACGTATTGAAAAGTTTAACCTTTTCTGAACTGACGTAGAAACATCTGTATCCCCTGCTCCTTCCTTAACAAGCTCTTCAGCCATCCCTAGTATATAACCAAACATCAAAACAATGAAAATAGATACTTAATGGTGAGAATTTAAAACCATGAAGTTTCTATCACTGGCTTTAGCAAGGTTCAGTTACAATCTTCTAAAGAGCCATCGCAACAATTATTAGTATCATTACTCCATCAACAGTAACAACAAATTAAGGAGAAAGACTAAGGGATATTCAATGAAAGTCCAAACTAACACTCACTCTTTCCTCTTCGTATTCTCCAATACGAACTTCGAGATATACTTCATTAATTTCCTTTTCGTAAGTTAACATCCTCTCCAAAGAAAATTTGGCCACCATAAATGGAGTAAAAGAGAGCTACTTCTCAACCTAAAATTTAAACAAACAAAGTCGATAATCATTAGCAAATAAATACGGAGAACAAAGTCAATGATCAATAGCACTAAACAGGCCCATCAAAAGTCAATGTTTAGTAGCACTTAAATATGCCCATTAAACTTCCAAAGACAGCTGCCTTCTATAAGAAAGAATCCATAATTAATGTATCAACAATATCTAAACTAATCGAAATTCTTCTTTTAGTCTTTCAGATTGCTTGGCATCACCAGCACACATGACAACTGTGTGTTAGTTCAGGCATAAACCTTTATCAGCATCAATTGCAAAAAAAAAAAATAATAATAATAAATAAATCATCAAATCCGATGAAAAAAAGTCAAGATTAAAGAAAACAATAAGACTAAGATTAGATTTGAGAGGGATCGAAGGAAGAATTGTAGAAAAGATGATGATTAGAAAAAGTTTCTGGAAATAGATTCCAAGAAGCTATACAAAATACAAACGGTATTTTTTACATGAGTAAAACTACAAGCAAAATTACCCACCACGGTGAACTATTAGTCCATTCTCGTTGATGAAAGTTCAATGGGAGTCGGTAGCCAATATTAGTGTTGCCTCCCCATCCTCCAACTGAATGAATATGAATCTGAAACATGTTGTTCCATAGAACTTGAGGTTTCTTAATGGATTTAAAAGTTAGTTCGTGGCCTAGGAGTTACAGAGCGTTGTAATAACTAAGGGAGAGAATCGATGATTTACCACATTATGAATGGTCATTCGATCGAACGTCAACATCCTGGAAACAGGGAAAACTCGATACCCAACTAAAGGAAAATAAGCGTACAATTAAGATATAATTAGTTTTATAATCAGGACACAAAAATGCTTGTTGTATGTATTGAAAAGTTTAACCTTTTCTGGCCTGATGGAGAAAACATCTATATGCCATGCTCCTTCCTTAACAAGCTCTTCAGCCATTCCTAGTATATGACCAAACATCAAAACAATGAAAATAGATACTTAATGGTGAGAATTTAACACCATGAAGTTTCTGTTACGGCTTTAGCAGGAAACATGGAGGTCTGAAAGGTACCTTCTACTTCCAATCGGAACATGCAATTGATTAATGATTGTGAGCTTAAAGTATTGTGATAAAAATGTTTAGGTAACAAGGGAAATTGCAAACAAAGAATAGTTGTTACCATGGTGATCAGGAACATCTGATAGACAACAGCGAGAAGTTTAGAGGGAGTTTTCAGGGGTTAGAGTTGACCTGTTCCTTCTTCAAGAGGGTCAGTTGCTCTGCATCTGCAAAAAAATAGAGAATCATAGATTATGATCTCATCACAATATACCGGCCCTCTAATCAAGTTAAGGTACCTTTTTTTATTGCTCTAAGTCTGAGAGGAAATAGAGAAGGAACACTGCATCTCTTGGGAAACAATGTTGAGGTTAAAGGCTTAATCTGGGTGCATTGAGAGTGGTAAGGTAGAGAGGATGACTTCAATTGTGGAAGGCAGTTAAACATTTTCAGGCAGCCGATCACCATTTTTTCCGTTCAGGCAAGATGTTGTCTAAAGTGTAAGTAAATCAATCTTAACGCAGCGGAATAAACACAGACTGATTTTATGCCAAGATCACTTTGTAATCTACGAATAATATAAACGATGAGATATTGTGTACCTTAACAGCAGATTCATCCATCATGATCAACATACGGTGAAGTTTGATCACGGAGCTGTTCAAGTGTCCAGTCTCTAACGGTATCCACATGAACAATTCTTAGAACACAGACACAATACATGACGGCTAGTTTTCTGGATTATAACTAGGGTTTATAGAACCGATCGATTAATTCTAGAACTTGTGTCTGTGACTTATTTATATAAGTCTACGGGTTTGGATAATTACTATGAAGCCCATGACTTATTTATTAATAAGTCCTTATAATTAATTTATCACATAAAATAATCCGTTAACTATCTCAAGTGATTGTCCTATTGTGTTTGACCCTTTAGGTTCTTAAAACACGTTGGCAATAAATATAAATTCTAATCCTAGTATTAATTGACTTTTGGACATAAAACCAACAAACTCCCACTTGGACAAAAGATAATTAGCCATGAGAATTTTAGGATTAAAAATTTATATTTATATATCAAGATTGGCCTCTAGCCAGGCATCATGACCACCCAAGTGTTAGAAAAAGTCATGGGATCGACTTCACCTTTCCATGCACAAATTTTTGTAATTATTATCCTTTCACCATCTTATATCCAAATTAGTTCAAGAATATGGGTAAGTGTTAACTCTGTATGAACTAATCAATTCTTTCTTGTTCCAGAAATATAACTCATTTGAAGTTGAAATTAGAACAATTTCTAAAATCACTTCTAGTTTGCACAAACATTTCCGAGTCATGATTCCAACAAACGGCCATTAAAGGATATACTCTTCTTTACTAGAAGCAGTGAATCCTTTATTGATCATAAACTTCCTTCCATGCTTTATACTATATTCAACTCTAAAACCACACATAACCAACTAAGATTAAGGACCAAGAGCTAGAACATAGTAATCCACACTCCGGAGACTCTTATAATCTCAAGTTGAAGGATCACTTACACTACCACCATGTAGAGATTATTTCCATTAGCACTCAAATAGATTACCTTGTAGAAATCTCTAAGCAGGTCAATTCAATGTACTTGTCCTCTAACAAGTATCCACATATTTGCTTTTGTGTCGCTACACAATAGTCAATGAGATCAACTAACTCTTACTTTAAGAGTAAGCATAATATGTGCTAGTTTATTTGTATTAACAATATCCCATTTTATTAATACTATGACTAGGGATGATTTAAGAATAACATATAAGTATGTGAAGAATCTCATTATCATAACCCTTATGATTACTTCGATACAAATATTATTCTTGGGATTTTATCATTTATTTATGTAACTAAACATGTAAAATGAATGATAAAGAAATTCATATGTCCATATGGTATAAATATAAAGAAATATCAAAATTAATTGGTTTTTGTCCATATATTGAATAAAAATCTCCCACTTGGACTAAAACCAACTGATAAACACATTTACAATAAGATTAAATTTATTCAACTAGGATTTCTACATTGACTCATTGATCAACTTGATCAAATGATAAAACCATACACATCATCAGATCATTGATGAGACAAAGTTTTTCATACAATAAAAACTACTGAAATTCAATAAAGAATTTCATGATCCAAATGTGTTCTAAACTCTTTTAGAAACTTGATGTAATGGCATAAGTTGTAACTTAACATAGTATTATACTTGGAACATTTCCAACATGTAATACTATCACTAAGAGTAAGTACCTGCAAATTGTTATCATCTTCAAAAGATTGATCAACACATGTGAAAATCTACTATCCAGCCAATGAGAATGTTTAAATTCTCGAGTATCATTTAGTGACTTTCACTATTAGTTATTCAATATGCTCTAAACACTTAGATCATGATGGCTAAGGTCTAGTACTTATGTCTGCGAGCAAACTAGATCCAATAGTGAAACTATACAGAAATAGTTGTATGAATAAGAACTAACCCAATGATAATAAAGCTATGAAATCAAGGTGTTTGTTTTCTTTCTATACAATATGTCACACATAAAGTGACAGAAAACAAACTAAATTCTCTCATTCAATAAATTAAATATACGAGACATCCAATGATTTTGACAAAATCAAACACTTTAATTTTCAAATCAAAATGCATGAACAAACCTTAAATTCATGCTTCTTGCATATCACTTATAATTGAACATAGAGCTTAACATTATATCTTATATAATGAACTCTTTTTGCAAAGAGCAACTTTGATATCCTTTTATTATAAAATGCAACTATTGTTGACGCACATCATTATGTGGTTAAAACTGATGTTCTATAAGTTGAATTTACCATTTTTTGGTTATGAACACCTTCACAGTATTTTATCACTTTCATTAATCTTTTTGAAATAAACACTCCATTTCTTAACGGTAATGTACAACGAGAAAATAAAGTCTCGCAAGAATAATAAAATAAACAAATAACCAAACTCTTTTTGGATACTCCACAAACTAGTTAAGGACTAATCAAATGTTAACATAAAAAGTGGTAACCCAAACTTTTCATGTAAATTTGATTGACCTATCTGACCCATATCTTATATGGTCTATAATCAACCATTGTAGTAAAACATTCATTACGTGAGATAACAAATAGCATAACTTAAGACTATTTATCAAACACATCTCATATATTTGATCTTATTTTATACAATACTATACTTCTATAGCTTGTATAACTTACTTAGATGCCATTTTTTTTTATCAAGGTAAGAAATATCATGATCATATCATAATATTATAAACCTTCATAAAAAATTCTAACTTTCTTTTATACTTTGAACTCTTTCAAAGCCTCAACTCTATATTTGAAAGTATATTTTAATCATCTAGTATGATTAAACTTGAGAGTAATGAAGTAAAAATCCTTAATAAATTCTCACAAGACTAAATACATCAAATGCATTAGTTAAGAGAATTCATCAAGCAACTCATATTTTACTATAAAAGGTATTTGTGTATATAACAAATGATATTACACAAGACAATAGATTTAAAATCAAAAGATCCAAAATATCATACATAATTGGATATGTGTAATTTTTTTAATGTGACCAAATTATGTTTTCAGAGGGATGCTATCTAATCTGATAGCATTTGGACTATGTGATATCATCAAAGTAAACAGTTCAAAATTGGATACTTAATGCAAAAGAATAATTTTATTTCTTTAATTTGAAAAATTTAATCGTAATATGTCAGACATAATATAAGAATTTATAACAAACTAAACGTGCATAGTGATCAATTCAAATTGTCCAAATGTAGAACGTGCATCACTTGTTCAAGTTAACAAGTATAGAAACACTTCTTTCACATTTATCATTCTACTTACCTTGTGAATCATATATATTTCAAATATATATATATATATATATATATATGTTCTTCATATGATATCAACATACCATAAATCTACAGTAACATGAATGATAAATATCAATAAAAGAATAAACTAAGTACATTTATCCTTCATAAGGATATCTCAAACTTAATATAAATTTTCAAACAGGGGTAAGAATGGAAAGTTAAAAAATAAAATGAGTTGTACCTTATTATCATTGACTAAATTAAAAAAATTGTACATTTTTCAAACTGGACTTTTTTTTTTTTTGGACGGAGAGAGTAGTGAAGAAAACAAATAATAAATGTACGGAAAAGGTCCGTAAATCCCGAGCAGCGTGAAGGCAACCAGGCAGATGATAAAGTCCTGCGACTCCAGTCATGATTCTCACCTTCAATCAAAGAAAAGATAATCATAAGTAGTAGTTAAACTAACAAGAAAAGGTCAATTCAATCGATGAAGCTCATTGCCCTAATTATTCTTCAGATTTCCCATTCGAGTATCTCGTGATGAACAAGGTACGTATATCCGGAGCGCCAAAACTTCAGGTCTTCGGGAGCGCTTCCCTTATCTGTATATGTGTTGAGCACTAACCGAGTCAGTCGAGGATTTTTTAGAACCGGAAAGGAGGAGAAGCTGCCCTAAGTCTGATTTTATGACCAAAAAAAAATAAATAAATAAGGAAAGTGAGGAGGAGAAAGGAAAGGAAGTGTTGATTGATGACAGAGTGAGGAGTTGCAGAGGTATTTTCGATGATCGGTGCCTGAGATAACCGTTTATTACTCTCACAACTTTTAGAGAATTACAACTTGACTCTTCTATTTTTTAATTTCATTTTAACTTTGATCCTAAAATCATGACAAAGCAATACAAACTTTCAGACCTGATCAGCTATCGAGGTGTCCACAATTCAACGAATGAGAATATTCACTGTTGTCTACAACGGACATCCAAATATGAGAAAAAATAAACAATTTAAGAGAATTCATTTCTATTTGCACCTCATCGTTCTTTTTGAAAAGCGTATCAACCACATCATTCATGTTTCACATCCAACTAGATGTTAAATTTTAAATATGCTAAATAAAATGAAGATATTGGTTTTTACTAACAAATATTACATGATTAAAAATTAATTAAACGTTATCCTAAGGTGAGCCCTTGAGATGTTGTCTACTCTATACTGTTGTTAAGATTACTATTGTACATATAAATATATACACAATAACTTCCTGTGTTTAGCATATTTAAAATTTGAAATGAATACATGTAAATACTGTGACAATGCTGAATTGAATGCTGGAATTTTGTTCACCAACAAAAACATATTTCACGATAATGTATAATCATATAAGATACATTTACAACTGTGAATAAATTAGGAACAAAACGATTGTCGCGAGATACACACGTCGTGCAACGTACACACTTAGAATCTAATAGTACTAATACTTTGTTGTAATAGAAACTGATACAGAAGTATACAACACGTCCTGAACTCCTGATGTCCATCCCTTGAAATCAACCTTTATTGTATGTAAAACGTCGACATTGGCCTAATTAAGTTGAGGCTTGAATATCTGTGTTTTTCATGGGTGTTCTTCTTGAGAATCCGTAGGAGGGGATGGAGGAAAATGGGGTATCCAATTTCGAGGATCTCCTGGATTGTTGAATGATGCAGGGGGGGTGGGAGGCACCAAGTTTGGTAAGGGAGGGAAATTGAATGAGGGAGGAGATGGAGGGAGAGGAAAAGGCCAAGGCCATGATGTCAGAGGAGGTAATGGTGGCAATGAAGGCAACGGGGGAAGCGATGGTAACGGCGGCAACGGTGGCAATTGCGGCCATGGAAAGGTGTAATATGGTGGGAAAAATGGGAAGAAGGTCTTGGATGAGTTGAAGTCAATTCCTGGATGGTCACATATGGTTGCATTCCTTGCTACCGGTTTGTAACTCAATGGACTCATGCTGTATATGCATTGGTTGTTTCGTTTCGATCTGAGGTACATCTTGTTGGTTGAGTTGGTTAGCCCTGGAATGTTGCATTTCAGAAGCGATGATTTCGATGATGATGATGAAAGTGATGAATTTTCTCTCTTCAAGCTTGCTTCACAGGACAGTTGAATGTCTTTAGGCTGATTAATGCAGTCAATTCCTTCCACATTTTGTATATCCAGCCTGTAAATTCCGTATCTGTTTGTAGTCCTGTTGACTATGAACTCGATGTCTTCGTTGGTTCCGGGCGAATTCGCCCTCAGTTTGCATCGAATGTGGATTCCTACGCCGGGCAAGAAGAAGCTGTGCCGCGAAAATGTGTGGTTATGGCATGGATCACAGAACACAGAGCCTTGAATTGTGATGTGGGATGTTGGTTTTTCGGGCTGTGGCGTTTCTTCGGGTAGTGCCAGAAGAAGAATAAGGGGGTGTTGGCTGAACAAAGTGGCAAAAACAAGAAGAAAAATGAGGAACAGAAACGTTTCTTGTTGTGCCATTGAGGCTTTTTTCTATGATGTGTTTTGTGTTTGAATTTGATCTGTGAAATGAATCATTTGTCTGTAAATTGGAAGCTGGAGGATAAGTAATATAAATAGCATGGGTTGGAAACTGGGGGAAAAAAACCCGTGAAATGCAATTATGATGAGCCTGAAACTGAAATTGAAACTGGAATGAATACGGAAGAAACAAATTGATGGCTATCATGCATTGGTTCAATCCCTTTTTGGTTTGTTGTTGTTTTTTTATGTACTTGTTTTCTAGGGGGGCCATTTGTTACTATCACGAATTAAAGAGTTGCAATCACGAAGCATAAATAATGTCTTTTCGTCTCCACTGGTAGAGTATTAGAATTTAGAAGGCATGTGAACTGGGGAAAGATGGCATAATGCGAACTGGAGGAGGAGGAAAGGAGGTTGAGGCGTTTGAAGCATTGATGAGAAATGTTGAATGCCTTTTTAGTTGGGAACTTGGAGGAAGTTGGGAAGGAAGGAAGGTGCTTAAATAGACTTGGAGCCGCATTTTGGGTTAAGGCCCAGTACCACGTGTTACAGTTGAACTGTTTTAATCTTGGGCCTCGAATTAATAGGGGTAAAATTAAATTATGTGATATTTCATCAGGAAAAAAAAAAAAAACAGAAAATGCTGGCTACTTTTCATTTGAAATAGACGGTTTGATACGTAAATCAGATAAATTCATTGTGATGGTTTCTAATTGGGGAGTTTCCAAGAAAACTCAGTTGAAGTCAACTTCCTGGTAAAATTATGATAGAAAATTGCATGAAAGACAAGCTAGTGAGCTACTGTGTATTTATAATTTTCTTTTGAAAACCATCTGCAACAAATTTCGCTTAGTGAGAAGGGAATAAAACATTATGCTCAACACTAATAAACATTATACGGCGTGGTTTTTTTTTTTTTATTTTTTTGAAATGGTTTAAGTTAAAAGTTGAAACCACATCATCAATGAATAATACCTCCCTCATTATCTCATGTTTTGCCATCAAAATTTGCTACTTACGTTTCTCCCCATTAAACATCATACGTCCTTGTTGTTATAATTAAGCCTGCCATGCTGTATTGATCATCTACCACAATTTTCTCAGTATTGCAATTAGCAATTTTCAAATGGTACCCAAAAAAAAGAAAAAAAAAAAAAAAGATGAACTGGCAATGTTTCATCAACTTTTGTCTATACAAAAGATGCTCTCCATCGAGTACATAAGTAAGCCAAAGGAAAGAAGAAAAAATCACCCTCTCACACAAACTCCACACAGAACTAAAAATCTCCTTCTGAAATGGAGAAAAAAAAAAAAACAACCACAGAAAAAAGAAAAAGAAAACCCCCCCACGCAGGCTGATCACAATATAATTCCAAAATGGGATTGAATTGATCGATTCGTAACAAACTAAAACAAACGAATCACACATTACATTCATCCCTGCAATCAGCCTTTTTTGAAACCCTTTTCATTTTTTTTTTTTTTTTGCTAAAATATGATTAACAACCCTCTTAAATTATGATACTACGAACCAACCATCTATATTAATTATATATTTCAAGTCACTAATTCTGATCAATTGTTGTTGTAATTTTTGTTGGATTGACTTCTTAAATGAAGTCAAAGCCAAAGAGCACCGGCTTCTTTGAGCAAAGGAACCAAAGTCCCATTAATATGAGAAGCCATGACCCGGTCCATTGCCCCGACAAGCTTGCCGCCGATGAAAACCACCGGAACGGCGGGAGCATTCCCCAGAAGCCTCATGAGAGCCCTTTCAATCTCCTTGCCTCTCGGGTCCTGATCCAACTCGTAAACGGTCGGGTTAACACCCATCCCACAGAAGAGCCGCTTGACAGCGTGGCACATGCAGCAAGAGCTCAAGCTGAAGATCACCACCGCACTCCCGGACGCCAGCCTCACCACCCTCTCCAGCGGGTCCACCGCCTGCTGATGCTTCGCCGCAACATAGTTGCTGTAACCCCATGCCTGATCCGCCGACTGATAATGATACTGCATGATGATAAATGGATAAGATCAAAGGGAGGAAATTAAAAAGAGATTTTCTGACTCGATACAAGTATTTGGACAAAGGGGGGTAAAAACAATTGTATGGGAGAATATTGTTTGTACGAGGAAATTGAGGTTTTGATGATGGATGATGATGGGAGGGGGGTTACGTTTATATAAAGAATGGGAGAATGGCAATGTGGTAAAAATGGTGGTGGGGAATGTCTGATGTTGTCGCAACGCGTGCTGAGCAAAATCAAGCGTTAATTTAAGAGTTGTTTATTTCATTTTTTGGGGGGTTGCTTTAAGAGGATGGGTAGACAAGAGTAAGACATTGGTCCAACAGGGACAATTTTTAGTGATCAGATTTAGAAACTTCCTCATTAATTAGGGAATCATGACGGTCTTACGTAGTGTGTCCAAATAGGGTCTCAGACGATGTCACCTATGAGCGATGAAGACAGAGAAGTTAGCTGCTTTGGTCATAGGTTTTTATTGCATGCAAGTTTTGTAGCGAAATGATCACCGTTGCCATGTCATTTTTTGCTTCCAGTTTTATCTGAATTTGTTCCTCCAATGTAATCTTATTACACATCCATCTTCTTACCATTATTAATGTATTGGTCAACCTATCTGTAATGTGGTTGAAATGGTGTCAAATCTTGTAATATTGATTGAATTTGGGCAATCTCGTTCAAGGCGATTCATTTGGATGACATGTTATATATACTACTAGTATTTTTTGCTTATTATGAACAATTTGATTAACGAGAAATCAGACTCAGATATAGTACGGACTTGCGTCACATCATCAGGCTGAAAAATGAACCAAAATAGCTCATGTTAGTATAAAATCGAGATCCACATTCTCTTCAATTAAGAAACGACGAATAACAACGTTCCAAGACTAAATTATGTGCTATTTATTTAGATAATTTTCTGCATTCCGCCTTCAGATAATGACTTAATTACAAAATGTTTATCTTACAAATAGAAATCAAAGAACTATATTTTTATAGTGTTCGGTTCACTTCTTCCTGTATGAAGAAGCACAATAGTGGTGAAGAAGTCAAAAGACTTCTTATTTTAGTCCACAGACTCTAAAGCTAATTAATATAAGAGGGCGCAATATTTTTCATTCTTTCATTTTTATTAACGCTTTTAGCTACTTAAAACTTAAGAATAAACACATTAACTTTAACTCAACTTTTAATTAATCTATAATCACACTATAGCTTTGCATTTGTTGTGTATTTTAGGAGTACAGGAATTAAAGTATAATAGGTTGGAGGGTGGAGGAGAGACATGAAGACAGGCTTTTTCAGGGGGAAAAAAAATGTTTGGATAAATGTGCAAATGGAGTTAATTGAATTGTGAATACAGTCGGCTGTCTCCGTCCTTGTTGTCGGCTCATTGTTGTCTTCCTTAATTTTAATCTACACACTCTATTTTTGCCATGCATCTACCACGTACCTGATGCTAACGCATGTTGTACTTTCTTTTTCTTTTTGAACCATATAAATTAATAGTAATATATCTACTGCTAGTACTTTTTGCGCTCACACTACAATATAAAATGGGTAGATTAAGAAAAAGTAGATATATCTGATTTAAAAATTTAATTAAGTAAGTAATTGCAAATAACCCCTCTCAAGTTTTACTATTTTGTGACATTATTAACAAATCAAAGTTTGACTAGTCAATACATATTTTTCAATCAAGAAATGAGTTTTTCCTTAATGAATTAGTGATATTAATCATGTGTGATGTGGTTTCATTCAAACCCCCAAAGAATAACACACGAGACAAATGTTCATTGTTGAGTTACATAAGAGAATGGTGATTGGTGATGAATGAATAAGAAAAGCAACAAATGGCAACGACGTAAAGACAAACGAATGGTGATAAAAATTGATATTTGTATTCGTTAATCTCGCGAGTCATATACTACAACAACAATTGATCTTTCCAGGAGGTGTTTTTGAAGACAGTGAAACTTGAAAGGGATTATTTGAAATTAACAAGGATGTTTTTGGGGTTGGTTTTTATACTTTAAATAGGCTTTTTAAGAGGATTGCTGCAGAAAGACCCTTTAGCGCGCATGCAATGTAAGGTTGTCCTTCTCCTTCATTTGTTAATTAAATCTGATTGGAAGATCACTTTTTGGTTTTACCGATGAATGGATTCAAAGACCGTGATCATATTAACGGTCTTAATGATTCGGTAGTTACTTAAACTTAATAAATTAAGCTTAGTACTGTTAGTACTAATGGGGGCGTGATTCTTTGACTGGATTTGCATTCTGCAGGTTGTGTGTGTGTGTGTGTGTGTGTGTTTAACAGGCAATTTGGCAACACCCATATTGCTGACTAATTGGGATTTGGGTACACTCCCATGATCTCCATCAAATCTCTATGCCCTTTTTACCACTTTTGTTTACTTGACTCGTCGTATGTTACCTTTCCCTGTTCCTTTATTTTCTAATCTAATTTACGTTTATAACTTTCTGTATGTATACAAAACTTTGTACGCTGTGGCAATATCTAACTAATTTAATAGTACTATCAAATAAAAATGTATGGAACATTGAAAATTTATGTGAGGAAGGTGATTTGATATTGCAACCAAGTAGAGTTGCTTTCTTTTCGTACAAGGATCACAACCTCCGGTTCAAGGATGCATTTAGACAATCATGAGTGAATTAAATCTTTTTCGGATACGAGAATTGTGAAATTTGTAAATTATTGGAATTGGACAACTACATTATTGTCCGATATCATTTCCTTGTACAATTTCAGAATTACACACAAACATATGTTTGTCCAATATAATACTACATCATTGAAGCCAAGTTACACGATTTTGTTTTATCCGAATGGAAAAGTTACACGAAATTTTTAAAAATATTCGAGGTCAAAAAACTATAAGGCAAAATACATCATTGTGTTATGAAAATATTGACGAATCCGGATTTGTTAGAGTAATGACTTCGGACATCGGATGTATAATATACCCAAATATATATATATATATAATATATATATATATATAATATATATATATATATATATAAAATGTTTGTGACGGAATGCAACGTGTAGTATGTATTAAAGCAAAGGTGTTGGTGTGGTTGCATGCGATTAGGTAGTTAAAGTGATCAGCGTGAGCTGAAAAACACTGCTAAAAGTTTCTTTAATTCGTACTAATGACATGAGGAGATTAAAAAAGAGAGAGATTAAAATTGAAAAGACAGACAAAAGAATCGAAATTATAAAAATTTGGGTACTATATACTGTGGGGGGGAAAAGAAGAAAAGCAAAAGAAAACAGAGGGAGTTAATGTGGGAAGGAAATGTGGAGTAAAGAAGAGACAATAAAGTGGAGGAGGAGTTCCAAGAAAGGTGGCTGCGCGTGCGTGTGTGTGTGTTAAACCATTCTGCAGTCGTCGGGCGGCGGAGGTGATGAGGTGGGATGTTGTAAGGATTCTCATTTCTCAGTCGTCAAAAGTACGGAAGCGCCGAATCCCGGCGAAACTTTAGGACTCCCTCACACATTACTCCTTCCCTTTTCTTCCTATACAGCTGTATTTTCTTTCGTAATATTACATATTGGATGATGAATTGATGATGGTAGTGCTGAATTGATGATGTAGAAATGTTGGAAAATGGACGGAACCAATGAATGAAGTGAGACAGTGACCCATAAATTAGAAATATATAAAATGATTTAGTTAATTAACTTGTAAGTTATTACTTATATTATGAGGGATAAGTGCAATCGTGTATTTTACTCGTTCACTAGTTACTCGAATAAAATTTTTCGTTTGTCTCAAAAATATTTTCTCTGTTTCAAAAAAGGTAATTTACACTGAATTTTATCAAATTTTAAACCTAAAAAGTAATTTTTTATATCGACATTACATATGTTTGAGAATATTAAATTCAAGTGACTAATTTTAAACTGCTTCATCAACCATGTATGTATGAGATTGATGAAGAAGGACGACAACCATCGTGATCGTCAAACACACACGACACGCATATTCACACACACACACACAATGACACAACACATAAACCCTGCATATTCTGCAGGCATGCATGGCAATCATCTCTCTCTCTCTTCTTGCTTTGGTACGTTTGACCGGACTTGACGCAGAAAAGTAAAGAATGGAAAGACATTTGGATCCTTCCCCTTTTTACACCATGTGATTCGAGATCTCAGTCCTCCTCAATTCTCATGTCATTCTCTCTCCCTCTTTCTTCCAATCTTTTCTGTTCTTCCCCATTTCCCAAGTATTTTTGTTTCACAGTTTTTGACTCAACGACTTATTGCTGCAATTTTGACCACTAAAGCTTCTCCAATGGCCAAGAAAAAGAGGAAGAAAAAATAAACTAATCTACAAAAATTTACTAACAAGTATGAATTGCGCCCGATTGCATTCATTCTCCTTGAAATGTAATCCCTCGCTCCCAAAAAAATAATTCATATTAGAATTTGAGTTTTATATTATTTTTAATATAAATTTGAAAATTCAATACTGATTATTTTTATTGGAGATAGATGTAGTAGTTAAACATGTAATCTAATACTCCACATTACAATTTATAATTTGTACTATTCACAAATTATTTTTTAGGATCGAAATTCCTTGTTAATAATAATTTTGTTTCAATCCGGAACATAAAGTTCATTATTACGTACACACGCCTATTTACTGTTATATGTTCAATTAACTACTGAAAAGTTTATCAGTTCTCACAAATCTGATTAACCCTAGACCGAACAGATTACTGCTGCTCGTGATTTTACTGTACTGCTTTGTTGTCTTGTTACTTTTTCTTCTTTCACTTTTTCTCCTTCACCAGTTGAAATTTTGAATTAATTAGCCCATGCCAGAAAGATAGTCTTATTCACGTAAGAACCCACTGGGCCTTTCATAACTCAAACTCACCACCAATTATAAACTGTTTGCTACTAGATATTGTACTACTCCCTCCCCTCCAAAATAAGTGTCATTCTAGAATTTGCATATAGTTTAAGAAAACATTAAATAAGGTAACTAAATTACTAGAATATCCTCAACCAACCCCATTAAAATAAATGTTCACCAATAATATTATTTCTTTTGAGGGTATGTTTGAAAATTTTTGACAAAAAATGCATTAGAATCCGAAAACGACACTTATTTTGGAATTTCTCCATTTTGCCAAAACGATACTTATTTTAGAATAGAGGGAGTACTACCTTTCCCATGCATCTTGTCCTAGTACATGAAAATTAACTTTTATATGTACAAAAAAAAAGAAAATAAATTTTATCAAATGGGTACTTCCAAATTTTATTGTTTTCTCTCTAACTATCTGTAAAATCAAAAGAATGTAAGTGTTTTCAAAATTAGCATCAACATTCCATTTTCAACTTGATTGGCAGCTTTCAGTCGGGTCAAGAAAGATGACGACCAAGTTAAAAAGGGATCTTCGCGCTTGGGGCAATGGCGCAGTTTATGAGGTTCTAACCGAGGCGCGTCTATTGCTGGTTGAAAAGGGATGTTTAGTACTAATTTTCATGGAGAGTTTACTTTTCAACTGGTCACAAAAATTCAATGCAATACTTTAGTTTTATCGATGCAATATTTTCATCTCACAACCGTTTTTCAATACAAACGAATATGGATTAAAATTTTGATTCTTGTAGAACTTTAGAAAAATGTATCCACTGTTTTATTGATCAATAAGTTTTGAATAGCTAATTTGAGACGTTTTATTTTACAATGAAAAATCAGAATTCTTTTCAAAGAAGTAGAAAATCAAAATTCTTGTAAGCGTCGACTTTTTTGTCGACATTTATAAGTAGACGCATACGTCGACGCTCACTATTTCTTCTAGCTAAAAGATAGCTGCAGTGAACTTTTCCAGCGATATCAATCTATTGCCGAAAATTAACCTGAGAAATTTTAATATTCAATAGAGAAGTTAGTGTTGAAGAAATTTTCATACCCTTTATTAGTTCGTTTAAAAGAAACTTACGAACAAGTTGAAAATTAAGTTTTTTGTAGTCCCTCCGTCCCATAATTATTGTCTAGTTTGGATTTCCATTTCTAGTTCATTTTGTACTAAAAGTGAAATATCAAACTGGATAATAATTATGGGACAGAGGGAGTACTAATTTTGTAGTGTATTGAATTTTATAGCATTAGAGCCTTAGAAAAAATTCGCCGAAAGCCGTATCATATCTTCATTTATTGTTTCGTCCCTTCTGGATGCAAACGAATACGTTTATTTTCAATAGATATGAGATAATGAGATATTGTAGAAGAAAACATAACTCTCTTCAAATCATAAAAAAATTATGATTAAACCATAACATTAATAAATTTTAATCAGTTGACTTGTTCGTCACCCTATAAGTAGACAACAAAGTCAATGCTCACTATTTTTAGCCAAAAAAGAAGTGCCATTATTATTTTTTTATATCATATTAATCTATGACTAGATAACAAGATGCCAAAAAATTTCAATAGTCAATAGAAAGTTTAACATCAAAATCTTTTCAATAAATTTTCTTTGTCGTAACTTTCTAGTCGAGTTAAGAAATCAACGAAATTGAAAATGGAGCTAGTGTTTAGTAGTAATAATTTTACGGTTCGTCGACTTTTGTAGAAAAAATTGACGCAATATTTTACTTCCAACCGGATAAGATTTTTATTATCGAACTGTTTTATTGAATTTTTAGAGCAAATGAGTACATGATAAAATTCTGTTCCAAATATGTCTAAAAAAATCTAGTAATATGAATTATTTTATTGCCAAAGTCGTATACATTTTAATTCTTAATTTCGTCGACTTAAATTCGACGTTTATAAGTCGAGGAGAAAGTCGACGTGTACAATTTCCAGAGAAAACATAACAGCGGCTGGGGGTGTGTGCGCGCGCGCGCGCGCGTGTGTGTGTGTTTTTCTTTTCTTTTCGATATCAATCTATTCGGGGAAGGCTTGAAGCAAAATTTATTGGAGAATGTGAGAGAGCATATTTTTCGAAATAGTCTTAAATGATTATGCTTTATTAAATCAAACTTAGTTAAGGCCCTTCATGGAAGATTGATGAATATTCTGGAATTCTGAAAATCCCTTTCTCTCCTGTTCTTCGACATAGAACCCTAATCCCCAAATTCAACGTTGCTGTTCTTCAAGTTTTCTTCCCCTTATCTATGCCTCTGAAATCCAGTACGTGACATATCGGTTTTGTTATGGATTTATAGAAAACCTAATCCGGTCCGCGAGCCCAAAAGAATTAAAAAAGATCTGAATAAATTGTCCCTCCAGTGCGCATGCCGGGGAGGGACCAGAATTGTTTTTGGTTTGTTTGGGTCTGATCGACGATTCTAGTAGTCTCTGGTCGTTTGTCTAACCAGCCGCCCACCGTCCAAACTTGGGTCTGTCTGGCGGTGGAATAGCGAGGCCCAAGTGTCCACCTCGACGCCGAACACGGTGGTCGCATAAGAAGCTTGATTAGTAGCAATAAATTATAAGCTTAATTGCTAAAAGCCCTTATTGTCATGGGAGAAAAGAGGAACCTTACCTTGATCTACCACCCCAAAATCAACCACCCATAAAGCGGCTTAGAAAGTGTACCAAGAATGAGAAGGAAATACTGGATCGACTTAGTCAGCTCCCGGATGATATTCTTGTCTACATTCTTTCTTTGTTGACACTGGAAGATGCTGCCCGGACATCTATTCTGTCAAAACGCTGGAAGGATCTTTGGTTGTATGCTGATAGACTTGATTTTCATTGCACAAAAATGTGGGAAGGTATGGAAGGAACAGATGAGGTAAACACAAACAATCGCAGAGAGTATGTTAATTGGGTGAACAAGGTTTTGCAATCTCACGACGCTGTCGTTATGGATCTGTTCCGAATTCGATTTGATTTCGACAAGTCATCAAAGGATGATATTGATAATTGGCTTCAGTATGCATTTGCTAGGAGAGTTCGGAGAATTAGATTTAAAATTGTTGACGTATGGTGATAAGCATCGTAACACATCAGCTTATGATTTTCATCATACACTCATTGGGCAAAGTAATGACAGTTTCGTATCTGTCTACAATTTTCTTACTTCTTTAAGCTTTAAAAATGTAAGTGTGTTTGGGGAAATTCTTGAAATTTTCTTGCATAGTTGCCCTTTTCTTGAATATCTGGTTGTAGATGCCTCTAGATGTCTAGAACAACTCGAAGTTTGTGGTCCATCTCTTGCATTGGAACATCAGAGATAACTCGGTGTTATGAGTTGCGTTCCACCATTGTATGTGACACAAACATATATAGTTTCACTGAAAGTTACTGAAGGGGACGAATTGACGCTTAAGAATGTTCCTTTTCTTGTGGATGTATTTATTGGCGGATGTTGCTACAGAAACCTTGTCGGGGGTACCATTTCCTGGCTCTCCTGTCTATCAACACTGGAGGTCCTTACCTTACGAATCACGGAAATAGATATATTATAAGGGAAATGGCTAGGGATGCCCCGCTTCCCGAGTTACCTTATTTGAAGCAATTGACTTTTGTTGCTCGTGCGTCAAGTGAAAGCAGCCTAATAGAATTTACTTGTTTAATTAGGGCATCCCCCAGCTTGGTGACATTTGTCCTTAAGTTAGAATGGTTGAAAAATATTGCAAGGATACGGAGAGAATCTAAGAGATCTTTGGCTTTTCCTCTTAAACATCTTAATGATCTTATGATGATCATGCTGACCAATAAGTTTCAGTTTGTTAAATGTAATTTATAGTACTTCTTTGGTTGGTGGGAATGTAATATATGTGTTAAGATCAAAAAGAAAAAAAAGTTTAGGCCCTTCAGTTGTGGGCGCTTCAAGTTCATTGGTTCCTTATTACAATAATAAAAAAACAGCCGCAATCATAATTCGGTAAGTAAGTCACATACAAAATTCTAACTTAATTTTATCAGCTGCTAATCAAATACGATCAATTTGCAGTGATAATAGGACTGCGAAGTGAAGAACAACATCGTAACGGAGGAATTGTTAGCATTGTGCAATAATCACTCCAAGTCATAAAGAGACGAGAATAGTCCTCACTCACATAATTCAAACAAAAATGTTGACTGTACTAAATTTTACACCATTTGATCGACAAAATGTGTATAATCTTTTGCATCCTATGCACCCTATACATTAAATTTCACGTTATCTCCAACTTGCTCTACGTACATGCACAAAGAGAATCGACTTAATAACTACATCCAAATTACACCAAAACGTATAAATCTCAAACCCGAAATCACAAAATATGGAAACCTGAAAATGCGTAGCCATAAATTTGGAGACGAATCAAATGCCCCAAGAAAATTACACAGGTAAAAGCAAGGAGGCGATTTTGATTATGTTCTTCTCCTAGCCATTGAAATAGCAACACCTTCAAAAAGCTTATCAATGTGTCCCTCCAATTCCTCAGGTTGATGCTTGATATACTTATCGGCTTGCTTTGAACTATCTAGATGTTGCCTAAACCTCCCTAAAAACGACCGGTACGCCGGAATCACCACCGCCGATATCGAAACCCGGAGCTCCGACTGAAGCTGCTCGTCACTCACCACCCAAGTGTTCTGCGTCTTGACAATTTCATCAAACATAGTGTTGAAATTCTTCAGCCGTTCTTTCAATAGCGGCTTGTTGACCTTCCCGTTGACCATCAACCCCTCGTGATTCAGGCAATGCAGCAGCCGGACCCACGTCTCCCGTTGGTAATTCTTGTGGTATTGCCTCACCACCGTTGACCTCCTCCGGCACCAGTTGTCTCCCATCACCTGGTGGATCTCGGCTGAGCCCTTCACTTTCTGGAGGATGTAACGGCCGTTGTTCATCAAGAAAACGTACCGGAGAGATGGGTCTCTGTAGAGCATTGATTTGGCTTCGATGTTGCCGTCCAGCAGATCCATTACCTTCACAATCTGGTCGGAAAATGGTTTCGGGTTCGGGTCACCCGGGTGATGATCATCCGGACTTTCGGATTGCTCCAAATTATCCGGAGATTTCTGGAAGATTTTCTCTAACGTTGATTTGTACTCGCAAGCGTATTTCAGATAATTCAGGACGTAACGGGTCAGCGGATGGACTGCTCCGCCGGGGACGGCGGTTTTGGCGACATCGTTTTTTATGGAATTCTCCAAATCCAGGAATATATTCATGGCCGCCTCCCCGAGTCTGTCGCAGGCAGCACTGATTTCTGATTTCAATTCATGCTCGGAATTTTCACTTTCAGTACAGCCAGCGGTACTGATTGCCGGAATCACATCCTGGAGGGTTTCGTACATATCCAGAAATTTAAACAGCTTCTCAGCCGATCTCTTCGTCATCGCCACCGCGCCGGCGAAATCCAGGAGCTGAATCACCACGGAACGCGCCAGGTTACTGAAAATCGGCGTGAAAATCATGGGATGATCGGAAAACACCATCTCCCCGAGTTTTTTCTCGGCGGGGAAGAGTGTTTCCGAGCAAGTCTTCACCATTTTGACCCACCGGTTAATCTCTTTCTCCAGGGAATCCCATGACATCCGCCATACGTCGTCCATGTTCAGCTTCTCGTGCTCTAGCTTCTTCAATTGCTCCTGAAACAGAGTCCTCCGCGCAATCGAGTAAACCTGGAAACATTCCTTATCGTATCCGCCGGAAATCATTGTCGAAACAATCCGTCCCATCTTGGTCACCACATCCGGCGGATACCCCGGAAGATCAGAATTATCATTCATCTCAGCAACAGGGGATGATTGATCAGAGGATTCCCTGATCAAACAAAAATTAGTATTACCGTTGGATTCCCTGCATTGGGTATCCTCTAACAGGGCACGTAATTCTTCCTCCAGGAAAGCCATGGCCTTCTGTAAAACAGAGCTTGTCCTGTTTAATGAATCAGAAGTAATAACCGCCGACGACATCGACGACGACGAAAGCTCGCTGAATGCATTTGTCAGCTTGGACAAACGGACAACGGCTTCAAAGAAAAACGAATCTTCCTCCGTCATCTTATGATTATTAGATCCAGGATTCTGGTTCCTGGAGGATGCAATTCTGGATTCGATAATCTTGGAGAATATCTCCACAGTATCCGACGGGACCTCAGCCGCTGCATTTTCGTTAGAATTCAGGAGGGCGTCGGTGATTCTATCAATGTCGTTGGAAACTTGGTCGGCCGGAAATGTTCCTCTGTCATTCACTGTGTTTGTACATCTGGAGAGACGATCCGGGCTGGAAACCGATTCAATGGGGCTCTTTGGACTGGAAAAACTAGCGGAATTCATGATTTCCCCATTCTTGTTCTCCGTTGGCTGCATCATTTATCAATTACCTTAATTTCCCTCCTCAATCGTGGGAAGAGAGCAAGAGATTTTTTGAGGAATTTTTATTTTAATTTTTTTTGGATGTGGAATTAAAAGAGAAAAGGGAAGCTTTGGGGGAATGGAGGAGAGAATTGATGAGAGGTTTGAAGTTGTTAACGTTGTTGTTGTTCTTTTTTTTGGTTTGGTTGCAATTTTCGGGAGTGGAAGGTGGTAGTTCAACGTAGACTCCGCTTGCCAAGCTTGGATCATCATTTGTGCTTCTCACGATCTCAAACCAAAACTTATTAATGTTTAGTTACGTGTATACTTAAGTACTGGTTTACCATTAAGATACACATGTACATCATTTTATTTTCACATTTCTCTTATAATTTTGGGAAAAAAAGAGTACAATTAAAATTGATTATATAATAAAAAAGAAAACTCACAATTGTTTTCATTTGTTTTATTTAATTTTGAACATAATATATATGTGTCCGACTACAACGTGCTACTAAGTAACCCCCTCTTTCAAATCTTAGCAATTCCTTCCATGTTTTGTTTTGCTTTTTTTACCAGTTGGCGGTGCCTAAAGTCTTGCAAAAATCATAGAAAAAGGAATGACGTTTCTTTATACTTCTCCTGTCTCAAAATTATTGTACAGTTTAAGATTTCACTTTTAATATAATTTAAACTAGAAATGAAAAATTCAAACTGGACAATAATTATGGGACGGAGGGAATACTTTTTAGTAATTTTATATAATTTTTTTATGTGAGTTCTGCTTCAATATTGTTGTAGGGCTGCACCTCCCTTTGTTTTTATTTTTAAATTTTTTTTCTATCACGAGCAAATTTGATATGATCGTATCAAAAAAGAAGATGGTGCATTTAAGATACTCCCTCCGTTCTATAATTATTATCCATTTTGCCAAAAAACTTTTGTCCCAAAATTATTGTCCAATTTGACTTTTTATGGAATGAATTACACATTTGCCCTTTTGTGTATCGGATTCAACTTCATAAAATGCATTTGCTCAGTTCATTCAAGCCCAACGCAAGACTCCTTCCATGTCTCCTTAAGATTTAATTCTTTTCTAGCCCAAAAAACAGAGAGATTTTTCATCACGATTTTATTATCTTTTTGGCTTCTCATTCCAGATATGGATTCCGTTTGTGCTTATCAACAGCAACAACCACAACAACATAATTTTCACCACTCTCACCAACTCTATATTGGCGGCAAGAAAAGCCAGAGAGAAATCAACATCCCACCCAGGAAGCTTCTCAGCCGCCGTGCTGCCACCGCCGTGAGATGATTCCAACGGTAAATTTGATGACCCCATCGATGGCGTGGCTAACCAATTCCAGAGATCCATGAGCTATCGACGCCCCAAACTCGATTGAAGATGGGATTTCCTTCACGGCTCAGTTCGCCACCTCACGGATGATTTCAGTTTCCTTCTTAAGACCGAACACGAAATCCTGCAAATCCCGACAAGTCTTCAGCACCGACTCAGATCTAGGAGCGGGTCATTCAACAAATCACCGAAGCTGGACAATAATTATCTATAAATCCATAATTTTTTTGTCGGTTATACAATTTCATAGACAAGGGTATATTTGGAAGTTTAGCCAAAACATTGTTAAGTTTGACCAAAAAATAAATTCTTCTATTTTGGTGAAACTGGACAATAATTACGGGATGGAGTGAGTATAACACAATTGGCCTTAAAACACATCTTGAAGCCACAAGGTAACTTTTTCCAAATTCGTGAACAACCACATAAAAGCGCTAATCTAGTTGATCTAGCTAATACAATGAGTATTATATGAGCTTCAGAAAAATAATTCTGCAGAATTTTATTATCTAGGTTTTTTTTTTTTTTCCCTCTTTGGTACCTTAACCCCTTTTTCTCCAAATCTTCCCCTCCCCAAATATATCTAAGACATTTTGACCAATCAAGTGTAATGTTTTGTCACTACTTCTGTCTCACGATTACTGTTCAGTTTGGATTGTCAATTTTAATATAAATTGGACTAAAATTTAAAATTCAAAGTGTACAATATTTTCAAAACAGAGAGAGATCAAAAAGATAACATTTCGACAAAATCATTTTAGGGCTCTTTCTCTGTCTTTGAGGTGGATTTCGTGGTATTCATATTCATACCACAAGACGTACTTAATGACTTAAAGAGTAGAAATCCACGCAACCCCGTATGTTATACGCAAGATTGAATGATTTAGGTGGATTGATGTCAAATTTTCCTTTATCCCAATTACAGGATTTTATTAAAAAAAAAAAAAGGAAGAAGAAGAAGAAAAGAAAGAAAGCCAGTCCGTTCTTTCACAAATATTAGCTACTCTCGTCGACAGACATCCCTTGCAAAAATATTTCCGAAGGAATTCTATGTGTTTTATTAAGTATTCACGAATCTGTTGAAATTTTTTAGGTGAATACTCCTTTCTTCTACAAAAATAATTTACGTTATAAAAATGCAAATTATAATACTTTGTAATTTATAATGTGATTTTTTTAAAACAGGAAGAACATCAATAAATTTATACGTATAATAAATAAAATATTGCATTGCGATTCGATAGTCACGTAATTGTGTTGTCGGATCTCTCCAAAAATAACAAAAATCCAAAACCAAACCAACAAAGTGGCCAACTTGGCCAGTGGAGATAAGCCGTGTTATTAATTATTATAGCGCAAAAAACTTCTCAGCACGCTGATTTATTCAAAATCCAGACGGTTCCAAACTATCGAACGATCTTAAGAGTGTGACTACTAGTGTTACTGGTGAGGACCTGAACTGAAAATTTTGGCCATCATTTATAAAGCTTTCATTGTCATTTGTCAAAATAAATAGTAACAGTATACTTTTTTTTTCCGAAAAAAAAGAGAGGGGATTTTTACAGCACCCCAAATCAATACTTGAAGCCACCAATTTTGAAGAATTCTCATTTTACTCCTGTCATTTTGTCCAAACCCAAATGAAGTAGAGAGAGAGGGAGAGGGGGAGAGAGAGAATAAGCCACTCAGACCGAACTGGGCAAGTCATCCGGTCCTATTCACATGAGAACGGACAAATTATTAATTTTTATTTTAATATTAGTTTATTCGCAGTATCGTTACATGTTAAATACCTCGTATTTTAAAAATTATTAATAATATTTATACTTTAGTGCTTAAACTCTCGATTTTATATTTACTTAAAAATAAACAAGTAATTAATTTTTTACTTGAAAATAAATTTAAAATTATTTGTTAAGTTAATTTATTTGAATTGATATTAAAATATAAATTTTGCTTTAATCATTATTTTAAATATAATTTTTAGTTAAAATAATAATTATACATTTATAATGAAAAATAATAATTGTACTACAAAGATTGTGACAAATATGTGCAAATAGATTAACTATTTTTTGTACTACAAAGATTGGTGATACTTAATGCAACTCAAATAATAAATTATTCATAAATTTAATGACCTAAAAACTAGATTAACTAATTACAACAAAAAATCTAAAAATTTAAAAAATAGCAATGAATCCGATTGAAATTTTTTAATTTTTAGACTTTTTAAATAACAAATATTGCTATTTTTTAATTAAAAAAATTAAAAAATTAAAAAAAAAAAGCCTGACCGGTCCGGTTCACCATATCGGACCGAACCGAGACCGGCCGAGCAATTAAGCCATCGCGAGTTAACCCGGGACGGGCAATGAACCCGTTCGGGACCGACCGTCCCGAGTTAACTCGGGATGGGCAATGAACCCGTTCGGGCGAACAAGTAGGCGAGCTCATTGCCCGTCCCGAGTTCGGGACGGGTGGACCACCCGGTCGGTCAGTTTTTTTTTTTTTTAAGTTTTCAAAAAATTTTTTTATTTTCTCTCTAGTCAAGTTATTTGATTTGAAAAAATGATAGAGATAAAATGGTTCAAATGTAAAATATATAGATTCAAGTGGTAAAGGTGGTGGCTTTGAAAATAAACATTAAAAAAAAAATATCAAACCAAAGTGGAGTTTCTGTAACATGGATATTCACCGTGAGTCCGTGGATATTCCATCATGGGAATAGTTCTATGTTTCCTAAGACGTTTTTGGTAGTCTTTTGTTTTTTTTTTTTGGGGGTGAACCATTTTAATATGATGAAGAGAAATGTTTTTTTTTTTAATATATATTGAGGAAGCTACATAGCTTAGTTATACAAAAACTCCGGGAGAAGGAGTCGGAGCATCAAAAGATAGTTTTTCTAGTACTATTCCCGGAGTGTTGCCAAAATATATACTCCGATATGGCCGGATAGCCCATTTGTGCTGAGGCGTTTGCTACTTCATTTCCGGTTCGCCTGATGCGGATAATATCTACTGTCCACTGTCTATTTAACATTAAAAGTAATCTACTTAGTACAGATGAAGAGAAATGTTCTTTAACTTCTGTTTGAATGTTGTAGGCCTCGAAGCCCAGCTTTCTAAGACATCGGATCGGGGGTATCCAAGATGGATATTCAAAGTGTACTTTCATTTCATGTATCTGGTGCAGAAATCTCCATGAATGATCTCATACCAGTTTGACCCTGACTCAGTTGGATTCAAGGCAAAGTTTTCATGATCCAAAATTCCAAATTACTACATGATTCGACCATGCGTGACATACACGTGAATTCTCCTACAGTACTTGTTACTCACCACCTTACCTTACTAGATGATAATTTTTTTTTTTCGATTTAACTCATAAAGTTTGAGAAATAATATTATGGGTAAGGAGGGTTTTGATTAGTGTACATAGTACGTACTATTTGTTATATTGTTTTATAACTTAATAAAGAGAAGGATTAATTTGAAGACAGAAGAAATATACATTTTAAAATAGCACATTTTTAGTAGTAGATGATGTGTTGTTTTCTTTATCATATCTTCTCATTCTCTGAAAATAACAAGTTAAGGAATTAATTTACAACTGTATTACTAGGCAAATGGACCAACCTGGGCCAGTTGATATTCGTAGCAGAGAAAATAACCACCAAAGACACACCACTTTGCTGGGAACAACTTAATGTCTCAATCACAATGGGAGTTATGGATATTTTTCGAATTTGAGATGAAGAAATGTGGATTGATTTATAAAAAAAGGGCAACCTGAGACTTGAATAATTTGGCCATCATTTATGAAACTTTTGTCATATGCGGATCATTGTTTATTTTCCATTTAATAATCATGTCGGTGACAGACCAAAGTACCCTTTTCTGTTAATGTTAATTCTCACAATGCGACTTTGCGAAAATTGGAGACCAGTGAATCCCAGTCTGTCCACCATCACGCGGTAGCAGCACCGTTGGGTTGGATTGCGATTTGAGAGTTCTCTTCCAAATGTAAATATACATTTTCCTGCTTTTATAGTTTGTAGTATTTTCTTCCGGCTACCTCTCAATTATTTTCTGTCTCGTAAAAATAATCTATATACAACTTATAACTTGTACTAAAATAATACTCTTACAATTTACAAACTATATGAATAATTATTTTGAGATAAATAAACGATTGATTTTCTTTTCCTTGAAAAGTAAGAAAAACTGGATTTCACATTATCCCAGTGTTCTTGTGGATTTCATGTTTATAGATAAGAGTGGTAGATGAACACACATAGTAGAGTGGTTAGGCCATTTCTTATGGACATATACGTTATTTTGTTTCTAGAGGAAAATTAAATTAGCAATCATCGGTAGTTGTTATGTACAAACCTTATTTTTCCCGAATAAGAATCTCTGATCAGGTCGGCATCACATGTTACTTCATGAGCCCTTCCACATTTATTCAACTTCTAGAATTCTGATACAGTATTATTCTCTCTAGTTTCCATTACTCTTCTCTTTTTTCTCTTAGTTGATAAAATACTGACAATAATTTTGAAATAAAGAATATTTTTTATGATTGAATTTATAGAGGAATTTAGTGGTCAACTATTCAGTTAGGTCCAGTGTGGAAGGACAAATTATTCATTAGGTTTTTTTTTATGGCTTTCATTGTGGTCAATTCATTGCTTTAAATGGCTGTGGATTCATACCGTCCATGTTCCCTCCATTGGAATATTTGTTACTCTATCTCTACCTCCTGCTTTTAGTTTTAGGTTCACACTTTTTCGAATTTTTCACTCATGATAACGCCCACCAATTTAAACTCCCTGCTTTCATTTTTTTTTTTTTATATTGCAGGGTGTCTACCGTCGACAACAGTGATTAATCTCTTTTGCTCATGGTAAGCACCTCAGTGGGTGGGAGAACTCCAAAGGATTTAAGGTTGCTCCATACCCATAGCGAAATTCGAATCCTCGACCTATGATTACGGGTGAAAGAGTCCTTACCACTCCACCACAACCGCTTTAGTTACTCCCTGCTTTCATTAGTTTGTATTGGTTAGTTTCATACAAATCTTTCTTGTTCATAGAGAAGGAAATAGTGTAGCATAAACTCACAAACAATTTTTTTAATAAAAAAACTAATACAGCCATTAACTATCATAACTGGAAGGTCAATTGTTGAAGGGGAAAAATATGTAAATTTGTTGAACAGATGGAAGTCGATTGGAGAAACCTTTGGACTTCCTTCCCCATTCAGATTAATCCTAAAAAAAATTTTCCTACCTGCAGCCAACCGATTTATCTGCCTCATGAGGTGAATAATCATAATTTTAGGTACATCCAGAAGAACATTATCCTCTGCACATAACAAACTAATCAAAAGTCTTGATATTTTAATCAATTCGTAGTTAATTTAGTAGCGTTCAGACGTACAACATGCCCATGTTTGACAGGGTCAAATTCCAAGAATCAAATTAAGGAAGAATTAATTGGGCCATGTTACTTTGGTTAGTTAGTGCCATTTAATTTATCCCTTTCCTATTTTAATTTGTTACACGCATCTCCTTTGAGATTTGATGATATATATATATATATATATATATATATATATATATACTAAACAGTGGTGCACCGCACGAGGTGCGGTAGTTCATACTAACCCGATCGAGGATAATCTATACAACTACTATTTTTGTACAAAACAACAGACCCTTGTAATTCTCTAAAAATGAGAATTAAGGTACAAAGTCTCAAACTTTAAACAAATTCGACTTCATCTTTCATGGCTACAATTAAATTATTTTCAGTTACATTCAATTAGGTTTGGAGACCTCCGAAATCTCTGCATTATAGTTGAACTTCGCTCCAATCATTTTGAACCAACATTAGCACATAAGATGCTAAAAGAATTGCTTGTAAACTCCTATTGAGAAAGGAGTTTAAAGCAAACGATAAAATTTACAAAGTATACTTACTCTAAATAGCTTCATCATTTAAATCATTTAGATAGGGGCAAGATCCCGATCTTAAAAAAAAAACACAAATATTTCAGACTTGCATCATTAATTAGCTAATTTAGAAACACCCCAACTATATTGTACTCGAAATTTCATTTCACCATTTTCACTTATAGAATAAATGTTATGGTATCCAAATGATACAAACGATGCAGAACACCATAGCAGGCCCAAGCTTCGAAGTCAAACAAATACGGTGCCTTTTGACTTTTGAGAAATTCATTAACACCTAACATCATACTCTTAACATGCAAACAATGTACACCACCATGCAATGCCATCTTCGGTATAAGGAATGGACCCTATCCACAATATACAACTATTTAAATAACCTTTCACAAACACACGCAAAATGAAAATAAAAAATAACAGAAAAATATCGGCACAATTTTCTTTTAAGTTTCAACCTTCCTGTAATAACATTTTAGCACCCACCAGCCACAATACATTGGAAGCTTTTCTACTGCGGTTAATTTAAGGAATAAGAATTATCAAATTGAGTAGTCAGCACCCTTTATGTTGGATATATCGCAGAATCTTGCCAAGAGAAGACCAAATTGGACTCAAAATTAACAAATACAAGGAAGAACTTTATCCACTTGTGCTGGGATTTCTTCAATTTCTTGTCCAATCGAACTTGGGCTCCGCCTAATAATTTGCAAAGTAACGCTAAAATGCCCGTTGGAAACCAACGCTCCTAGTATGGTGGTGTCCGATCAAAACTTAAATACAATAAGGTGAAAAGGAGAAAAAAGGAGTGGAATACAAAACTTAAATACAATAAGGAGTGGAATTAGAAAGAAGAAAGAAGGGGGAAGGTGCGCCGGAAAGAAAAGAGCCAAATAAACCCAAAAGACTGTTTGATGATTATAATAAAGCTTTATTTTTGTCAGGTACGAGGGGAGAGGAATGGTGCAACCGGTAACGGGAGATGGGACGATCGAATCAATGAGGGAGAAAAAAGACAAAAAAATGCATGTCTAATACGTGAAAGACACATAGTCTATTATGACCATTAACTTGTAGTTAACCGTGTCAAAAAATGACATTCTCCCTTTATATTACGTAGATATATTTGTAACTTGTTTTATACAAAACAGAAAAAAGGAACAAAATTTGTAAGCTTGTAATTCAACGTAATGAGGAGCATATGCGACTCAAATTATTACTCCTCTCATTCTAAAGTTATTGTCTAATTTAGATTTTCGTTTTTAATATAAATTAAAGTAAAATTGAAAATTTAAACTGGACATTAATTTTGAGACATAGAGAATATAATTATTAAACTATCATAATAGAATGGAAAGTGAAAATGGCACACCATATAGCTTTTGCAATTGACGCAGTGGAGTAAAAATGAGTCAAAACCACATTATTTCAGGGTCTTCTGTATCTTTTTTTTCTACATCATTTCGCAATACCCAAAGATTTTTATTTAGGGATTTCAAACCAATTCTCCATTCCCTCCCAGGGTTTCCGCCTGTCCCGCCTTTTGACACGTAACTTACGATAAAAAATATCAATCAATCATCGATTACATTAACCAATGTTTTTTTTCCCCTTTTATTTGATTCCATATCGTTTTAGATGAGATTGAATTATCAAAAGGAAAGTAAATGACCAAAACATGACACTATGTTGTTTGAGTAATGATTTATTACTTTCCTCAGGGGAAAAAAAAAAGATTCTGTTAATTGTCTAGGATTATCAGAATTGACTGAAAAGAGTGGTGTACAGAGATTTAAATATTAAAAAGAATTTTATTGAAGGAAAAATAATTTTATGGCAGTCTTCATTCAAAATTTGACCCGCATCCTCCCGAATTCGATTACATATCAAATCTTTAAGTATTTTGTTGTTTACTCTGTGAGCACAAATATAAATTCCTTATTTTTATACTCATTCTTTCAAGAGTACGTGGAAATTGAAGGGGCGTGTCGACCATATTAGTATGTACCAACAATGAAAACAAATTCGGGAGTTGTAATTAAAAATTATATAAAAGGGAAAGAAAAAACACTAGTTCTATGTTCTACCAAATGTAGTAGACCCATTTCAGGATTTTAGCTCAATTTCTTTTTCAAAATTATTATTGAGGTGAAAAAGATTATTCAAACCATTTTTATTCCTACCAAAATGAAAAAAATCTAACAAAAAGATTTTAAATTCTAACTATCTTTAGATTATACTCACTCCGTCTCAAAATTATTGTCCAGTTTGAGATTTCACTTTTAGTAGTATTTGAACTAGAAATGAAAACCCAAACTGGACAATAATTATGGGACGGATGGAGTACTATTGAATAATGTATACCAAATTTTGAACCGCGAATGCATATCATTATTATTCATTAACGTCACCAATCATTCACAAAAAAAACACAAAGAATTATTATTACTCAATAATATTTTACAGGGGAGATGGAAAGATTGAACCCGTGTGTTGTGTGTGCGTAAAAATGGCAGTAAAAAGCCGAAGACAAAGCCGGCTACAACTCTGTCACACCAACAACATCAACACCAAATAACACTTTTAATCCTACCATTTTTCAAAGAGCCCAATATTCCCCCTCGGCTAAAACCATCCAAAGTGCTGTTCTTTTTCCTCAAAGTTTTGATCTTTTTTTTCTATTATTCCTTGCTTTTTATTTGTAATACTGGTGCTTCTCTTCTTGTTTTCTTCCTCCCACCTCAGTATTTTTTTTTTTAATTTTTTTTTTGGGCGTCTTTGTTCCAGTTGATACTAATAAGAGAATAAGTTGAATTTTCTTTTCATAAAGTTTGGATTTTTGGGTATTTACTATCCAATTTTGTACTCAAGCGCTGAAAGTCTGGAAAATACTTGTTTACCTTATTGGGATGATGATGGGATTGTTTGGATTCAAGAGAATGATCAGCTAGTTGATTGATTTTGGAGTGCATCTGATAAGATTCAAAGGGAACAGTATTGAGTTAAAGTTTTGATCTTTGGAGGATTGGATTTCAGAATTGATGGGTTGTTTTCCTTGTTTTGATTCAAGAGAGGAGGAAAAACTGAATCCTCAAAGTGACAGAGATGGTCCTAAAGAAGTCCACCCAGCTATCCCTTCTAATTTTAACAGATTATCTTCTGGTAAGACTCATTTCAGTATTATTTATGTATTTATTCGTCACTGTTCTTTGATCTGATCTGATAAGCTTTTCTATTTTGCTGGTTTTGATGCGTATATTTAACTTTTCACCGTAGAGATTTGGAATTGGTGAAACATACAAAGCAGCTTACATTTTCAATTTCTATTGTTTAATTGGGATCTTAATTTGCAAATGATTGATGTAGTTTGATTAAGTTTTGGTAATTTGAAGATATTAGCTACCTTGAAGAATTGATATGGCTTCTCCGGAAACTAAAATCTTCACCTTCTTAAAAGTATTGAGGGATACAGTAATTTTGATTATCATGGCTGTTTTACCATCCCAATGTTTTATGCATTAGTAGTGTGGAATTCTGAATCTTGTCAGTTGAAAGTTGCTTATGGCCATGGGGAACTAAAATCTAAGTGCTCCGCTCTTCTGTTATGATGGAACTTGTAGGAGCTGATAGACTGAAAACGAGGAGCAACATCGGGTCAAGGAAGGAATCAATTGGGCTAAAAGATGCCCCTGATGTTCAGATTGCTGCACAAACTTTCACTTTCCGGGAGCTTGCTACTGCTACAAACAATTTCAAGCAAGACTCTTTCTTAGGCGAAGGAGGATTTGGACGCGTATACAAAGGGCGGCTTCCATCAGGACAGGTGAAATAGTTAATTCATTTTACCATTCCGGATAAAGATTGGGATATAAAAATCATATATGTGCTAAGAGATGCAAATTGTACAGCCGATAAAATTGCTAGTCTAGGTCACTCTTGCCCCATGGGATTACATTTTTTGGTAAACCCCCCCAGAAGGGATTACAAGTTTAATTTGTAAAGACATGTTAGGAAATACCCATCTTGGGTCTTTTGGGATGTAACCAAGCCTTATGGCTTCCTTAGTATGTAAAAAAAAAAAAAAAAAAGAAAAAAATCATTTTACCATTCCTCCTTGAAATACCATGTGTTGCTGGAACTTCAAGGTTTTTATGCTACTACTTACTTCATAGAATAGGGCCGGAAGATTGGAAACGAAACATGATGTTAGAAAGTTGCATGAGCTGTCAAGATTTAAAAAATGATAGAGACTATGGAAAACCTTTTCCTGTAGTTGAAGAATAACAAGATCATTGTTGCATGAAACTAGCTAGGCTAGAGTTCAAAAATCATAGTGGTTGTATTATGGTGTGTGTGTGTGTGTGTGTTTGTGTTGTTTTTTTTTTTTTTTTTTTTTGCATCATCTGTGCACATACAAATGATTCCCTGAATGAACAGGTGGTTGCAGTAAAACAATTGGATAGAAATGGGCTTCAGGGTAATCGGGAGTTTTTGGTGGAAGTTCTTATGCTCAGCCTTTTACATCATCCAAACCTTGTAAATTTAATTGGTTACTGTGCTGATGGAGACCAGAGGCTGCTTGTTTATGAATTTATGCCCTTTGGATCATTGGAAGACCACCTTCATGGTATAATAACAGTTGTTACAATTTTGATTGTCAACTTATTAAGGGTTTGCCTCTTTTTGATGCAATGAAAGTCTGTGAGTTTCTAGTTTAACTTTCTTGTTTGCACTCTGTCCACGAGAAAATATTCTGAGGTGCAAACACCAGCATTGCTCAACTTGCTTATGTCCTGCCTTTTCTTTCTTTGAATGGAGATACCGAAGAATTTGGATGCAAGATCAAACTTCTCATTCTTGGAACTGTTGTAGTTCTTCCAAGTTACGAAATATGAAAATGTTTTTGTTGCGTTTGGCTGATTTTAGCATCCTCTGAACCTCTACTCATGCCAATAAGATTACTGGGTTAGTGATGCCATGTTTAGCAGTTGTTTTTATCTGTATGTGCTGAATTTGTTTCTTTAAAAATTAAGGAACATCTAAAACTATTGTGGATGGAAAAAAGTGTTAAAAATGTAGTCTTGTGATTTGTGATACCAATTGATGGATGTTTTGGCTTTTAGATTCTGGGTAACCTTCCTTGCCCTGCCTCTTTGGATAACTCATGTAACTTTGGTTGATTCTGCGCAGATCTTCCACCTGATAAAGAACCCCTGGATTGGAATACAAGAATGAAGATTGCGGCTGGTGCAGCTAGAGGTTTGGAATATCTTCATGATAAGGCAAACCCTCCAGTAATCTATAGAGATTTCAAGTCATCTAACATATTACTCGATGAAGAATTTGTTCCAAAGCTTTCCGATTTTGGACTGGCGAAGCTCGGTCCTACTGGAGATAAGTCACATGTTTCTACTAGGGTCATGGGAACTTATGGTTATTGTGCTCCAGAGTACGCCATGACCGGGCAATTAACGGTAAAATCAGATGTCTATAGTTTTGGGGTGGTTTTCTTAGAGCTCATTACCGGGCGTAAAGCTATTGATGGTACCAGACCTCAGGGAGAGCAAAATCTTGTCATATGGGTAAGTGCAATTGCTTTTGCTTAGTTTTGTAATCCAAGTGTTTCTGTCAAATGCTGCTTCTTTGTGCATGGACTTTTTTTATTAAATGTAAAGTGTTTCAAATATAGGCTCGACCTCTATTCAACGACAGGAGAAAATTTGCCAAGTTAGCAGATCCAAGATTGCAAGGTCAATATCCAATGCGAGGTCTTTATCAGGCACTGGCTGTGGCATCCATGTGTATCCAGGAACAGGCAGCAGCTCGTCCTTTGATAGGGGATGTGGTAACTGCCCTTTCTTACTTGGCAAATCAGGCATATGATCCCACGGCAGGCCCTGGACAGGGTTACAGATTTGCTGCTGCTGCAGCAGGAGATAAGGATGATAGAAGGAGCCGAGATGATCATCGGAATGGAGGCAGAATATTAAGAAACGAAGAAGGCGGTGGATCTGGTCGGAAATGGGATTTAGACGGATCCGAAAAAGAGGACTCTCCTCGAGAGACTGCAAGGATGCTCAACCGGGACCTGGAGAGAGAAAGAGCTGTTGCGGAAGCTAAAATGTGGGGTGAGAATTGGCGAGAAAAGAGACGACAGAACAACGCGCAAGGAAGTTTTGATGCAAATAACAACGGTTTGTAAGGATCATAAAAATGTGTATAATTCACGATGAAGAGGCCACCCCCATCTTCCACCTTGGCTAATGATTTTTCCGGTTTGCTTTGCTGAGGGAGGTGAAGAAAGGATCCGAATTTTCGGCCAAATGGGGAGAGCCACAGGCCTCCAGTTCTTTTTTGTTTCTTTTTTTCCCTTTGCTTTTAAATTGTCTACTTGTTGGCAATGTTTCTATTTGCCAACAAGCAAATGAAGAGACCCCTACTGTACATTTAGAAGCATTTAGAAGAAGCGCAAAGCTGAATAGAAAAGCTGGATGTTTTCTAGTGTAATTTAAACAGATTTCTTTTTTCTCTGAGTTAAGTTAACTTTAATTTTCTTTTTTTTTTTTTCACTTGTTTACTGAACTATAGATATTAGTACTACCGTGTCATGGGATTTTGGTGCACTGTGACTTTTCCGTATACTACACTGAATGGATGAATGGTAAGGCTTTTATATCGAGTACCGCATCTTTCGCAATGAGTTTTACATTAATTTTTTGTTGTTCACTCAATTTGTTATGTGGCAGATGTCTTTAGTTTGCCATTCCACTCAAGTGCGAAAGAGGTATGTGTTTGTTACCCTCAAATTTATGGATGCTAATGTGTACTACCAGATTTGATTCAAGCTATGTATGTTTGTTATTGTTGCAAGACAGAATTGACAAGGTCGAACACCAAGTAAAATAAAGTAGAAATCAAAATGCCATATATTAAGAACCAACAGGAGTAATTTGTTTAATAGCATGCATATCACAAACGTATTCCTCTAATTGCCCAAACCAACAACGTTTCAACGGCTCTTTCAAATAAGAAAATAAAGTTAATGCCCTTTTCAGTGGGGGGAAAAAAAAAAGAAAAGGAAAGTGGCCAAAGCTGGGAAATCTGGACTTGTTTAAGCAATTGTCTACGAAAGCTGAGAGCCAAGTTGACCCTTTGTGTCAGACAGAATTTTGTGTGATACGAAAGGACATCATTAAGAGCGCAAAGCCTTATGGTTCTAGATGACCAGTCATCTAAACCGCGGGCTATAACTCATAGGCTTTCAAAACGTACAATTTTTTATTATGTCATCGATTGATCGCAATTCTTCATTGCACAAACGGGAGGCCTTATATAGGAGAATTCCTTATTATGTTACTTTTGACATAAATGTTTTTTTTTTTCTTTTCTAATTTTAATCAAGTTTTAGGAGCTGCATTATGGTTAACAATTTCTAAAATCTATATCGTGTATGCTTTCACATACATTTGTTTATAACGTGATATACATTTAAAGTGTCATTTTTCCGCTGCACGGGTAACATCTCATGTATGTATATATAATTTTTGGTATTTTTCCGCTTTTGAATGGATAATATCAGTGTTCTCTTGCTGGATTTCTTGGCCTGAAATGGTTGTGAATATGTCATCTTGACATGCATGCAGAAGCAGTATGTTGCATTGGTCTGGATATCTCGTCCACTAGAGGATGTAGATTTGTAAGTTAATCTCTCCCACCAAAAACTATACCTTTTCTCACACCACTCCCCTTGAAAAGGAAAGAAAAGAATCCACATTCTGGTGTGTGTTTGACTTAAAGTAATATCCATATAGAACTTTCTTAAGGAATAGTTTGAATATAGCTACCGCTGTTGCAAATAGTATCAAATTTACTTCAAATGTTCATGATTCAAGAGTAATTTGGGAATATACAGGGTATGTTGTTGTTGTTGTTCATGATGCAAGAGTAATTTCTAAGCTTTCCATGCCTGTTCAGTTGATTTACCGAAATGATATTGCTCCGAGGCCAAAATTCGATACCAATATTTGATCCGTTCTTTTTTCCTTTCCTCCTAAAGAAAATTTGTCAGACGACGCCGATAAGAGTTCTACACCGTCGAAGTCCTTTAGCTTGTGAAAAAGTTATACATTGGTATGGACTTTATTAACTGGTGTGCTTTATAGGCAAATGATATAAGATTCCTACACTAACAGAAATTTTAACGGGAGTCTGTCTTACTTCAGGATGAAAGTGGAGAAAATAGTGGGTAGCCGTCAGTATTTTTTACTGCATCTATGTACTCAGGTATGGGGTAAGTAACCAAAACATATTATGTTATGAAGGTGTTTTCATTTGTTTTTTCCCAGCTTGTATATGACAACACATTAACCCTTTAGACTGATGTTGTACACAAGGAAAAGCTTGCAGTTGGTTTTAATGTAGAACTGATCATTATGACAGGCTGGGACATATATCAAGGAATTTGTGCATGGGGATCTTGGAAGAATGCACCCCAGGTATAAAAGTTTCACCCATTATCCTTTTGGCAGGCTATTTGTAAGTTAAATTCAGGCTATTCCAGGTCATAGTTTTCATGAAAAGTTTTCCTAGGAAACGCACTAGTCACTGTGTTCGTGCATTTAAGTCTTGAAACCCCATAAAAATTTGCACAAATGGATGGTTTTCTGAGTCTTGGCCCTATCAGCAGTCCCTGGTCAATACTAGAAATAAAGGAAGATATTGAGCTTGAGAGAACAGTTTCATGACTTCCTCAGTAATAACAGTTCTTTCCATCGCACGTTGAAGAGAAAAGAGTTATTCTTTTGTTTGTGAGTTAATTGGCACAGCATTCTGTATTTATAAAACCTCTTTGAAAAGTGAAGCAATTTATTAGTTTCTCCAACATCTATAATGTGCTCAGAGCATATACTTGCTGTGTCATAAGTTTTTGCTATATCCCATTCTCTCGAAAGCTTTTCTTGATTCTATCATGTTTTATGCTGCAGCATCGGTTCAATACTTGGGTGCAGAGCAGTAATACTACAACTTGATGTCACAGATGTGAAAATGGACTGCTTCTAGTTCGAAGAGGGGACAAAGAGTGGTTCCATAACCTGGAGGATTGTCACTGTAGTTGGTAACGTGCTTTATGCCATGAACAAAAAAATGAGCAGTACAATGCTGTTTTGATGAGATCATAGATTTTTATTTATTTATTTTTAGCAAGTCTTCTACTATTTTCCTTGGCAAGCTTCGACCGCAACTTCTTAACAAGAGAATTAATAGAGGAAATGGCTACAGGAAATTAAAGTGAGATTAGTTCAGTTTCGATGAGGAGTTTGCAATTTTCATGCATGATCGGCATGTTGCACCCGTTTCTGGAATCATTGATGCTGCTAGATTGTAGTGCATGGACAAATAGGAGCCATTTTCCTTGTAACTATATGAGTTAAGGGTTTACTCCTGGAGATTTCAGGATTAGAGCTACAAGCCCTCTCCACATTTATCAGGAGTCAAGCTCTTCAACATTGTCTTAACTTGCACTGAAACGTGATATTTTTATTACTTATTCCCGCTCTACTTCTACTTGTTTATATAAAGCAAGGTTTTGTTGAGAAGTTGTATGAATCATTCATTCTTTTTTATACAGCAATGAAAGACTTGATTTCTTCGAATCCAAATTTTATTTCTTTGGCTCTTTAGTATATGGATTGTCAAAGGCACAAGTCTGAATTAATCAAATTCATTGTTTCTGTAGTTAAGGCATCAAATCCAGAAAACCAAAAAATTCGCTGCCAATATAGCTTAAATCAAATCTAGTTTTTGGTAAGTCTTTGGGTAAGCTAATCCCACGTTGATTTATCCTCGTGTTGGAAGAGTATATTTGCACACCACTGTTCAATGATTCTACTAGGAAAGTAGTAATACTAGTTCTAATATATTTATATAGAGTCACAATTAAGAAGATTTTAGAGATCACCTTGTCTAACTTTGTTGGTAGTGAACCAACTATAGCGATCTTAGAGGGAGGCACTGTTTGTAGGCCGAATCAGAAACTGCAACCACATTAAAAGTACTACTAGTACGGTGGTAAACAGCCAAATTAATTGGGAACGAAATAATTAACCACCACTATTTATTTATAATTACAGCTGAGATTTAAAAAAAAAAAAATGACATTCGTGAACATATTTTTATTAACATTCCATTCAAATTTTTACTAGCATTTTTCCCTATTTAATATATATATATATGTGGGAGTAAATGTAGTATGCAGGTTTTAATTTTAAATTTGTACATGGAAAGTCAGTTTCTCTGTATCAAAAAGGTAACAGTTCCCTTTAAATATAGATAGATTTATGTTTTATATATACTTAATTTTGCACTTCATGATCGATAAAATATTAAATTAAAATACTAAATCAGAGCACTAGTTAGACGTATGTCTTCCAGGGTGAAGGAGAACCAAATAAAGTTGTATATAACATAGAACCAAATTATTGATGAATGTCCACATTAAATTTAAACTTTTTAGTTGAAAGGGAAAAACAAGTGTACTAATATCTATGCTGGATCTTTTGTCTGGCCCTGTGACGTGAGAGAAGAAGAAAACTTCTTTCCGGAGGACAGAAGTTGAGCCAAATATTTGTACTATAATATACGTTGTGCCCACTCATAACAAAACCAGCCAAGTGGTTCTATGGTGTAGTGGTTAGCACTCTGGACTTTGAATCCAGCGACCTGGGTTCGACTCCCGGTAGGACCTTTGTTTTTTCATATATTTTTTAATCTTTTTTTTGGCCTTTTTTTTTTTTTGTCCCACTCTGGACTTTGTTTCGCATTGCCTTTTCTGCTCGCTTAACAAAAAATTAAATACTCCCTCCGTCTCATAATTATTGTTCAGTTTAACTAAGATAGAAACATTTATTTTTGATTAAACTTAGCTATATTTTAGCTTAAACTTCCAGACCCCTGTCTATGTAATTGTTTAATCGGTTACTCTTTCTCAGACTAGCACCGACGAAATGTAAAAATCACCCCCAATTCAAATATTCAACCAAAGCTCAAGAATTCACCCTTCACTGTCGAACAGTGAATCAATTTTTCGCATGACGAATTTCGAAATCTTCCTTCTCTAAGGTCCAATTTAATGTTTATGAACATAATTCTTATACTCTAAGATTCTGCAGACGATGCAGTTGAGGAAACCGACGATGAGAACGACTCCGGCCGGATTTCTGATGGAAAAAATATTACCGATGGTTGGTACTACTCCTTGTTCTGCTACGAGTGTCGGTGGATGGAGTTCCGGTGGTTTGGTGAAAACCTTCGCTACTCGATCCGACTCGGTACTGGAGACTTATCGCCGGGATCCGCAGGAATACAGATCCGGTCTTAGGAAGGAAATTGAAATCATCCGCGAGGCGGGGAGTCAAGCCGTGAAGGAACTCCCATCTTCAATCAAGGTTGGGGCATTTGTAGCTCATAAATCTCCGGAATTAATTAGCCACGTCATTAATGGGGTCATCAAATCCACTGCCGAAATCATCTCACAAGGTATGGAAGCTACTGCAACAAATGCATACTCTGATGTTGAATCCAATACACCAATTTAATAGCTCAAAAAAGATTTCTATCCCATATTCGTTTCCGACAACTACACCACTCACCTTGTCCTTTCCGCCGCTTTGAGCCATCGGAATATGGGTTTCTTTTCGCTTTGCATTGAGTTCACTTCTACTGGATGTGTTGTGTGTGGATAAAGGGGTTTCCAGTAAATAGATTACAGGACAAATATGTAATTTACTCCATAAAAAGTTAAATTGAACAATAATTTTGAGACAAAATTTTTTAACCAAAGTGGATAATAATTATGAAACGGATAGAGTACTAGAATATTATTACGTGTGTGTGAGATTTTTAGGGGGTGGGGGGAGGCAGGGTATGTAGGCTGAATCGGAAATTGGAACCACATGACATTAGAAGTAGTACCAGTATGTTGGTAAACAGCCAAACTCATGGGGGGAAACAAAACCCAATAATGAACCACCACTCTCCCTCTGTTGTTAACCACAGTTTAATCATCATTCCCCCAACTAATTTTGGATCTTCTCCGAAAAGCAGTCTACCATAAGTCACGCGGTGAAGTCGACCGATATCTTTTTAAACAGAGTTGTTCCCAGTAAATATGATTGACCGTTTTTGTTTTTGGCTCAAAAGTTTAGTTTTAAAGTGAGTAATTAAAAAGATTCAACAAGATAATAAGTTTCAGATGCACCATTATAGTTGTCCGAATCGATAAACTTTTTTTCTTGGGGATATGTGAGTAATATATTGCCAATGAGTTATTTTTTCTTTTTAAATTTTAGACTTTTTCTAATTATTATTTTTCAGGCATAATAGAAAGGATGGGTGCCAAGGTTGATGTGCGAAACAATTGGTGATCACGTGTAGTGGCGGAACCAAAAATATTTTTCGGTAAGGGTACAAGATGAATATATATCATTCAATCAATTTTTCTTTAACTTTAAAAGTATACATATATACGTAATTTGCGCATGTTTCACACGTGATTTGAATGTGAATTGTATATCATTAATATTAGTTATATATATATATATATATTAGTGAAAATGATAGTTCCAAGAATGCATCCTGTGTGCGCTAATGGGACATCCTTATGGTTGTAGGCGAAAAATAACATGGTTCAATAGAGCATATTGTTAACTATGTGTAAACATCACCAAACCTAGAACTAATGTTTAAGGTGTTTATTTTCAAAGCCATCAACTTTATTACTTTGAAGTCACATATTTTAAAATTGGATCATTTTACCCTTACAAATTTTTCAAATCAAATAATTTGATTAGAAAGAAAATTAAAAAAAATTGAAAGTTTAAAAAAAGAAAAAATTGACCGCCGCGCATCCCGGGTTAATCGGGGACGGGCAAGGAACGCGTCCTCTTGTTCGCCCGAACGCGTTCGTTGCGCGTCCTGGTTTAACCCGGGACGAGCAATGAACGCGTTCGGGCGAATAAGGAGACGCGTTCCTTGCCCGTCCCTAGTTAACCCGGGACGAGTGGATTGCTCGACCGGTCCCGGTTCAGTCCGATATGGTGAACCGGACCGGTCAGGCTCTTTTTTTTTTAATTTTTAAATTTTTTTTAATTAAAAAATAGCAATATTTGCTACTTCAAAAAGTCTAAAAATTATAAAATATCAATCGGATTTATTGCTATTTTTTAAAATTTTAAATTTTTTGTTATAATTAGTTAATCTAGTTTTTAGGTCATTAAATTTATTAATAATTTATTATTTGAGTTACATTAAGTATCACCAGTCTTTGTCGACAAAAAATAGTTAATCTATTTGCACATATTTGTCACAATCTTTGTAGTACAATTATTATTTTTCATTATAAATGTATAATTATTATTTTAACTAAAAATTATCTTTAAAAATGATTAAAACAAAATTTATATTTTAATATCAATTCAAATAAATTAACTTAACAAATAATCTTAAATTTATTTTTAAGTAAAAATTAATTACTTGTTTATTTTCAAGTAAATATAAAATCGAGAGTTTAAGCACTAAAGTATAAATATTGTTAATAATATTTAAAGTACGAGGTATTCAACATGTAACGATACTGCGAATAAATTAACATTAAAATAAAAATTAATAATTTGTTCGTTCTCACGTGAATCGGACCGAATAACTTGCCCGGTTCGGTCCAAGTAGCAGGGGTAAAAGGGAAATTCTTCAAAATTCGTGGTTTCAAGTACTAATTTGGGTGGATGGAAAAATCAATCCCATGCTTAAAGGAAAAACAAAAAGATGACATCCACACCACCAGGTTGTAGGCGTCATTCAAGTTCTCGAAGAAACAAAATTTAACACAACTTTAAATTATTCTATGTAATTTCTTAATTTCTTCTTTTTTTTTATATACATATTAAAAAAAACTAGCATAATCTGCACAACGCGTTGGATAAGTACTAATTTATATAAAATGTAAATCCCTTTTACCCTATTAAAGCAGAAAACAGGATGCTGATGTGACAATTTCTTATTAAAATATTTTGGCTCCAAATGCACCATATTGCATAAACCATTTTGCCACGTGTCACCCCCTTTTAATAACAAAAAATATATTTACAATATTAACGAAGAGATCAGATGGCCATGTTCATTCAAATTTTGAATTTTGACAGTGAATGAAACTTTTCTTATCCACTTATTTAGGACTTTCAAAAAAATTAATTTTTGGTCAATCAATTATCTTCATAAAAAACTAAATTCATTCCTAATTAGTTTTGATTATTCACATATCAATTTATTAGGTGGGAGGACGCCCCCGGGCATTTGCCCGGGACAAGCATCTAGTTGTTATTATTGGAGGGAGAGTAATAATACTCAAATGCAATTAGTAAAAGTTTTTAAAATGACTTCTCCAGTTACATAGTCCCGCCATCACAAATTGAGTCTTGATTCAGGATTTTTAATACAAATTCAACAAACATTTGGAAGGAAAAATATTGTTTACTACTGCAATACTCCCTCTTGTAGCCTTTTTTGTCTTTTTTTTTTTTTTCCTTTCGGGTTAGTTTAGTTAAGAGTCTTATCTTGTTTCCCTTTCTTCCTAACTGAAAACAAAATCCCAGGGGAAAAAATAAAAATGGATAAGGGAAACTACAAATCTCTGAAAATCGTCCGAACATCGTCCGGTTCTAATGTCTTCAACCTAATCATCAATCGCCCTTCCCACGTCAACGCTCTTTCAGCTGACTTCTTCATCGAATTCCCCCAAGCCCTCTCGTTCCTCGATCAGAACCCTGACGTCGCCGTCGTCATCCTCTCCGGCGCCGGCCGACACTTCTGCTCCGGAATCGACATACAGGTACTCAATTCTAATTTTGCCGATCGCCCTTTATCGGATCGGGGTCGAGTTGGCGAGAAGCTCAGGCGGGACATCAAGTTCTTGCAAGATGCAATCACGGCCATCGAGCGGTGCCGGAAGCCGGTTATCGTTGGCGTCCACGGCGCGTGTGTCGGCGGGGCAGTTGATATTATCACGGCTTGTGACGTCAGGTATTGTTCGAAGGACGCTTATTTTTCTGTGAAGGAGGTGGATTTGGCGATCACGGCGGATCTCGGAACTCTTCAGAGGCTTCCGGGAATCGTTGGGTACGGGAAAGCGATGGAATTGGCGTTGACGGGTCGTCAATTTTCCGGGTCGGAGGCCAAAGAGATGGGTTTGGTTTCAAAGGTGTTTGATACAAAGGAAGCTATGGAAGAAGGAATTAAAGCCATTGCTGAGGGTAAGGGAAACTTTCCATTCAATTTGAATAAAAATTCCTGAATCCATGATTTATATTACCTTTCAACAATTGGGATAGTTTTTTTTGTTTCACATCAATCAAGATTTTGTGGAATTCATTAGTTGTTTTCTTTCTGGGACCTCTGGGTCTTTACTGGGGCAGGAATAGCAGCAAAGTCGCCACTTGCAGTAACAGGGACAAAGGCGGTGATGCTGAAGAGTAGAGATATGAGTGTGGAACAAGGTCTCGATTATGTGGCTACTTGGAATTCTGGTGTGCTTTTGTCTGATGATCTCAAAGAGGCTGTTATGGCACATCTCCAAAAGCGCAAACCTTCATTTGCCAAGCTCTAATGTAATGTATCAACTTCATCCCTCCCAGTAATGAAAGAAGAATAAGGAACATTTAATTTGGGCTTTTAACGATGTGGGCTGTACTGTGTAGACTGTAGACATTACAAAAGAATGAAGAAAACTGATGAATGATGTTTTTAGGATTTGGTCTGTACTGTGGTACGCCTTACATTGCGCCATTGCTAAATGGTAAACCTTGAATGATCAGTACTAGTTACAAACACCCATGATGTGGACATACACTTGTTTAAGAGATTGTGTTGTACTCCATGTGGTCCTTAATATAAGATATTTTGATTTGTCTTTTGTTTCGCCTAGTATGCTTTTTTAATTGAAAAAAAAAAACCTTAAAAATATTTCTTAACAATCAAAAGAACCCAATAAATGTAAAAATATATTTTAAAGGTTTTTTCATTAATTAAAAATACATACTAGAAAATAAATCAAAATACCTTATATTAAGGACCGGAGGGAAGTAAGATGTAACACCACAAGATAGAGTAGCATTTCGCATACGAAAGCTGAATTGTGTGGGTGGGATTAGGGTTTGCGATTCTCGTTTACACTGGATTGCTCCATTTACTTGAAAATTGAAATGTTTATAAGTAAATACGTTAAAGAATAAGAGAAATGAAATTCGAACGAGAATCAAAATGATGCGATCAAATTGAGTTTTAAGGCCTAATCGAGTTTTTACAACCTCAACATATTTTCATTCATCCCCTCGTAGTTTTGTGTAATGTAAAGCGTAATAGCGAAGAAGAAGCTGAGAGCTTGAGACGCATATCATTTCCCAAACCCCTACATTATCATGGACCAGGTCTGGGCCTACAACAAACCATTCAAGAAGGCCAGCCCAATTCCTTAATGTCCGTTCACATTTTGAATGGGATTCTACTAAGGAAGCTTCCATTTTTCTTTCCCAATCGTCAAAGGTGTACATCATTTGTACTACAACCATCATGAGATAAACTATCCACATTGACTTTACCCATATGAATAATGTTTTTCTTCTTTAGTTTAACACAAATGCACGTTCGTTCGTTAGATTCTATCATCTATGTTGGAAGTTTGAAACAAACAAGGAGATTCTCACAAATCGTAATGATGAATTCCCGAGAAATGAAAAAGGTAACATCATTGTTACTAATACATATTTGCATATATTTTCTGTCCAATTTTAAATGCAAGTAAAGTAGTGAAAGCAAAAACAAAAGGAGCCACACGCATGCCCTTTAATATCTGAAAAAAGCATAAAAAAAAAAAACAAGTGTCCTTTTTTTCTTTTTTTATAAAAGAATTCCCCTTCTAAAATAGTCAATGGTTAAAGTTGCTAAAAAGAGAGGAGACAGATAGAGATTTTGCTTTAAAACTTACATGAGCTGTTTCGGGGCGCTAAAAAATTAGGGTTGATTTATTATCATTGGGGATAGATTAAGAGTGTGAATTTTATCATTATTATCGTATAATTAAATTGAAGTTAGTGGGGTGGAAGTGAGGAGGTGATGAGGTCAATTTCAAAGTGCAAATCACATGGCTAAGATGCTTTGTCCTCTTTTTTTTTTTCTTTTTTTTTTTTTGTAATTGATTCTTTTTTGTAGTCATGTATGTATGCTTGCAAATGACTTTGAAAAAGAAAAAACAATAATGATGCCCTTTTCTCTGCAAGTTTTTTCTTTTAGGCTTTTGATTGCCAATTAGTATTACTATAATTTTCCCCTTATAATACATTGATTTATATTGTATAAGCTAACCATAACTTGTTGTATCTTCTTCTTCTTTTTTTTTTCTTTTTGAAACAAATAGAGTAGTTAAGTTTCTCATAAATCATCAAGAAATGTGGCTTACTTTAGTTTAAAAAAGGATATAAATTGGTGATGCATATATTTGAATAGATGTTTAGTAATTTAGTACGAAAGAAAATAACAAAAACAAAAGCATACTATGGCATCAATGTAACATGTATGTTTGAATCAACGTAACTAATTGAACACTTGTATGGCTTTATCAATAAAGTTTACACATTTCAAATTGAAACAAAAAGTGACCTTTTTTTTCTCTCTAATTAGGGGATTCTTAATCACCTGCATCATGAAATGCGCATAAATGATTTTTTCAAACGGATTGCCTCTTGATGAAGAAAGGAAGCGATCCCATTTTTCCAATTTGTAGGGATCGACGAAGATAAAAATTCGTAGCTTAAGAAGATGCTTTTGTTCGTAACAAAAGTCTGCGGGATGACAAACTTAGCTTAGCTTTAAATTTACGTAAAAGCAGACATTAATTCCACAAATTGTGAGCTATTCAGATTTACACACACTGACATGTCCAAACCCCATCTCTCTCTCTCTTTTTAATAAATTAGATGGCTCCATTGAGAATCAAAACTCTCCGCCTTCTAGTAATAACTATCCCGGCCCCATTCCAAACCCCATCTCTTTTGAATGTAAACTACAATAATAAAAAAGAACATTGCGGTCAACTTTGAAATTCATCGCATTATTTTTTCTGAAGTCTTCTTCTCTATTAATGGTGTGCTGCTTGTAGATATTTTTACTTCTTCTCTTTGTTTCTAATGGAAGGGAGCCAAAAAAATGTTCTATACTTCTCCTAATTTGAAAACACTGCTATTTTTATAATCTAGGTAATATTATTAAACGCATCTGATTATTTCGTAAATCAAACAAAGAATGGTACTATTTGTTGTTTGATTTTACGTACGGACAAAAAATTGAAGACTTTCCAATACAGAATTTTCATCATTCCAATTTATCCTCGTTAGTTGCTAAACACGTATCTGCTATCTAGTATCATTGTATCAACTCCCTGTCGATAGAAATAAAAAGAGTTGGGTCTTTAGATCACAAGTATAAACAACCCCTATCAGTGCCAAGGGTAATTACAAAGCTTATAAGTAATTTAATGGATTTATCAGCACTCAAATGTGGATTAACAATTCTTATTAATTAATTGCCGCGATTGCACTTTAACTACTTACAAAAGTTACAATGAAGTGTTTTAAGGTCTAATTTCTGCTTTTTTTAAAGAATGATCGATGAATTAATCCTCCTCTACTTAATGATTTGATTATGATAAGCACAAATCTTTCAAGTCATGGGATATGTAAATTCTTTTACCAAATTATTCGAAGTGGGATTTATACACTCAACCGTAGTTGCCACCAACAACAACAAAAAAAAAAAAGTAAAAAAAACATATAAAATATCGTTCATCAAAGAATGTAGACGACCCCCATTCGAAAGTTGAAACACATGTAATAATGTCATTGGGAGAAAAAAGTTGAAATATAATTCATTAATCATTGTCATAAAAATAAAAAAAGAAGAAGCAAAAAGTACACCTACAAAGGCAAATATCATTTTCATTTGTAACTTTAAAATTGCATCATTTTTCTCCAAATAATCATACTATCATAGTACTATATTAATTTGTATTTACCCTAATTTACTTCATTTCTTGCTTACGTTATTAAATCGATTGTTGTATGCGTGGTCTTCCCCTAAACTAATGAAGAATGTCTGCTTACCTTGGATTGCTTTTTCTAGTGGTGAACCTTAAATAATCTTGCATAGCCTATATTTAATTAATTGATATTATCATGTACATATTATAATTGTCTCAACCCTCTAACTTATTCTTAGTAAGGCCAGTTTCCTGTTAAATCACGACATCATACAAAATGTTTGATTCTTAGCAGTTTCGGTCAGCTGCGATTTTCTCCCCTAAATCAAGGGACAACATAAGTATAAAAATTTTATTTGGGTTGAAATAAAAATGCCTATTGAGTTTATTGGGAATAATTAAGAGTTTTAAGATCGTGATTGAAATTTGAACACTTAACATACATGGTTAGTATAAAAAGTATAATCATTTAATTAATCTCATATTCTAAAAAAAAAATTGTTTGTTGCATAAATGTATAACAAACATAATTATTGTTTTGAAATGCAGACATAATTAATCAATGAAGTGGATTTCGAAAGAGGAAAAAAAAAACTAAATTCATAAGTAATGTAATTTATGTAACAGGAACAGCATAAAGACATGTTCCACTGAACAAACATTGTATATAGGTCTAAGAAACGCAATAATTGCAACCTTTGACGTTTCTTTATTTATTTATTATGTAAATAAATAGTAGTAATATTTAAATATCGGGGTATAAATTTTTTAATTAAGTTGGAAAACCCTCTTCAACACCCTCACGCAAACTCCTTTGACTCGCAACCTAGCTAGCTACAACTTGGACGTACCAATAAATTTTGAAGTTAAAAAGGGAAAAAAAAAAAGAAAAAGAAAAGAAAATAGTAGTAGTAGTGAAGAAAAGGAAATCACAGCCGCATTTTAGCAGCTTCCAAAAGGCAACTCTTTTCTTCTCATTTTCAAACTTTTACTTGCAAATGGGGAGAACACATTTTGCAAATTGCTTGTTGGAATCTCTTTATCCTTTCCACCACAGTTTAAATTACTGCTCTTTTCATCGTTTCTTTTCATTTTTTTTGTTTTGAACCAAACAGCAATTTCCAGTGACTGCATTATACTACGTAGAATTAAGATGGGATGTTAAGGGATGAGGTATTTTATAATCACAAAGTTTAAAATTTTAATTTTTCTGGAGATCAATCTATAAATTTTAAGAAGAAAAAAAAAAGAATTTGTCATTTGACTTCAAATTATCATGAGAAAATTAAGAAACTTTACTGCAAAACCAAAACTTAGTAACGGTTGTATAACCTTTGTAAATGTATAAACTCGTTTTCAGTTCTTTTAATTTTTTTTTTCTGAATTCTGTGAACTGTATTTCTGTCGACACAGTTGCTTTCTTCATACGGAATCCTGCGCTGATTTTCTTTAATCCCAATTAAAATTTTCATTTTTGTCAACGTTTGAGGCTGGCGTATTATGATTTATTCTAGATTAACCATCTGAATCTCTGAAATTCAATAATAATTTTGAGCATTTACACCTCCAAATATCTCTAGACAAAAGTTATTTTGGAATTTGTTTTTTTTTTTTTTTTTTGTGAGTAGAGAAATTTAATTACTTTGGTCATCGACCTCACATGGGTATACGATTGTTGAGTCCATGTCAATCGGCTTTATATTATTCTTATTATTATTTGCTAATACTCTAATTACTAGTAGATGCATATACGCATACTTCTAGAAATTGATTAGTTATTAATAAATCCATGCACCCTGGCCTGGCTCTTCTAATTTTCTTTTAGTTTTTACGAAGGGAATCTTATTTTATGGGCATCTAATTTCTTTTTGTCAAATTCCACCGCCAAAACTGCAGAAAACAATTGTGAAAAATACCAAGAACACGCAAACACCAAACCTGCCATCAAAAATTGGAGGGCCAATCACATTAAATAAATCAGCGGGACAATAAGATTTCTTGAAATCTTTAATGGGGTATATCCATTGAAGTTAACCTTATTGGTCCTCAATCCTCATTCCATGAATCCGACGTGTTTTTCTGTCGTTTTGAGAAGTGGAAAATCACTAATTTATTGCCTCTTTCCCCCAAAAATGAAATAGAATCCAATTCACACAATCAACCAATACATATATATATATATATATATCTAAAAACATACATGTATTTCGGTAAAGTTTTTTAAATATAATTTAGATTCAAATCGAATTAATTCATTTAGTGAGATAAAACTCCCTCAACATATTTTATGATACAATATGTACATGTAGACGGTAAATGCATGTATTTTATGCTGTATCTTGAGGTAGATTGTCAGCATAAATGAAATAGAGAAGGCCAGGGTAATGATATTTGCAGAAAAAAATTTACAAGAAAATATATAGAAAATAAATCATAACCGTCGATAATTGAAATTCATTTTATATATTTATTTATTTAGATTAAAAGATAGCTAACGTTCAACCACATCATTCCTTGTTAAAATTTCTTATAAATTCTTTCTGCATGTATCTTTACTCATACATCAATTTATGTTCACTTATTCCTTCCAATTTATTTAGTAAATATTTATTTCAACGTTCACAAATTAGATGTTTCTTTCTTTTTTTTTCTTTTTTTTTTCATATTGTAGAGCGTCCACTCAATGACAGTGACTAACCAGTAATCCCCTCTTTTAAGATATTTCAACCATGTGTATAAAAGGTTTCGACCCGTACAAGATCTCGTAACTAAAACTAATAAAAACCAAAAAGAAGGGAAAAGAAAATTAAGTTGACGCAACTTAGGAAATCGTGAGGTAACAATTTATATACTACTCTCACAACTGGGCAAGCAGCTCAACTTAAATATCCTTATTTACAGATAATGATTTTGCCCATACTACATTTTCTTTCTTTTTTTGCGCGAAAAAGAACAAGAAGCAACCTCCGCAACCGCAATACTTGTTTCTCAGGCGCATCACATTTTGAACGCTTTCATTAAGCAAACAATTTTCTTTTTCCCCCCATTCTGGGGGGGGGGGTGGAGGGGCGTGTTATTTCAATTGCATTACATTGAACGAAATAACAGCGGAAAAAAAAAGAGAATAAAAAGAGGTTTGAAAAATCATAGCGCACAAGAATCTTGTACCAGCCTAAAGCATATGAGGACTTCAGTCAATTAAGTTATCCCATCTTTATCAACACTCCATGACACCGGCGTAGTAATAAAATTAATAACTAAAAATTTACGATACTTGATGTGCAATATCGAACTGATGATAAGTTGCCAAAAAAGTTGCCAGAAGTTTTTCAGATTTTAAATTTTTTCTTTCTTTTTTGGCATATTACAGGGTATCAATTGTCGCTCAGATATAAACGTTCTAACATCTAAAAAAATGTATTTAGAAACGACCATGAACCAGTCCATATCAAGATCGACCATATACAAAATCAATAATTCTCCCACCCATTGAGGTGTCTACAATTCAGCGAGAGGGATTAGTCACTGTTGCCGACGGTGGATACCCTGCAAATATGCAAAATAATAATAATAATAATAATAATTCTCCTGCTATCTCGAAATGAAAAAATTAGATAAACATTAGGAAAAGGAAAAAGTACCATATATCAAAAGTAATTAACAGATTAAATGGTGGGGATTAGATAAAATTTGATAAACATTAGGCAATAAGCATGATATATGAATACTTAATTAAAATGGTTTAGATTAGGCTACTTTGCTTACTCCTCCTCGCATGCTAGCAGTATTTAAAATGGATACGAACTGCTTCTACTTGTAAGTCTATAAGGGCTAACTAATTTTTTTGTTGGGAAAAAAGTGACATATATACGTAAGATGGTTATTACTGGGGAAAGAAAATTCATGCATGTATGCATCATCACACCCATACCCACCTCCCTCTAGTTTGTTTCGGTTAATTAAGTACTGATGGAATGTACTATTTCCATCTTGAAATAATTATTTTATTTAGGATTTTTATTTTTCACAAATCAAATCGTAATAATAAAAATACATAAAAATTCAATCTCGACAATCAATTTAGAAAAAAAAATCAGGGAGTATTATTCCAATTTAAACCAAAGTAGTATTAATAGCTATGGAGGAACTGCGGAATACTCATTTGATCTACATGAGAGAATACTCCTTAAACTACATTCGATTATTTTCATATTGACGAATATACACTCAGCTGGCATCTTGCATGCTGAAAATTTGAGGCTGGTTTGCTCGCATGGCCTAATATAGTATATATCTAATGAAAATTTTTTAAAATTAATCTCCCTTCTCTTGAACTCGGTGAAACTCGAATTTTCACAATTATTAATTTTTTTTTCCATATCTTATGATTAGGACGAGAGATTACTCCTAGTGTTAGTGTGTAGTATAAAGTACAGGTCGATCGTTGGAACTAGTGAAGCTTATACAAGTCATGTTTAACAGCACGAGTACAATAGTAGACGTGCGTACGTGTTTCAATCGAATCAGCATTGTAGAAAATATTGGAAGAGAGGATTGCAGCCAATGTAAGTTGTTAGAAAGCATAGGGCAAGAGGACTTTGTGCGTGGGTAGTCTACTAGTTATGGTAAAAAGCAATTTCGTGAGGTTTTGGTCATTTGGGTGTGGTCGGGAAACTCATCATCAACTAGCTAACTTAAGGTGATCCATCATGGATCCATGGGTAGTGTCATTCGTTTGGTCATTTGTATACAACGTACTCGTGTCGTGACACACACGTACACACACACACACACCACCATATATGACCACTTACTTATTGTTGGTATTGTATATATTGACATTTCTTTTGTTATTTTCTAAGACATTTATGATTAGATTGAAACGAAACAAGAAAATGAAGACAGAGATGGATTAACCATTCTTCCACCATTAATTGTTCGGATACTAAACTTACACTTTGCAGTTTGCAAGCACCAGTCTAATGAGAGTAACTATAGTAACTTAAAACGTAAAATCACATTAACTTGCGTTTGGCTAACATTGATGAATAATAGTAGTAGTACCGGATGACGATAATTGAAGCATTCCTTGTGGGCATAGAAAAAGATAAGCTAAGCAAAGATCACTACAAGTATACAAACATGGGGGTTCCAAAAAATCCAAGCATAAGATACGAACGCAACCTTCGAAAACCCGAGGGAAAAAAAAAGAAAAGAAATTGTTCAACAAATAATCGTCAAAGTGGTATAAGTTAATTGATCTTTTAAATTTAGAATATAACACAGGTACGGTTATTCCCAGAAGCTCTTATTATTTTTATAAGCAAAGAAAAGAAAAAGGAAAAGAGTTGAACATAGGTCATGTAATGAGGTCGAATAGTGAGTGAACTTTAATTTAATGAATTTTAAAGAAAAGAAAAAAGAAGAAGAAAAGAAAGAAGAATTTGGTTCCGTCTAAGTTGTGACAAAATACAATAACCTTTTTTTTTTTTCTTCCAGAAGATAGAGAAACCAAAATATACTTTTTATGTCCCCTCTGAGAAACATAAATTCGTCAAAGTAAAAAGTGGGATTGAGTCTTGTTTACGCAAACTTTCTTCTCTCTTAAAAATCATCTTCTACCCCCCAGCTTTAATTAATTTAAGTATTTATTGCCCTGTTGTAACGCCCACATTTCGTATATCATTTTCATTATTTTGAATTTTATCTCCTCCTTATCAACAAAATTTTTATCTTATTAAAATTTGTTCTGGGAGAGTGACCTAATATATTTTGTCATCTTATCTCGCAAAATTTATAAATATAAAGGAGGAGTATGTATTTTTGCTATATTTTCATTAACACAACTTGCAAAAGTGATTATTCGTACACAAAACGAAAAAGAAAATCAAATGAAAAAAAGGAGGTCCACCCTGACATAATAAGACAGTTGAAGTAGTAGGAAGAGTTTTTATCTCCAATTTATTTATTCATTTTGGTGTTGTTGTTCTTCCAACAAGGTAAGAGAATAAGAAGAAGCAGAACACCTTTTTTTCCTTGCCTTCCATCCCAATCCCACATTTCCACTATATATAAAATCCAAGCCTCACTATCCCTCTTCCATCTTACCCTCACACCACACCGCTTCCCTCTCTTTCTTCTCTCCATATTTTTTGCTCAACTTCTTTCATGGATTTTCAGTAAAATAATCATCCATTGAATCCAAGCTCAACCAACATAAACCTACTCTGTTTCGAATTGGGTCGGGTTTTAAGTTTGAATCAGTTGATTAAAGCTAATGGGGATTGAGAAAATGAACTTTGTTAAGGATGGAGTGCTGAGATTGCCACCCGGGTTCCGGTTTCACCCAACCGATGAGGAGCTGGTGGTACAATACCTGAAGCGCAAGGTACTCTCTTGGCCTCTCCCGGCCTCCATCATCCCTGAGGTTGATGTTTGCAAGTCTGATCCTTGGGATTTGCCTGGTAATTTCTTGTGTTTAATTTTAATTCCAACATTTCAATCATATTTTATATTTTTTAGTCCTCCTGCAATGCAGACATAAAAAAATAAAAATTGTCCCTCAAAAGAAAAATCATTTCTTTTGTTTTTTTTTTTTTTTTGTGACCCTTAGGAATTTGTAATGATTGATGGGGTGATTGAAAAAATGGAACAGGTGATTGGGAGCAAGAAAGGTACTTTTTCAGCACGAGGGAAGTCAAGTACCCGAATGGGAATCGGTCCAATCGGGCTACCGGGTCCGGGTATTGGAAGGCCACCGGTGTGGACAAGCAGATTGTCACGGCGACCGCGGCCACCGCCGGCGGCAAGCAGGTGGTGGGTTTGAAGAAAACACTGGTGTTTTACAGAGGAAAGCCACCTCACGGTGTCAGAACCGACTGGATAATGCACGAGTACCGCCTCTCCAACCTCCAGCTCCCCGTAAGAACTTCAAACTCTCAATCGGTTATTTTATTAGTTAGTGATTGATTAATGTAAAAAAAAAACAGAGGGGACTATATTAGTCAGTAAAAATTTGACCCTTTAGTTTGGGATGAATTTATCAGGGGAATTGGGTGCTGTGCCGTGTATTTTTGAAGAAGAGAGGTGGCAAATCGGAAGACGACACTCCAGAATTGCGTAATTGTGGCGGCAGGAGCTTATTCGGACAGATTGACGATAACAATGAGGCGATGAACAAGAAAAAGGGCGGCGCCGGTGGCGGTGGCGGCGGCGGCTGCAAAGGTGGGCTGGTTTACTATGATTTCATGGCTGAGGACAGGAAAACCCAGATGGGTTCTCCGGATTCGTCGAATTCGGGTTCGAGTGGGATAACTGAGATATCCAGTAAAAATGAGAACAAGAGGAAAAATGGATCAGAAGCTGATCGGGAAGAAGAAGAAGATGAAAGTAGCAGTTGTTGCAATAGTTTTAACTCCCCCAGCAGGAAAGCATGGCTCTGAACTCGGAAGAATCAGAAATCCGTCAAAAAAATGTCGCACAATAACCATTTTCTGTTTTAGTAGACGTTTTAAAGTTAATTAACCAAGTTTCTAGAGCCTCTAGTTTTGGCATTTCGGAATCAGTTGGCTAAGATGAAATTAGAAGATGACATGAGCTCCACACCAAATATTTAGAACAATGACAACCCAAAAAAAAAAAAAAAAAATGCTGGGAACTGCACTAAGAAGGTTGAGTAGTTTAGACCAAGAAAATCAATGTTAATTTCTGCAATTAGTTCTTTTGTCCAGTCTCGTCTCGCTCCAATGTGCATCATTATATTCGTGAAACTCATCATTGATCACAAACATAGTTGAAATCCTTAACGAAAATCTTCCACGACTCAAAACTCAAAATGCCTTTGGGTAGAACACCACAGTAACTCCTTCATCGGCAGAGTTAATTATTTTGGAACGATTGAGTAGTCACAGTTATTTATGCTTAGCACTACTACAAATGGTTGCACAAAATAGTCACAGAATTGAAGAGTGTTTTGCTTTTAGGTTTAACTGAATGTCTACTTATAAAATATAAACGAATAAGTTGTGTAAGTAATCAACTTCAATAAAGTTGTAGAAGTGTGCTTCAAATTCGACACATAAAGAGCTAATCAATATGTGATGTCACAATTGTTTCTAAAGAGTTTTCCATGAGCATGTGAAAAAAGCAGTGGAAGAACCTAAATTGGAGATAAATAGAGATAGCCTATACAACATACATACATGTAAGTACAAAAAGAAACAAAAGTAAGAAGCACGTGTATTGATATTGACATAATTAGCTCTAAGCCGGGATTTTCATTAAAAAAAAAAAAACTCAACCAAAAAAGAAAAGGAAAAATAATTTTTTTAAAAAAAGAGGTGTGTATGAACGTAGTGTTTTACTCCGTGTAGTGTTGGATGTCCTAACTCCCGAATTGAATTTTGAGTAGCAACAGCAACTTGGGTTGAAAGTGAGTTCCTTTTTAGTAAACAAGCACCAAGAATCAGAACATGATTTTCCCCGAAATCAACTTTTGGCAATTGGTATTAGGTTCCCCTCCCTCTCTATTTTTTTTCTATCCATTCAGAATCTGGCAAAAAGACAATTCGTTTTAAACAGAATCTCTTACTTCCGTAACTCTTACTCTATCATCTTTTGTGCGTCTTTCGCCCCCCCCCTTTGCATCATTTATACCATTTGTTTCTCGCATTTTCAACCTTCGAGTCTGAATTTCTCCAGCCATGAAATTGGAATTGAGAAAGACCTCTTATAATTGACTAAAGGCCAATCAATTTTGGTTTGGTCCCAAAACTTTCATTAGGTTTCCTCTGCTTGATAAATTTTGGTTCTGTACTCAAATGTTAAGAACAACTTGATACTTGTTTGTATCCTAACTTAAAAATTACCCCAAATTAGTCCAGTTGTTCTACTATTTCGACGTCTCTAGATCGTCACAATTTGATATATATGATCACTAATTGACCCTATAACGTATAATTTGTCCTGATGTATTGGAGTCAAGTAAAAGAAGTAATAGATGAATTACTAAATTGTGCAAAAGATTCCTTACATCCGTCTGCAAGCAATCTTCACATGTTAAACTGTAGTTTTTACAACTACACAACACCTAAATTGACCATATTTGAGATTAAACACACACACACACACACACACCCCTTCCCTTTTTCCACCCTTTTGGTCCACATTGCCTTTCTTTTTTTAAGGTCTGAAAGTCAATTTTGATTCCCCACTATATTACCATCCAACATCCAGAGTTTCTCATCCTTCAGTCCTTCACCATGTAACACGATTCGTGATACGCATAACAAACTTTCAGATGTTGTGATGAATTTCATTATGAATTCGTTAAAAGTCCAAGAATTTGATTTTCGTAAATTAGATGTTGAAAAAGTTGATACTATTGTGTGATGTATACATAATTTAATAAAGTTAAACTCAAATGCATTCTCCATTTGATGCAATGAAGCTGTGTTTGTTAAATCAGAAAATCAAGTTCGTGACATACTAAGGAAACCTTAAATCGAAACAGACTGACGATCTGAATGCGACCAATATGCATGCGATAGTAGTATTGAACTCTTCTTGGTCAACTTTGATGATGTTCATAGCTTGTAACCATTTCCAAATGACATTGAACTCTTAAGCCTGCTGACCCAGGCCAATTAAGGCTTTTTTTTTAAAAAAAAAAAAATTACTCCAAACACACAGCAACCTTTAGCAACACTTGACCGCCACCACCACGTGTCAAGTGACGGGAAGCTCGACGGCATTATTAATTTCTCTTAATTTTGCACTAATGAGAAGGTAACCACTGTAGGACAAATTGGAGAAGCTGGAGGAGATTAATTTAAAAGCATTTTGGATATATTTGTAAAATTTATTCAGAAAAACACTTATTGCTGACTAAAGGTTTCTTGAGACAATAGCTCACCATCCTCTGATCTGATCTCTGTGGGCTAGTATGTGTTAGCTGCTGTTTTTGGAGTTCTTTACGTCAGGCTTTTCTTGTTCGTGTCCATTTTCCACGTAACTAAAACTAATTGAGTATACTCCTATTTAATTATACAGAAAAACTAATAATATACCATTTATTATAAGTATATATTTTATTTATTGAATGTCTAGTTATTACGAAAAGAGGACGTGCTTATCCTCATCACATAACATCTAAAAGAAGGCAAACAATCATACATTACTCATCCAAATTGATCTCAGAGGATGGATGACAATCACACTTTTTTGTGTTATTTATGAACCAAAAAATCATTAGTACCACCAATTTTATGATAAAAATGAGATTAACCACTTATGAATAAATATGTAACACTATTGTTTTGAGGGGATGATGAAATGTGAATTGGTTGCGGGGTTGAGAGGCTACTTCTGATGAAATTGTTGGTCAATCACGTGGGTTGGTAGGCCAACACACCCATAATAAAAACAAACAAACATTTTGCACACAATTACCTAAAATAATGGTTCCATTCACAGTTTCGGTCCTCCAATTTGTATATCCCCTACAAATACATCAAATTCTTCACAACTGTCACCATTTTAAGTTTCAATTCGAATCCTTGGAATAGACTGTCTATACGTATCATGTAGGTATCATGTCCTACTAGATTACTTATGATGCTAAAAAAAGAATGTGTAATGAAGAATTCAAGCCTTGCTCCCATCTAGTGATTCTTGACCAAACAGAGTTTAGTCGTCCAGTAGCTGTTTTATGTTCGGTTTTTCTATTAGTTCTTTCCAATTATTATGAAATCAATAAAAATTGTAGGATCAATCAGAGATTTATCTTTGATAATCATTATGCCAACTTTTTACTTTGATCAGTTCACATGACTATATGTTTTATAAGTATTTCAATTTCCACGATAAACAACCACAAAAGAAGTACAAGATTTGATGAGTAATAATTAAGTCAACGAGCATTAAAATCAACTTGAAGAAAAAAAAAAAGAAAGAAAATGAAAAAAATATTACGAGCATTCAAATTTGTACGTATAATTATAATTAGAACTTTTGTAGGGGGCTGAGGTGGTATATCTATGATAAGGGAGGACATACATAAAAAAACACAGAATTTAACACATCAAAATCAGAAGAGAGTTCAATCATGGATGTTGACCAATTCAAAAATACAGACCAAAAGACGTACCCAAAAGCAATTGATGTATTGGGTTTTTAGGCAGAGGGACAAAAAATCCCCGAAGAAATATATGTGGGAGGTTGCTTAGAATCTCTGCAACAATGACATGTCCATTTTCTTCAAATACCATTTTTCTTTCTTACATAAATAAAGAAAGAATTTGAGGCCTCATCAGCCACATCACACCATCTTGAATTCTTGAATTGGTTCATTCACAGACAGACGAAACACACAATAAATGTCATTCATCTATACTTTCAACTCAACACTCTCTGCCACACGACACTCCATGGTTACCAACACCCTTTCCTGTACTAAATACCATCCATCTATTATTATGCCAAATCATTTACGTACTCCGTCCCAAAAAGATTATCTTGTTTCTAATTTTAGACGAAAATTAATTCTTTTAAGTTAAACATGTCCAACTAAAAGTAATATCTTATACCACCAAAAAAAAAAAAAAGAAAGAGTAAAAAGTATTCCTTTCGTTATAGAAATCTGATCGGAATCAAACTTAGCTAAGTACTTAGATTTCATTAGTCAGTAAATTCCTTTCAATTTTGTTTAGGCTCCGTTTGGTTAGATTGAATTGCAATTGAATTGGAATTACAATAATATTAAATTGAAAATAAGATATTAATATTATAATTCAATCTCAATTCCTTTGTTTGGGAGATCTTGAAAATTTACTAAAATTAAGGTTCTAATTCCAATTCTTGCGTTTGGATGCATAAAAATTTGGATACCTAAGAATTAAAATTAGTTTGTTATTGTATAACTAATACTAGTACAATTTATATTTCTTGTCAAAAACTAAAAAAAAAAGTTAATTTATTATGGATGTGTAACACACAAAAAATAAATAAATTCACTATGTAATGTATATTTGACTAATTTGTGGTTGTTTAACTAATACAATTTTTACTTTTTTTGTTAAAACAAAATATTTTTAATTAATTTGCTATATCAATTTTGTAATTTATTATGTACACAATTTTTGTTGGAAACAAAAAAAATATTATTATGTATAAGAATTATTAATATGATACTTAAAATTCTCAGTTAATATACAAACAACTAACACGCCTTGTTTCCCTCTCATTTTTCAAAATTTTAAATTTTTGATGTTTTCATTGATATCAAAAATTTAAAAAAAATTATTATATAATATTTTAAATTCATTTTATGAATATTGAGGTTCATTTATACATAGATTAACATTAGTATATAATATATGCTTAACTTTTTTATTTTTAGTATATAATTATATATGAAATAATAGATACTTAAAACTCAACATATATAAATTTTAGTGAAAAGATTCCATGAATAGTTTAAAATATATATGTGTGTGTGTGTATTATAATATAGGTGTATATATGGAACAATTTTTATTAAAAAAATTTTGAAAATACTATGTTGTTTACTATGTCATCATATAATAAAAATTTTAACCCAAAACTAAAATATTTAGTTATTAATTTTTTTTGGATACAACTATACTTTTGATTTTTTTTGTAAAAAAGATACAATATTAATTTTAGATTTTGATTTCGTTGATAATTATTAAATTGATATATACGAAATAATAATAATAATAATAATGAGACAAACAGCCCAACAAAAAAAAAAGAAGAAAAACAAATAAAAGAAAAATGCCAGGAAGCGCTCAAAGCAAAAAAAAAAAAAAAACGCTGAAAGAATAAAATATATATATAAAAAATGCCAAAAGACAAAAATTGATAGAGCGACCCGTTTAGGTTATAGCCCGGAAACGACCCGGTTATGACCCACGTGTTTTTTTAAGTCTCTTGAATTTGGATTCCAATTATTTGCTTCCACAAAAGAATTGAAAATAAAGAATTGAGCCCATCTTAAATTATAATTCCAATTCTTGAGCCTCTATTTTTAACAACGAAATACAAAAATTGGAATTAGAGAGCTCCAATTCCAATTCCTGTCCCAATTCAATGCAACCAGAGCCTTATGCATATTGGGGAAAGAAATATTATTCCAATTTGAACAGTCAATTCTGTTGGTTTCACTTTTTCCCAAACACACAAACCCAGTTTTACCAGCTGCTGGATCCTTTTTTATGCTCATGTTAAGGCACGCAGACAGGAATTGAAGTGACTCCACACTCCAATGAATGCAGCAGAAACAACTTTTTTTCCCAAATGATGGATCTCTTTCAGCTTCCAGTCTTCTTCACCTCACGTAAAAATCTTTTTAACTTGGAAGTTGATATTTGAATGGTCAAAAAAGCAATCTGGACCAGAAATTCATGAAATTGAGGTCCAGAAGAAAGTACACCCTATTGAATCAAACGTGTTTGATGTTATTGCTGACCCAGTTCTCAGATTTTAGGCACCATCATCTGCTGCTCTGTAAACTCCTTTCCAAATCTGCAACTGTTTTTATTGGTCCGTACTTCTTCCACAGTTAAACTAAACTAGGATAATTCCGTTCCGCCCATATGGGATTGGGTTAGCAACTTAGATCCCAATCAAGCTTTCCATCCAGGGTCATATTGGTCGGATATGAAAACAAAAAATCTCTGTTTTTGTATTAAAAGATGGACCACAAAATCCAGTCACAAGATTCAGCACAACCCGAACATATGGTTGTAATTACAAGAGCAAATTACATTGCTTCTTACTTCTTAGCTCAACATCACACATCATCATCATCAGTCCATATCAGCAAGTTTATTAGCAAGTAATCACACAACGTAACAAACTTCCTACACCAGTTTAATTCAGCAAGACAGGAAACCAAACAATCGTCATTAAAGAAACATTTGACATCTTATCAAACTGCTCCCTGTATAATGTAACTGATCTTGTTTCTGGAAAAGAAGCATTGTCAAGTTTCAAACTTTCAGAAAAAATATCTCTTTGGAGATAGTCCACAATAGCTAAATGCACGAGAGTGACAACCAAGATATGATTGGATAAACCCAATACACTTTGATGAGTTCAAACACATTAGTAAGAGAGGATGTCTAATGTTCACATAATCAGTAATTTTGTCTATAATAGAAACTAATACAAGATACTAACATCCTCGGCATATAATTTGAAATCCAGGCATATCTCCATAAGGGGTGAACAAATAAGCCTTTTCACTCCAACAAGATGGGATTCATACTAAGCTTATTACATCTTCTTTGCGGCAATTTCTCCAGCATCAGTAAGTGCCTTTCCGGAGGGAGGTGGTTCAGAACATGCTCTCAGGACAGCTTCGTTCTGCAAGTGAGGAAAAAAAAAATCCACACCACCTTGAATAACTTCGCCATTTTCATCCAAGAGCTTAATTTTAAGCAAAGCAATTAAAGTAAATTAAGAACTCAATTCTCAGTCAAACAATGAAAGTTCTACTAATCGTCCAACACAAGAAAATCAGTGTGTGTCTCCATGTAAGCAGCAGATCATGAGAACTACAGTTTAAGAAAAAACTCCAAGACGAGGACTTAATATGGTATCACTCACTCAGCACTCCAATGTGTCTAACAAGCTATAGTAACAAATCTGAGCACATCAATATTTCTAATTGAGCTCAAGGAACAAAGATACAAATCAATAACTACATTACAAGTTAACTAGATTAACACTTTAACAGTTAGGGAGAAGGCCAAAAGGTACAACTTCTGGCCGAGTGCGAATTCGTATAGGAACATACCACACTAACCAAAACGTGACATGAGATTATAAATATCTTTCATATACTTGAATTACAGGGTATTAGGAATCTCAAGACAGCGTAAGGTTGATCTCATCGGGTGAAAACAGTACTGACAATCCTACAACAATCTTCAAACATTCGACCCGCCCATATGAAAAACCGCATGCTTGTCACATTTCAGCTCACAGTATCAACCCTAAATTAATACTATTAAACAGTCGGAGCGTATGAACATCTAATTGAAAGAAGTTTTTACTAATTCAGGAGATAAATAAAATGATTGAAGGGGTAAAGCATTCACAAGTTTACAGGGGAAAATTAATCAGCGGATCAAGGAAACTAAGGGACAAAATCTAATCAGCGGAAAATTTAAATTGAAATTGAAAGGACGGACCTGCCAGACGCGGCGGAGACGCTTCTTGGCGTTGGCTTTCCGGGTAGAAGTGAGCTTAATTCTCTTCCAAACAAGGCCGCCGGAATCGTGTTTCTTCACTATCTCCATTACAGGGCTCTTCCAGAACGCACCCCATCTCATGTTGTTTGTGTTTTTTTCTTTTCAGCTGATCACACACACACACGCACACGCACTAGCGGTATCTCCGGTCTTTGGCTTCCTTTTTCCGCCGGCCGCCGAACCCCTAGGAATCTCTCTTTCTTCCAACTTTGTGGACTAATGAAATCGACGGTCATTCTTTCACAGATAGCCAATAGTCAACCAATGTAGTGGATTGGGCTGAATTGAAAGCCCATTATCCTATTGGTATTAAACCCATCGCTGAGCATTTGTATTATTATTATTTTTTTATCAGGAAGAGGAATTAAGGATTTTGTAGTATTTTTTATTTTATTTTATTTTTCCCTTCAGAGCTCTCGTTTTTTCACAAATGAAAATCCTCAATGGTTCACAGAACAGACATACAAATGTAAAAAGGAGATCACAAACTTGTACAAGATGAATGCCTGGAAAAAGATACTAATTCGGGACACAAACCATTTTCAATTGGATTCTTCCATTAGCCATAGAATAAATCATCGATTAGGTACTGATAATAGAATAACGCACATCACATTTTGGTCCCTCTTCCCCGACCCCCTCTTCAATCAGCACCATACCTATTAAAATGCTCTTCTTCAAGCTACGTTAATAATTGCATAGATAACACTATTATTAAAGTACTAATGCCTGAAGTTCTTAATTAAATAACCGCTTGATGTTACTGGAAGTCTACGCATATAGGCTGTAGCTAGTTTTTCTTGAATTTTGGCTTCAACTTGGTGAGAGCACTTGGTTCGCAGATGCGTGCTAACTCCTTTTTCTTCTTCTAAATTTCCTTAACCTTAGGAAGCTTGTTAGCATTCAATCACTGAAAAACGTCTTCAATAGCATCCTCCATCTTTTTCTTGTTGGCTGAAGACTTCTTAGTTGATGTGCCAGCCATCATTTTGTAAGCATATTCCTCAAGTGCATTCCACGAAGCAGTCTTCTTTTTGTACTCATCATCCTCGGCCTTCTGATCCCTTTTGATCCTCCACTTAATCTCCCGTCTGGATCCCCGCCTCCCACTCATCAAACTGATGCTCTTTTTCCAACCCGTACTTCTCTCCTGAGCAGTGACATTGAGAATCCCATCCGCGTTGAGATCAAAGGAGACGTCGACCAATGCAACTCCTTTAGGGGCTGGTTGTATGAAGAGCAGCATTTCACCTAGCCAAAGGTTGTCTTGTTTTTGGTCTCTCTCCCTCGAATACTCGAATACGCATTCCCGCCTGGTTGTCTAATACGGTTTTCAGTACTGTCTTCATTTTAGTTGGAATTCTGGCGTTCCTAGGAATGACGAACGTCATGACTTCTCAAAATAGTTTCGACACCTAAAGATAATGGTGCAACTTCTTCCACCGACTGAACATCCTTAAGGTCATCATTGCTCCAGCCGCTTAAGATTGATGCTTGAACAGCTGCACCGTAGCCAACTGCTTCATCCGGGTTAATGCTTTTGCACAGCTCCTCCTTGTTGAAAAATTCTTGCAACATTTGCTGAACTTTTGGAATCCTACTTGAACCACCCGCTAGAACGACATCATCCACAGAATTCTTATTTATCTGAGCATCCGATGAACACTTCTCCACCGTTTCCATGCATTTTGCGAGCAAATCCATGTTTAGCTCCTCAAATTTTGGCCTAGTAATAGTGGTTGAGAAATCAATGCCTTCAAATAAGGCATCAATCTCTATTCTTGTCTCAACAGAGAAGGACAGGACCCTCTTGGCCCTCGCACAAGCTGTTTTCAATCTTCTCATAGCTCTAGGATTGGAGCTGATATCCTTATCATGTTTCCTCCGAAACTCTCCCACATAATAATTAACCATACGACTGTCAAAGTCGACCCCACCAAGGCGAGCATCACCGGCAGTGGCCATGACTTCGAATTTGTCCTCTTTACTGGCAACAATAAAGACATCGAGAGTACCACCGCCGAGATCAAACACAAACACATTCTTCTTGCCTGTACTAGTGGACTCACTGTTGAGACCGTAGGCAGTTGCAGCAGCTGTTGGTTCACTGATGATGCGAAGAACATTGAGCCCAGCAATCGATCCGGCATCCTTGGTAGCCTGACGCTGAGAATCATTGAAATATGCAGGCACTGTGATAACCGCATCCTCCACATCTGATCCAATGAACGATTCAGCAACTTTCTTCATTTTTACAAGAACCATTGAAGAGATGTCTTCAGCAGAAAATTGTTTCTCTTGGCCATTAAGAGTAACCACAACAACAGGCTTGTCCTCTGTTCCACAGATGATTTTGAATGGCAACAATTTCATATCAGTCCTCAACGACTCATCGCCGAATTTCCTCCCGATCAATCTCTTAGCATCTGGATCGAAAGCAGAAGCATCAGACACAGTAACGTATTTATCCTATTGGAATGTTTAAAAGCAGACATTTTTTAAATATAAGAATGCGTTGAAAATTCTTCTTCCACATTAGGAAAACGATTCGCCAATAAGCAAGAATTGACACTCAAAGACATAAATTGAACTGAGCTAGTAAGTCTTAGTTTCCTCTTTCCTTTTGTTTTCTCCCTAAAGAGATGTCACCCGTTGATTCTTTTCATGAAAATCCCCAATTTCGTACTCCAAAATCGACGTATTATTCATAATTTTACAGCGGAAACCGACACGATTGATGGTCAAAACTCAAAACTGAAAGTGGGGGGTATCGAATTAAAAATAACAAATAAACCGCCAAGATCTGAAATCAGAAGTAGTGTACAGTTAAATAAGTTTTTTTGAATTTACCGAAGATGGTGTTGAGGGGGGGGATTCAGGGCAGCCTGAGTGAGTGCAGCTTCACCAACAAGAGCCTCAACCTTCTCTGCTCAGTAAAAGCAACAGCAGAAGGGGTCGTTCTGTTGCCTTGGTTATTCGCTATTATTTCCACGCCGGTGATTCTTCCAGATACCCACGCAGGAATACGTCGTCCCCAGGTCGATTCCGATCGCCGGTTTCCTACTTTTCAAACCCATCTCCGGTGCGATTAATTTTGGGATGAATCGCTAAATAGAAACGATGTTTGTTCCCATCCAACTGGACAACTCAATGATCACAACCTTTTTCGTGCAGAGAACTTCTCACACATTATTACAGAAGTAAAAACCCGAAAAATTCTCTCTCTCTCTCTCTCTTTTTTTTTTTTGTTTTAAGGTGTAACAAACCCGAAAATTCTACTTGTGTATCTCGTACTGACAAAAGTCACATTCATGAATCTGGGATTCTCGTTTTATGTAGACATTAAGTTCATCATATATAAAAGGACTACACCTTCAATTTCCTCAAACTACTACAAATACAAATACAATAATAATAATAATAATAACACAGAAGGTACATTCACAAAACAGTCGTACGGAAAGTAAGTGATTAATGTGCGAATCCAACACAAGTAGCAATTGATTTTATCCAACCCATTTAATTAGGTGCCCTTGGGTCATGGAATTAAAGGGAATTCACAATCTTTTGCATGCCAACTGCTATGTGTGTTTTGCGCACACCTTTAGGGAATGCTCTTGCAAAAATGCAGCAGTTGATATTCTCCCAAATTATATTGCTATATATTACTTGATCATCACACTGGAGACCGGAAGTCTTCTAGCTGTATTAACTGAGGCGCGCGTTAACACTCTGTTTAAGTAAAAACATTCATAGACTAAAAAGAGGAAAAAATTGATCGTGTAATGAGCATTTTGTAATTTAATCTCCCGTCCCACAAAAATAGTTCAGTTTAATAAAAAAGTTTGTCCTTAGTCTAGTTTTGCAAAAGTTAAAATTAATTGAATTGAAATGACTTAAATATCTAAAAGAGTAGTGGTAAGGAAAACAAGGTCCACCCCCATTAATTTTCATTTTTTTTAGTTTTATTCATTTTTTCAAATAATTATATCTTTTAATACATGAATAATTAAAAAATGTGTTATATATCAAATTAATCTACATAACGAAATCTTTCCATCAAGATCCTTATTTTTTGAGATAAAAATTTTGATCAAATTTAAGTTGTAAAATAAATACATATGTAGTTAACTTTAATAAAAATTACTAGAAGGGGCATAGTGGAAGTTAGGGGCATGAAATGAGTTGTACTTTGGTGTGTTGACCAAATTAAAAAAATTGTACATTTTTAAACTGAATTATTTTTTTGGCAGGGAGGGAATAATAATCAATAGATGCTGAATTTTTATTTTTTTTTTGGGACCAAATATGCACGGTAGACGAATTAGGGGTCTAATCTTCGTATGAACGGAGTTAATTTTAGAGTTGGCAAAAATGCCTCTATTTGATTTGAAGGGTCATGCTCATGTGGCTTGACCCTCGTCCGACGAGAAGGAGCAGCAAACATAAAATGCACACCGTACAGTACAAAAAATGTAACTTCTTGAATGTAAAAGGCGGACATTTATTTTTTACCAATCTAAGGACCAATTATAAGGTTTTAGAACCCTTTTCTTTTTCTAACTATTAATATCATGTCTTAAAAGGGGTGGTTTTTTTTTTGGGGGTTGGGGGATACAAGGGGCGTATTTTTTATTTTTATTTTATTTTTTATTGAATTAATGGATAATGAAGGTAGCACATTTGGGAGATAGTCACGAGATGGAGGGTCCGATGCTCGTAAGAATAATCCAATTAATGATTTTTTATTTTTATTTTTTCCATCTTTGATGCTGACTAGGAATGCAATTATACCTTTTGGTTTTTCATTCCATCAATCATCTGTTTGAGATAATTTCTCTAATCTCTTCCCCGTACACTTAAGGAAAACTTCAAATTCTTACTGTCTCGCTGATGGAGTAATTATTACTTAATTAGTAGAAGACAACCAAAACCCTACTTATTCTTTTCGTTTTTCCCCTTTTGTTTTTTTGGGAGAAAGAATTAGTGGTACGTAGTAGTACGTGTATTCAAAATTGGAATTGGAATCGACGTGTCAATTAATCTCCGGGGTTGCTTCAGTTTAAGTATTTTGGCTGAAAGCTTATTGACCCACCCCACCGCCTGCCCAGGATGGGGCGCCGAATCGCCGCCCGAATATTTTGGCTACACCGTTGTATACACACACACACACACAGTCCCACTGTGATCACTGCTGGGCCGGCTGACGCCCATTGCCCTGCTGGTGTATGCGGCTGTTGGGTTCCTGCTGATTTTGCAGATTTCAACTAAACTTTTCCAGAATTCCATGCTAATTTTCGACACCAAAACATCATCTTTATCATCTGCTTGCACACGTGCTTTTTTCCTGGATTTATTCGGTATGCTTTGCCACTTGGCGTCTTCACTTATCTCTAGCTATCCTGGTTTCCCATCCACTTTTGTATATTTGTATTTTTGATATTTATTGCATTTTTGCATGGCACACCTTTGGCACTGGGATTGTGATTATTAATTTACTATCCTCCAATATCTCTCATTTTGTCTTGCGTTTTATCAACGCCATGCATCCGTATTGTGAAAATTGTATCGCATGCAAAACCCCAAATTTAGTTAGCTAGAAATTAACGATTTGCACTGCGAGTAAGCTTTGATCTCTTGAGTATCCACCTGAAGAATATTAGTAAAAAACTAAAAATAGTGAAAAATAAAAATAATAGACACTTTGATTGATGTGAATTAGAGTTGCTATTAGTTATATTATTATGATCTTGAATCTAACTATATTTATCATTTTCCCAAGTTAAATCGGATATTTCTTCATTGTAGATAGTTGCTTATATTGGTTTAATTTTTGCATCTCATCGATCGGATTCGACAACTTAATGTAATTGTTCCCTTCGTCTCTTTTGTAATAGTCATTTTTTAAGAGTCGGTTTTGCTCATTTAATCTTTCAAAGAGTTCATGATTCGCGGTATCTTATCTTTCTTATAATAATGTTCCAGAGAAAATGAATCACTTTCTATCTCAATCAAAGCACTATACTGAATCAAATTTACGCTTCCATTATTTTGGGTCATATTTAATTTACAAAATTTCGAGAGGTTTCCATTTCGTTATTTTTACTTTAACCACATGTCAAAATTAACCTGGCTCCAATCGTTAATAATATTTCATTAGCAAGCTATGGTGTACTTCATACTCTTTTCCATCGTGAACTGATTGTGCATTTTAAATTTTTATTTTCAATTCAAACTGCACGATAATTTAAAATCTAAAGTGGATAATTATTTTTGTCAAGAACAAGTAATTATTTAAAAAAAAAAAGAAAAAAGAAAAAAGGAAAGTGGAGCAGGGGAGTCAGATGAAAGGGTAAGGCCAAAATCAACTCCAAACCACATGGGTATTGTGTATTTTAATTGACTAGTCAAATCCAACCTCTCTATATATACATACGAAGTAACCACAAGAAGCATTAAGCTCGAGTCTAGAAGTAAACAGAAGATGGACTGGAACAAGCGTATACTTACGACATAGATTACTTTGAAGCGAGGAAATGAAGCCGATCGAGAGAGGAAAGATTGACGGATGAATCAATAAGAAAGATTCATATATATGTACTTAGAAGAGGTGTTTGATACGCACACAGACGTAGCACCATCCATGAATTGGATAAAACTAATTACATACATTGACGGTGCCATGCTGTGTGCGTCTTAAATACTCTTTTCGATCTTTAGTTTGATAATATCATTAGACGGACGAGCTTTTAAAACATATTTTGATCCATCCACTCTCTTCTTTTTTTCCGTTTTATCATTATGCTGATAGTAACATGTGTTTTAGTAGCATAAGTTTTCGATCGAGGCCTTTCTTCCATTTCTGTGTCTTGCTTTTTCCCTTTTTCTTTTTTTCTTTTCTAAGCTGTTGAGAAAAAGAAAAAAAAAGAGGAGATTTTTGGATGAAAATAAAGATGAATGAAAATATATGTAGCACTTAAAAGGACGTCCCTGTGACATGCATGCATGGGATGGATTGATAATAAGTGACTACCCTATCAAAATTGAATTGGTTAGCCCCTTCTGGTCATCTTGCATCGTAGCGACCCCAACAAGATTGCTAAACCAATCACAAAGAGTTTAGTTTTGGTGTGATCCGAACCACAAGATCTTTAATACAAGATGAGCTAGCTGAGCATGTATGCCAGATGAATTTAGAACATGATCAGAAGAACCCACCAACCACCTGTCATCCGGGATGAGATCTCTCATTGGAAATGGATCCATATGGTGGGAAGTCAAAATCCAGTTATGCAGGTACTACCCAGTGTTACTTTTACGTTTGTTCATGAACTTGATTAATCTCTCGTTTGTTCACACCATGAGTCTATGCTTGATGTTACGGGCATAAATTACTCAAGTAATATATTTTACTTACTAGTTTAACTAGGCCCTTTACCTTCTCTTTGAATCGAAAAGAAAAAATTTTATAAAAAAAGATCTTGAAAGATTATCTCTATTACTTTGGACTCTTACTATTGAATAATTTTTTTTTTTAACCAGATGCTCACCATCTCTAAGGAGTAAGACATAGACTAATTCAGGAAATCTTAAGCCAAATAGGGAAAATTACAGAGTAATTAAGTCCGTCAACACGAGTAGTTATAAGTAAACTGGGATCAACGCCTTGACGCCTTTCTTACGGCTTTAAACAGGGCTAACCCTATTTATAATACCATGGCCAGTCAGAATTAATTTTAAATTTTATTTTACATGTTATTTTTATTGAAAATAAAATCTTAAATTTAAAGAATTTATTTTCAATATAAGTGAAATTTAAGTCAGATCAAAATGTTTTATTTTAAGGAAGTATTTTACACACAAATACAAACAAAACTACGAAAATTGGATTTCGTGCGCTGATATTTGTGTGGGTCCAGCCGTCACCAGGGAAGTGAGGCGGCAGGAATCAAACTTCTCTCACATGACATGTGGCAGTACATAAAATGCAAACAGTTATTTTTAGTACGATAAAGTGGAAAGTTCTGTGCCACGTCCACCATTTTCACTTAACATAAAGTAAAAGATACCATTGTCGAGAAGTCTCTGGCTTCACCAGTTCACAGCAGCTGTTGAAATTTCATTGATTTTGAATTTTTGATCGATTGATTTTGATTGATTTTGGCACTGCGTAAACTTTTTTCTGTTCAATCCATCACTTCTAGTTTCTAAAGGGTAAACCTTGCAACCTATAGTTTTTGCTCCAAATCAAGCACCAGCAACTGGACCTTTTGGCTGTCTTTAAGTAAACCAGTTTAGCTGCAGAGTTGATAATTATTTTATTGCTACTTGTGAAATTCAATTTTGATCCATGTTTTAACACACATTATCTGATGCTCGTGCAGTTGGGATTCTGGTTTGTTTGGTAAGGAGGAGAGGAGAAAATGTTGAGGATCAAGAAATCGTGCTCTGCTGGTTCTTCAACACTGCAGCAGCTGGTTATTAATCTTTGAATATATGGGCCTTTTTCTTCTTCTTTTTGATTCATTTTCTATTATGCTACCACCAGAGAAAAGGGGAAGGACAAAATGAGTTATAATCTATTACTCTTTACATTTTTAGGTAGCAGGAGCTGGAATTTTAGCAATGAGAACATACTCAACTGCGACTAAACAGGTTATTAACATCACCATTTTTTTGTTTATAAGAAATATAAAATAAAACAACTTCCTGTTTTTCATCAGGGAGAACGAAATAATTTAGTTTAAGCTCTTCCATCCCCTCCCCTGCAGATAACAATTAGGGAAGCTCTCAATTCGGCCATTGATGAGGAAATGGCTGCTGATCCCAGGGTCTTTTTGATGGGTGAAGAGGTAGGTACACGTGTGTGTGTGTGTGTGTGTTTAGAATGCTAATAAGTTGAAAATTCCAGCTTGATGATGGTTGATTTCATTTTCTGTTAAATGTGATATTATAGGTGGGCGAGTATCAAGGTGCATACAAGGTCAGATTACTTTGTCGATAGTTGTGTTGATTTTGTTGATCCTGTTTCAGTTCAATCTAGAGACAATATGCCCAATTGATTGCTGAAAGGTCTCCTCTGGTTTTTTTCTTTGTGGAATTGGTAGGTTTCAAAAGGACTCTTGCAGAAGTATGGTCCTAAACGGGTTGTTGATACCCCAATTACTGAGGTGTTTTGTTCATTCTATAACCGACAAATGATCAGTCTATCAACAGCCTTTTGGCTTTTGGAAGTCACAAAACCATTCATTAAGTTATTTATCCTTGGTTCACTTTGCAGGCTGGTTTTACTGGTATTGGTGTTGGTGCCGCATATCATGGGCTCAAGCCTATTGTGGAGTTTATGACATTCAATTTTGCAATGCAGGTTAAGAAGTCTTATTTTAAATGTCAAATTATCTTTGAATTTATCTAGATTCAGTTTTAATGATAGGTTTATAAATGTGGATTCAATACATCGATGCGATTTTCTTATTAATTTGATGTGAGTTTCATTTGGATTGCAGGCGATGGATCATATCATTAACTCTGCTGCTAAAACATGTTACATGTCAGCTGGAAATATAAATGTTCCTATTGTTTTCAGAGGACCAAATGGTGCTGCTGCTGGTGTAGGTGCGCAGCATTCGCAGGTATTATGAGCAGTGACTGATTGAGGCATGTTGTGACTATTGAGTATTGATTTAGTACTCACATGTAGGCTGTAGCAAAATGGAAAGACTCTGAGTAGAGATGATTCCGAGGGTCTAATTATGATCTTGTACTTGCATTAGTGTTATGCAGCTTGGTATGGCTCCGTGCCTGGATTGAAAGTCCTTGCTCCATATAACTCAGAAGATGCTCGTGGACTCCTGAAGGCCGCAATCCGGGATGATGATCCTGTTGTTTTTCTCGAAAATGAGTTACTGTGAGTTTAGCCGCTGCTCTGTAGGAACACTCTCATTCATGGTATGGCACACACATTATTGATCCTAATTTTCCACTCTTGAGCATCAGATATGGCGAAGCTTTTCCTGTTTCAGATGAAGTTCTGGACTCGAGTTTTAGCCTTCCCATTGGAAAAGCTAAGGTAAAGTTCACAGTGTTCCAGTTCCCATACTTAATCACGGTTTTCCTTGCTAGCATTTTCTACTTAACAGCCTGGTTTGACTTAATATCCTGATCCTAAATATGGGTGATAGATTGAGAAAGAAGGAAAAGACGTCACCATAACAGCATTCTCTAAAATGGTGGGCTATGCTCTCAAGGTTGTGCCTCTCCAACTGTGCTCACTCATTTTGGTACTAATGTTTGCATGATGCATCAGTGCAAATTAGTGGAGTAATGCAATGCATTTAACTATGGTGCAGGCAGCGGAGATCCTCAAAAAGGATGAAATAGATGCAGAGGTAGGTTCTCCTGGTAATTCTTTTCTAGGAATGAAATGTGGCCACTTTTCCAACGTGGAATATTTTTCATGGAATGCAGGTGATAAATCTGCGCTCTATACGTCCTCTAGACCGCTCCACAATCGTAGATTCTGTTGTTAAAACAAACAGGCTTGTTACCGTTGAGGAAGGTTTCCCTCAACATGGTGTGGGTGCTGAAATCTGGTCAGTAAAGTAGGTTAATTGGGATTAATGGTGTTTCATTTTCAGGAGTAGTAAAAATGTTGTTTTTTTTTTAAAACCTAACAGCGCGGTGGTGACTGAGGAAATCTTCAATTACCTTGATGCTCCTGTTGAGAGGATCTGTGGAGCAGATGTTCCTATGCCATATGCAGCTAACCTTGAGAGGCTTGCTCTTCCACAGGTTGGTTGTGTCCAACTAGTGTATCCTGATATCGATCCAAATGTTTACTTTTGAGAGTGCCTTTTCAAAGATTAGCCGTTTATGGTTTTCTGATGTGCTTTAACACAAATTGATGAATTCTGATACGTTGCAGATTGAGGATGTGGTTCGTGCAGCTAAAAGAGCGTGCTACAGATCTGTTTAGAGTCGGAGAGACTTCTTCAGTAGTTGTGGAGTTTGATAATAAAGCATAGTTATGAAAGGCATCAAATCAAGGCGGACACAAGAGGCAGTATTCAGATATTGTATATAGCACTGTCAGAAACTAGTTACTCCATATAGGATAGCGCATATAGCACTGTCAAAAACAAATTACTCCATCCGATTTTGGGACGAGGAAGTAATAAATTTCAAAGTGGACAATCATTTCGGGACAAAGAACTAGTAATTTGTCGATGATGGTGGTGGGGTTATGTGCAATAGGTTTTTTTTTTTTTTTAATTGAGTTTAAAACATTCCAAGAATTGCTTTGGAGCACCCACTGTATGACAAAATAGAGAAAATGATACGAGAACATTCATTGCGCTCGACTCGATATCCGTATTTACGAAAAGTATAATACTAGTTTCAAGCAACGCTATACTACATCACTACAGTACATACCACAAGAAAAACATCATACAATATCCAGGAGGAAAATCTGATGGTTATACTGAAAGTAAAATGGGCTACTCTTGGGTTGAAGAGTGAACCGGGCCTCCTTAACTAGCCCAAACAAATAAAGACCCGGTTTCTCCACCCGATACTTTCTCCTTCGCCCCCAATCCATTCTTTTTAATTGGTTTAGGCCGTGGTAAACCAGACTCAAATGAGCAATTGAATGATCGAGTCGGGGGGATTTGAGATTGGTGGTTGGATCTTCCGGTATTGACAGCCATTGTGGTGGTGGTGAAGGGATCTCCGGTGGCAATCCGCGGTTGGTGATCGAAGATTCCAGAATCCGACGATCATTATTTTGGCGCCTGGTTAATCATATGTTCCGTCACATCGAATTCGTTTGGACATGTGAACTCACCGGCATTGAATTGAAGATAAAACAGGAACGGAATTCGCACACGTGTGTCCATTATTAACAACTTTGATACTAACTCCGTTGGGTGTGGGTTTTTATGTGATTTGGAGCAATGGAACTCACCTTTGCCCCAGAAAACAGAGAAAAACGTCAAACACTTTTTCGTTTTTCTTGGAAAAGATACATGTGTATTAATTAAGGGATATCTAGACTATTACAACGCATACGATTATAGGCCAGATTATGCATTTCTAGTGCATCCAGGCGACTCACTTTATAGTCAAACACTTCTTATGTTGCAGATTGGTGCAGCTATTGCAGTCTCTTTTACTACAATAAATAAAGCTGCCACTTCTCTTATGAGGCTTTTGGAAGTGACTTTGTTCATCTGTGATGATTGGAGGAGGAAGAAGCGACAGGAAGACTTTAGACATCCAACGGATCATCTAATCCATTCCAGGATGTTTTCCTTTTTCCTTTTTCCGTTTCTTTTTCTTATATGGGTTTGCTAATGGTCTTTTTCTGTTTGGATGATTTTTTTTTTAGTGCACTCTACAGAAATATCCCACAAAGAGAGGAAATTTGCAATATATGAAAATGGTGAAAACGATTGTTAATAATGAGCACAAACCCTCTATTATCAAAGCACGCCTTTTTTTTTTTTAATTCACTAATTTAGAGGGCTTATCCAGTACATTACTATCCTGATCGTCACAAATCAAATTTTCTTTTCTTTTTTTTTTAAAATTTTTTTTTATCAATTCTTTGGTACTACTAGTCTTTCTAAATTGTTGTGTGATTCCGTAGCTCACTGTCCAAAAGAAGGAAGCAGATTATATATGATGATGGTTTCTTCTTTCTCGGGACAAGCTGGTCCTGCAATTTCTTTAATTTATTTGTTGGCTAAGTATTATCTGTAACAACAATTTAATCTTGTTATCTACTTCTAACCCCTGCAGGAATGAGGCGATGAGAGTTAGTATCATGGATCAAAACTGGAACTGAAACAACTTGCCAAACGATAAATGCCTAAAGGGCAGAAGCAGTACCGCCATAACTTGAAGCATGATATACATTTCCCTGAGCATGGATGTAACATTTCATTTTTCTTTTAGTTTATATTCCCTCGGTCCCAAAATTATTGTCTAGTTTGAAATTTCATTTTTAATACAATTTGAACTAAAAATGAAAATCCAAATTGGACAATAATTATGGGACGGAGGGAGTACTTTATAGAGTGCATGTAGAATGTAGATATACTAATTTTAATGTCACCGTAATAACTGAGTCAATTAATTAAGAGGATTGTTGACTTGGTTCCTGATCTTGAACCCTTTTAAACCAACTTTATTGTTGGAAGGAATAAATTAATGTTTATCTTAAACAAAACAGAAAACATTTTTATAATGAAAACCCCATATTTTGTTTAGATATGTTTCTATATAGTTGTGAAAAGAGAATGACAATGAGAAAGTAGCAGAAAACTCATCATTAATAAAAGACAGTGCGAATGGCAAGAGAAAATGAAAAAGAAAAAAGAAAACGTTCATATGTTGGAAACTATAAAGGGTGAAAGGGAAGAACTATCTTCCGGACTTACAAGCTAACAAAACTTTTCAAAGATGCAAACAAAGAAATGAGTACTAGATAGGCGAGAGGTAAAAGTTGTTTCGACCAAAAATAATTAAAAAAATCTTGAGAGAATTATAAACTAGTTATCATATATTCATATCCTATATATATTTCCTCCAATCCTCAATAAAAGTAACTAATTATCAATAATTAAAAAATATTTAAATTAATTTTTTTTTTGGTTGAATTACCTCTATTACCATTTCAAGGATGTCCCTACGTTTATAGGAACCAAACAAAAGAAAACTACCGAATGTAATACCTACTTCAAAATACACCATGGTTTACTGAGAATAAATAATGTATTTTATCACAATGTATTATTATTGCAATATGACCTCTTTTTTTTTCTAATTAACATTGGAATATGACACAATTGGCTTCAATCTTGTTGACTGATTAATCAGTAGAGATGAAGTTCGCGACTTACATAATTTAACATATTCTAAAGTCCAATATAATAGTGTTGGTACTTTAAATTAATATACATATACTACTTAAAAAGAAAAAAGCATTGAGTTTGTTGACTTTTTTTCCCCTAATCTATTATCTTGCTAATGTTAATAGCAAATGTTTCTTTTTTGGTATAAATATCAGGGCAATAAAACCTTAACTACAGTAAAAAGAAAAAGAATCCATCTAAAAATTTGGTGGAAATCTTAATAAAAGGTTCAACCAAGTTATGTTTCATCACTTGCATAAATTAATTTTTAAATCTCATAAAACTAGGTAATTGTGAGGGGAATGTAAAAGCACTACGAAGTCATCGGATATTGCAAAGTACTAAAGGGCCTTTGAGAAAAAGATGCTGACAAGAAAATAGAAACAAGAAGGAACAGAAGAAAGAAGGCACGCACAGATATAGATTCTCAATTCCATTTGAGTTCGAACAAATCACAAATGGATTAAATTAAACAGCCAAATTGTTTGGTGGGAAGAACTGCTTGGTGCTCTGTGCTCACCCTCCCAGCTAGCTAGCTTCTCAAGAAAAAAAAAAAAAAAAAACAAAAATACACACACAAATACAACAGCAACAAAAGCCGAAAACATTGGGAGCCATGTAATTCTATTTCTAGTCGTACAAATAGGAAAAAGTGTTTAAAGCGAACACATACTTCATTTATATTACTCCCTCCGTATCATAATTATTGTTCACTTTGCCCAAAAAATTTTGTCTCAAAATTATTGTCAATTTGACTTTTTATGGATCAAGTTACACATTTGTCTCTAGTAACAAACATTATCCATAAAATCTTAGTGGTTAAACAATTACTTATGTAGGGATATATCTGGTTGTTTAAGGTAAAAAATAGTTAAGTTTGACCAAAAATAAAATCTTTTATTTTAGTAAAATTGGACAATAATTATGGGACGGATGGAGTAATTAATTTTTTTTATCAATACATCCAAGATTGTGTGTGTGTGTGTGTGTGTTTTCTTTCTTTCAATTATGTTGGAACGAGGGGAAGAGAGTAAAATTGTTAATGAATATAATAAGTATTTGGACAAGATTCAAAAGAATTTAATTTCCAAGAGCGAAAAAATAAGGAAGGGTGTTAGAGAAAAACAAAATTGAAGTGGTAAAATGAGAATGAGTTCCGCTACATATAATGAAAAGAAGAAGATGAGGTACCACAAATTTTAATTTTAATTGGTATAGGTTTTATAAATGTACACCTCATGAAACAGTAGGTACAATCTGAAAAATTGGCCCCCCTAATCTTGAGTCTTTCCATCTATCCTTTTCATTTTCATCAACGGTGCATGGTTCAGAGATGCAACAGTTAAAAGAGTTTTTAGAGAGAGGGCTTGGGTGAGAGAGGGGGGTCTTTCTTCTCTGCATAGATTCCTTTTGATGATCGATCAGCCATGCAAAGTACTGATAGAAAAAGAATGCTTCCTTTTTGTGATTATTTGTCCTCTTTTATGTCTCTTTTCTTGAGTTTTTCCCCCTTTTAGATTCTTCCCATCCTTCCTCTTCTCTATCTTCCCCATCTAATATTCTCTCTTCCATGTGGTGGACCGCTTTGCTGTACATCCATATGTTGATGCTTAAGAGGCAAACAGCGAGATTGTTTAGTTTCTTTAATTTTGGCTTTCTAATTTTCTCTCTTACATATGTATATGTTACGACTCTCCATATTTCTTAACTAGTGAGTTAATCAACATTCACGGTCAGACGGGGATTTACAATGGGGCACGTACCCCTACTTAATTTCATGAATGGTAAAAAATTATAAAAATTAACTCATTTATTTTTTTAATTAAATCTTTTTAGATGATATCTTATATTTTGCTATTTACGTAAATTTTTATCACCTTAAGTTACTACTATGTGTCATTTATTGTTTAAATAGAGTATCAGTACTAATAAATATATTTATCCATTTGATGATGATATGTTATCTTAATGATTTAAAATTGTACTTAAATATATATAACTTATATTAGTCATGTACAATTCACGTGCAAATCAAGTGTAAACTTGTGCAAATCACGTGTATATGTTTATTTATAAAATTATGGAAAAATAGATTGATTGATATATGTTAGTCTCGTGCTCATACTAAAAATATTTATGACTCCGCCATTGTTCACAGTCTCTAAATGTTGTAACAATACCAAAAAAAACAATAAAAATAAATCTAATAAGCATCATTTGTACTCCCTAATAGTTGTCCAATTTGGATTTTCATTTTTAGTTCAAATTGTACTAAAAGTGAAATCTCAAACTGGACAATAATTTTGGAACATGAGTGTGTATTAGGGAACTAATTACCTCGCAGGCATTACTCAAATATTAAGATTGATTTTTGGTTCTCAAAATTGTGGAGGTTGACTTCACCCGCGGGTTGGCTAAAGGAGTTGTTGATGATTTCCAAATCTTACGGAATGTCAATGTAATTTAGTGATCTACTCGAAACACGTCTATACACTATAGATATATAGTTATTAACATAACCCGGGAATTGAGCAACCTGCCTATCGATATTGAACATGCTATACAATGAATGCACGAGCTAATGATCGATAAACATGTAATACCACCTTGGAACAACATTATCGATCATTACGTGCTATTCCAATTTCAATGGATCCGAAAATTACAAACCACAACGGAAAAGCTACGTAGTCTATTGATTTAATACTCTCTCCGTCCCATAATTATTGTCCAGTTTGAGTTTTCATTTCTAATTCAAATTGTACTAAAAGTGAAATCTCAAACTGGACAATAATTTTAGGACAGAGAGAGTAATTTTTTTTTAATCGAAGTACACTATTTTATTTTTTTTTTGAGATGTGGGAATAAAAAAGTTATCCAATTAACTTTACAAATGAGAAGTTGTGCACTAATGAATTCCAGAAAAAATTTGACATCCAAATCCTTATGATGAAAATGGTTACCAAATGTTTCCTACTCAACAATAAAACAAAATTGATGACATAAAGAAGAAGAAGAAGAAGAAAAAGAATGATACCAAGACAATTACATTACTCATACAAAAAGAACTAACTAAACTAGGATTAAGGGAATTAATAAGAATAATATATAATACTAATCTCACTATTAATTAATTGATTGAATGCCCGTCCAAAGGATCAAAACGGAGAAGTTGGCCGGAGCATTTGGGGCATTCTTCCACCTGTTTAGGCACCATGAAATAGAGGTAACACCATTTGCATCCGGCCAGCACCAACACTTCTTGGCTCCTCTGATTGATGCAATCATCAATATTATTATTATTATATGGGTTGATGATGCTGCTTCCTGGGTTCTCCAATTCAACCTCCCCTCCTTCCCAAAATGGATGAAGGTATGTGGGACGGCATCCCGCCGGTGAAACTCCGGCGGCGGCGCTGGCGGCGAATTCCTCTACAACTGTATTAATGGTGGTGGTGGATGAAACAGAGGAGTCTCCTTCCTCCTCCTCCTCCAGCTGCTGTTGCATGGCCTGGTCAATCTCTAAACTATCTAAGCTGAGGACATCGTCGAGGTCCAGTTCGGAGGATTCTTCTTCGCTTTCTTCTCGCCGGAAAAACGACATCTTTCTCGGATCTTCTTTGGTTTTCACCCCGGTCTTCCAGTTAATGTAGTATACTTCCCCAGTCTGCACTTGTTACATATTTTTGTGTCACCCACGTTACTAAAGCTAATTTAAAGTGTGTTTTTTTGGTAATAAAAAGGTACTACTTTGAAGTTTCTTACTACTACTATTCAACATTGTGCATTTCAAAAAAATGGAACAAAAAGCATTCAAATAATGATGAAATCTTTAGATAGCTCTTTTTAGGGTTTGAAGAAAAAGTCAAAAAAAAATAATAATAATATTACCAGGCCCCCAGTGTAACCATAACACCCAGAAAGAGAGCCTAAAATTGATGCCTACATAGTTGAATGTTCTAAAAAGAAGATCCCATTTCTACTGGATAATCAGGTTTTGCGAGAATAAATACAGAGTTATTAAGGAATAAAGGACAGATGCAGTACAGGAATTAACAAAAAAGTATTCATTTGAAAACGGAATTCAGGAATCCTTAACCATAACCCAAAAAAAAATAATAATAATAAATAAAAAAACAGAGACACAGAGAGAGGAGAACATTACTTGCACATCGAGGCATTGTTCCCATGGGTAAGGCATTCGGATATGAGAATTGAGTTCTAAGGATTGGTTTGGAGAGGATTCATGATTTCCAAAATTGCTCCCCACAGATTCTGATGTGATGATTGACTGGTAATTCCCTCCGCCGCCGCCGGTGATAATGTCACCGGTGCCGCAGTTTAATGACAAATTCTGAAAGGAAGACTCAATAGATGATGATGTAGTGGTATGTGTGGAATGGGTTGTTCCCATGTTTATAAATTTGACCCGTGATTGTCGCTGACCCGAAAAGAAAAAAAGAATCAATCTTTATGGTTGATGATCATCACCATATGATTTCTGTTAAAAGGGGGGAAAAATAGATGAACATGAACAACTCAGAAAGAGCAGAGCAGCCCACAGCAGGATGAGAGAGAATGAGGAATTATTCTCTCTTGGTCCAAGAAAAAAAATATAATGAATAAATTAAAACACATACAAGAAGCGAGTTAACCCAAATATAATCCAGAAACAAAGAGGAAAAGAAAATGCTAATATTCCACAAAGAAATACTAATAAAATAAATGTTGAGAAATAAAAAGAAAAAAAAGGGAGAGGTGGAATTGTAGTGGAAATAGGAGTGTATGATTTGTTTGAAAATAATAGTAGTCTAATAATAATAAGATTAGAGATATATTATTGTTTGAGAAAATGCGCGTCACGTCAAGGGAATCTTTCAACCGGAACAGGTGATAAGTCACAGGAGGGAAAACAAAACCCCACCCATAACCCAAATAAAATTTCGGGTTCTAGTTCGGATTGGCCCGAATTCCTTTCTGTCTTCCAAATTAGTACTACTTCTACACTTTGTCACTTTCACCAAAATAGTCCTAGGCACATGCAACACACGTGACTTCACTTTCTCCACATTTTATTCATTTTCGTTTCAGGTTTCTGTTTTGGAAGAAACTTCCTACACTCTTAAAGGTCTAAGCTTAAGCTCATAGGTTTTGCCTTGTCCTATTTCGATTTTAGAAGTAAAGTTTTCTTCATAAAAGCACTATTTGGGTTCTTTCATTTAACTTGTGACAGTATTGAGCGTACAAGGATTAGACAAAGTTCAAACATCGAGCAAATACAACTTCTGATGATACCAGTAATGTCTGGTCGCGCATTGCGCGACCCTGGCCCAATATATCTGTAGATCTTAGAAATATTTGTATCTGACAAAAAAATTTATATTTAGCCTGATATATTTTAGAAATGTTTGAAGAATTTAGAAATATTTTATAAGTGTGATGTTTGTATTTGGCATAAAAAGAAATTGTATTTGGCCCGGTACATTTTAGAAATGTTTGAAGATTTTAGAAATGTTTTATAAGTGTTATTTCTTAAATATAAATAAACTTGATTAAATATATCTCTTGAAATAAATGCTAGACAAAATATAAAAGCATCCTAATTTTTTTTTTTTTGTTTTGGCGAAAATAGGAGGTGGAGGTGGATTTGGACTGCATTTGCTTTTTAACTCTAAGAGATGTGCAAATAAAAATTTATTTTAAAAATATGATGTGAAAATGCCAAATGACAAATGGTGGTATTTTCTCTTAAGTGTGGTTTTTGTTTCTAATATAGTAAGATATACTTCCTCCGGTCCGTATTATAAGCCATTTTGATGTCGTCCTAGGTTTCACTTAAAATATCTTTTTAATTAGAGAAAAAATCTTAAAAAATATATTTTCACATTCGTAATGTTCTCCTAATTATTATGAAATATTTTTAAGTTTTTTTTTTAAATTAAAAAGACATTCTAAGTGAAACCTAAGACGAAATAAAAATGCCTTATAATAAAGAACGGAGTATAATTGGGAAAAGCTCGTAAACAAAAATAGAGAAATTGGAAGAGTGATAAACGGTAACTTGGAACTTGGAGGTGATACACTATAAGCAAGTTTGATGTCATGTAGTTGCTGATTTTTATTTTTTGATAAATATAGTTGCTGATTTGAGTTGGTATAGAAGTTGGTTTAAATTCCAGTTGTCTCACGAGAATGCTTCATATTATGAATTGTATTAAAAAAAATGGTTTTTTTTTTAACCGCTTATATCATTTTTTGTATTAAAATAACACTTCAATTTATAATATAAAATATGAATTTTTTTATTGTACGAACAGATTATAATTTAATACTATTAGAAGATCACGAGTGAAAGACCATAGCCAGAAATTCTAAGCGCAGCCTTAGACCGGTAGTGTTTACAGGCGAAATGTGGAGTTCAAAACATATTTAACATTGTTGTATAATGTTAAAGTTATAGAAAAATAGTTTATTTCTTAATTTCTCTATACTAGGAATGAAAGTCCAAACTGAATAATAATTTTAAGATAGAGAGAGTAATTTTATATTATACACTTAGTGTATGAAGTCATTGTTATAATTAATCCTAATTCAAATTGGGTAAATTCCTTTTATCTGATAAAACTCTTCCAATAAGAATTTTAAAAATACTCCATTTGTTATACTTAGCCACGAGGACACGATTAATCCATATTGCCCCCGAGACACAAGACAGCACAACAGACGTTTAAAGCAGCAGCGGCAACATTAACAATCGGTGAATACACACACACACAATTACCAAAATTATTAAGTGAATGAAAAATAAATAAATTAATTGTGTGTGTGAAAAAAAATGTGTTTCGTTGATGCCACCCTTTGATCCAACCGCATGGTCCGGCCCATGCCACATTTTGGGGCCACATCATCATATTCCGATTTCCCGGTTTTTACGCTGCGTTTATAGAAGATTACTCGAAGTCGAAACTCAAAAGGGTTTGCCACACTTATACCTATGTGCGGGAAAGAAAATGTTGCGATTTGTGTATGTGAGTGATACCAAAAGCCGACAAGGGTTGTTCGAATGATAGTGGGCGTGATATCAAAAACTTGAGGTTCTAAGAAGTCTCAGGTTCAAATCCCGTCAAGAACACTTTAAATGCTGCTTATGCAGGCTTACAGTTAGGAGGCCAGAGACAGTTTCAGAATTCAACTTGTAGTCCAGGAGGGCGCGTAACAAAAGCGTGCACGTATAGAATCTCTCCCTAGTAATAGTATCCCCTTTCTTTATTAGACTTCACAAGTGTAATAGCCTAAGACTAAACAAGTGCAGGGACTTACCAGCTTCGACGTGGAACACCCATCAGCAATATTGATCTCAGTTGCAGCTCAGTGTAGAAGCAATTTTTTTTCATTGAAGTCTTGGGGACAAGACTTATTTTAGGGGAAGGGTTTGTCATGTTTTAAGGGTCTTTTTAAATTATTTTATAAATTTGAAGGATCAAGGTGTAAATTTGACAATAGTATTTGCTAGGATTAAATAGCTGTAAGCAGCATTTGTGAGGGATTATCGATGAATTCATGAATGCTAATGCATTTTGATCTGAACTCTGATTCCTCCCCCAAATTCCCTGTTCTTCCCCTTCACTCTCATCTCCCAATTGTTTGGGTTCTAATCTCACCCTCTATAGATCTGAAATCTACTCTCTCCACTTCTAATTCTCCCCTTTCACCCTCTTTTCTTCGAATTTTTGGAAATTTTAGGTCATTTCGTGACATTTGGTATCAGAAGTAATACCAAAAGCAAATTGGTAGAACTCTTTCTTTTATTTTCCATCAAATATTAGTAATTCATGTTTTCTTTTTTTTTTCTTCTTTAAAATGACCTCCAAGAAAAATTCAAGATGTTGGATATTTGTTCGTATTATATTGAAATTATTGATTGGGCTATGGTAATCAGAATTTGGATAAAATCCTTCTGAGTAAGAACATGGCGTCCTTGAGAATCTCTGGAAAGGTTGAACTGTTTGTTTACTATCCTGCAGAATACATAGACGCATAAAAAGGTGGCCTTTTTGTCCCTTTTTGCTTGTTGCTGTTACGTACCTCTGTGGAGCAACATATTTAAGAAGCAGGGAATAAAGTTTCAACAGTTTTATGCAAGGACAAAAATGGACGAAATATTCTTTCCTGTGACTTGATAACAACACTACACCATTGAAAATGAGAATTAGTTCCCTTTCTTTTGAAAATTTCTCTATTTTTATGCCACCATTTCAACATACTAAATACCCTCAAACTAATCCTTTTATCTTTGACTTCACATGGAGAGTTCTTACTATATAAAAATATTAAAAGAGATAATACAAATTAATTGGGTAGAAGCCTCAGTCCCTCGTTTGGTTACACATCTTCGTGGTTTTTTTTTTTTTTCCCATTATTAAACTTGATTACAAAATATTTCTTTGCAATTGGGATGACTTAGATCGTTGCCTTTACGGAATCTACATTATACTCCGGATGTAGCTCGTTGCCATTACCTACAAAATATTTCATTGCAAAGGAGTACATTGGTATTACATTACACCTTTTATATTCTGGATTCATCGTAATTTCTGTCAAAATCCAGCCAATTGGGAGGAGCAAGCCCAAGTAAAGTACATTCTCCAGTTGAGGTCCATTTACATATTCGAGCCCAAGTAAATCGCTTTTGTTTGTAAACGTTCAAAGGATATCTCCACAATTCAACTACAAATATGTATACAGCATACTACTCTTTCCTTTGAGTAAAACACATTAGAGCCATTTGAATATTTATTATAGTTCTTAAGAAAAGGTAACTAATCAGTCTAATCTAGTTTATGTGGTTCATTTTTAAGTCAAATTTCTAACACACTCCTACTAATGACCAATGAGTTATTAACAGTTAAAATTAATTAGATGTTGTTGATTTTAGTGTAAGTGACAAGGTTATATTAGTGAATATACAAATAAAAGTTACTCCTAAAAAAGAAAGTGAGTTCATTGAATTGAAACATTACAGTTTTTACATATAGAACCTCTCGTTATTTTTACTTTCTTTTTTTCTTTTTCTTTTTTTTTTAAACAAATAAGAACATATTATACTAATGTTAAATGAATAGTTACAGGGGATGATTTGGAAGTCTTTTGATCTTTTCCTAGTTCTGGTCTTTAGAACCTCTCGGTCAATATCAGAATTTTTGACCTTTTTTCTAACGCGAATTGGCCAGCCAATGATCAATGTCAAACACGCTTTTGTTCACCAAAAGTCCAAAATTAAGGGACCATGCTTTTGTTTTGTGAATAAAGGGACCATTTAAATGGGGAAAAAAAAAAGTAGGAACTAACGAAAAGAATTAAATTATACGTATTATTTATATTCTTCATTTATAGTTTATCAATTTAGGATTTGGAGGATAAATTTAAATTTTGTTACTATTTTCTAGTAATCTTTCCTTCTCCACGTGGAGAATCACTACTCTTATTTCATTGACTAGTTTTTTTCCATTACATTTCCAATCAGCTCATAGTAATGAAAGAAAATCAGAACCGTGTGTGATGGGAAACATCTAATGCATACTTTTAGATAATACTCCTTTTGGTCCTTATTATAAGTTATTTTAATTTGTCTTAAATTTCAACTAATATGTTTTTTTAATTGAAAAAAAAAACTTTGAAACTGCATTTTTCACATTCATTGTGTTATACTAATTGTTATAAAATATTTTTTAATTTTTTTTAATTAAAAGAACATATAAACCTAGTACAAATCAAAATATCTTATAGTAAGGACCGTAAGGAGTAGATTACACTTCATTGAATAGTAAAATCATTCCACTTAGCCGTGCTACACTATTAATCTTTTTAAATGAAATCAATATTCAGCTATACGATCGTTCGTCCTAATTTATTTTGAAGAAAAACGCACCTTTTTTTAAAATCATCTCAAGCTATTCCTTAAGAATTACCGCTGATGATTGGAATATCTTTTTCAATAGAGTAAAAAATAACTATTTGCATCAGAAATTTTTAAATGTGAAGTAATGGCGAAAGAAGAGAAATTAAAATGTCTTTTGAAAAAGTAAAAGGGACTTTTTAGACGATGGTCCAATGAAACATTCTGAAAACTTGGTATATAAAGGTAAAGAGATGGATGACTAATTAAAGACATCGTTATTTTTACAAAGAAAGAAAGGAAGAAAACATTTCCCATCTCCGTGTTGGTTCAAAGAAGATTTCTTCTCGGTTGACAGACAAATCAGAGATGGCCGCCAAGACGACTGATCAGGAGCCGGCGATCGGAATACCCTACGATCCGGCCTACCACCAATACAACAACAACCATCCTCCTCCTCCGCAATCATTCTACTACGTCGGCGCTACTGAAAACCCATACCAAGCCGGGATGATCCCGCCGAACGCCGTCTTCGGAGACCCCAAAGGGATACCGATTCAACAGACTATTTACAGAGATACACCCGCCCCTTTCAATTGCCTTCACTGTGGTTCATCTGCTCTCACCAACATCAAGTAATTTGAATTTTTCCCTTTCTTTTTTGATTTATCTTGATTTTCTTTTTGGTTCATTTTCCCCTTCATTGAATGATCGATTGAGTTTGGTCGGTAGTCTTATTGAATTACCCGACTCTTGTTTTTTGGTATGTTGCAATCTTCTTGACAAATATGTGGCTTCTTTTTTGGGTATAGTTCTGATGAGATTTTGATAACGATTTTTGTTAGGAGAATTGGTATAGGTTATTTTCCTCGGTTTTATTAGTACAATTATCCATGAATTATCTGTGTTATTGTAACTGTTGTAAACCCTGTTTTGCTGGTTGAAATTTAGGAATTTTTGTTATGAAATTTGCAGGATGTTGATATCGTTCTTACGATACAACTTTTTTTGATGACTACTTCTTACTTATTAGCCGTTGTTGTTTACTAAAATTTCCAACCAATTCTTCCCTCTTCCCTTTAGTGATGCACTTGCCACATTCTACTCTTCATGTGTCTTATAAACCATCCCTCACATTATAGTCAGAAATATTGAGTAAAAGTAGTTGTTGATATAGACACCATGTTAGTGATTAATTAACTTTAGATTTTGCTCGGTTTGTTTCCTTGAGCTTGGAACAGTAATAGGAGAGGCAGTGTGGTGCTATTGTAATAACTTATTGGTTTCTGATCACACACGTAGTGATAACTTGTTGCGTCTGAGGATATGTTTGTGAATTATTTTTCTTCATGGGGTATGCAGATCAAAACCGAGCCTGGCTGCACTTGTGGGTTGTATGATGCCTATGATGCTTGGAGTTTGCTTTCTGTGTCCTAGCATGGATTGCCTTTGGCATAAGTATCACTATTGTCCAAGTTGCGGAGAGAAGGTAACAAATTGTGGCTTTTTTGATGTTTAGTAGAATGAGGACCAATAAGTCCCCATGTTAATGTGGTTTTTGATATTTATGTTGTTCCCTCTTTCTGTAGGTTGCTGAATTTGAGAAGTCAGATCCGTGTTTGGTGATGGATCAAACTCAATGGAGCCAGCCGAGTTTTGCCTTGCCTGCCTGAAGGATAAAGTCCATATCAAAGCCAATCTTGTAACTGCTATACTGTAATTTGTATGATACCATGCTAGTGTCCTCGTTTCATTTGAACCTCAGAATCTCTTGTCAAGATCCTTGGAAATTTTTTCTGCCATTGCTTTGTATAAAGTACGGTTCATATTGTTAATATGGTGACTATTGTTTACCTTTGGTTAGTGGTGATAGTCAAGTAGATTCTTCTTGATCATGTCAAACTGTTCTCTATGTTAGCCTACTTTCTTTTGATATGGAGTTGCTTTGACAAATCAGATCCTGGCTGATATTGTATGCCTTGCACTTTGTACTTGTCCTCTGTGTGCATAGTTGTAGCTATGAATGAAAAGTGAGGTTATATGTTGGATCACTTGTTATCTTTGCTGATAGACGGAAAGTGATTGCCTTATGTGTCCAACACGTTTAAAATCCTCTCCCTTCAGAATATGACCTTGAAAATGTTAGATCATTTGATGGAAATGGCCTTGAGTTGTGTATAATTTGCAAAAATTAGTGGCTGCTTGGTTGTTGAGATTGTTTGGAAAGCTGGGGAAGTCATGGATTACTATTGAATTGGATTTATTCTATTCCTTTAAGTAAATAGAACTGAGGAGATCCTTTTTGTTGGTTGTATATTGTGATTGAGTTGTTTGAATAAGCAACTGGTGAAGTTACTGGCTTACTGCTTTGGTTGGGGTGGGAGTTGTTGTTACAGTATGTTGTGTGTTTTTTTTTTTTAATACGTGGGAAGCATGAAGCTTGAATATAAAACATCCTTTAAGATGGGGATGATGAGTTCCTATCTAAAACTAACTGCTTGGGAGCGTTTGACGAGAGTATTGACAAATCTGTAATCTGTTGCATAAGAAAAACCTAATTTCGCTAGTGAATCCGCCGCCTCATTTGGTGTTCTATGAATGAGGCTAAAATGCACTGTCCAATGTTTTTGAAGTAGGGCCACAATGTGTCACAGCACATTGCTGACAGGTATGAACTCGTCATAGCACCTGATGAAATTTAGCGCCTCTGTTGAATCCATCTCCAAGATGACTTTTCTAAAGACAAGATTCCAAGCAATTTGGAGCCCAAATAGGGCCCCCAGTACTCTCTTCCAGGGAATTCTAATTACCCAAGTTTGCTGCGAATCCCGTGATCCAAAGTCCTTTATGTTTTCAATGAGGCATCCGGTTGTTGCCTTTTTAACTGTAGTGGATGCCGCTCTGTCGGTGTTAATTTTGACCCATTTCAATGGTGGGGGTACCATTTGAAGTTGTGATCTTCCCCAGCTCTTGTAATCGGAGCAAAAATTTTGTTTTTTTTTTTGTACATATTTACAGGGTGTCTACCGTCGGCAATAGCGACTAATTCTCCTCGTTGTTTTCAATGAGGCATTCGGCTGCTGCTTTTTTAACTGCAGTGGATGCCGCTCCGTCGGTGTTTATTTTGACCCATTCCCATGGTGGGGGTACCAGTTGAAGTTGTGATCTTCCCCAGCTCTTGTAATCGGAGCAAAAATCTTCTTTTTTTTGTGCATATTTGCAAGGTGCCCATCGTCGGCAACAGTGACTAATCCCCCTCACTGAATTGTAGGCATCTCGATGGGTGGGATAGCTGGCCAAAGTATTTAAGGTTGCTCTATACTCATGGCGAGGTTCGAACCCTCGACCTACGGTTAAGGGTGGAGGAGTCCCTTCACTCCACCACAACCACTTTGGTTAGCAAAAATTTGGTTTGATCTGTCAATTTCTTGTATGTTGTTTCATAAACAAATTTCTCATACACGTTTTCTCATCCAATGATGTTTCTAAATTTGATGGTTGGACCTAGTGCTACTGAAGCCCAAGGATTCGGTTTCTAACTTTAGGTTGGGCCAAGCACTGCTAGAGCCTAGGGATTGGCTTTCCAACTTTTGTTTTGGTGTTAAGCTCTGGATTAGAAATGATGATTTTATTGACGGAAATGAAACTCACCAGCACCGGAATGACGTCGGATCAGTTAAAGAGTACAAATCGGAGCTATCTACGGTAGTAAACTGAGAAAAACAACTTCACACAATTCTTATGACTTATCAATAATAATCTAGAACAATCTTACTTAGATATTTATAGCTAAAAGACAAAATCAACAAACGGATCATGTGCAATCCATCGACCCGACCCGTCTGTGCATGACGCTACTGTGGTTTCCTGCGCTGCGCCAAAGTCGAATTCAAACTTCCATCGACTTCCTGAATTTAGCGGGCATAACATTCCCTCCCCCTAAAAACAACACTTGACCTCAAGTTTGGAATCCTAGAAATTGGCCTTTGATGAAGCTACAATCCTCTCAAGAAGCATCTTCTATATCCAATTTTTTCCACTTGATCAACCATTGAATCACTTGCTGTCCACCCCTACAAATGAATCTCCTTTGCAGCACTTGTTCAAGCTTCAATGCACAAGATTGAGGATAATCCAAATCTGGCAGAATGGTAATAGAAGAAGGAGCCGGTCCATGATGTTTCTTTAACAAAGATACATGGAAAACTAGATGAAGCCTAGAACTAGGAGGAAATTCCAACTTGTATGCCACACTCCCAATTCTTTCCAGGACCTTGAAAGGACCAAAATATCTGAACATAAACTTCAAGCAGCTTTTAGAAACCAAAGTTTGTTACCTGTATGGTTGTAGTTTCAGGTAAACTATTTCTCCAACCTGAAAACTCCTTTCAGTCCTCAGTTAGTGAGCATACCATTTCATCTTTTCTTGAGCCTTGATCAAGCTATCCTTTAACTTCTGCATGATCACTTGTTGCTGTTGAAACATATTTGCAGCTGCTTGAATGATAACATCATTGTAAGTCCCCAGAGGTATACCAGCAGGTTGGAAACCATACAGTGCCTGATATGGAGTCATCTCAGCACTAGAATGAAAGGCTATGTTATTACACCATTCCGCTAAAGCAATCCACTGTGACCATGTATCGGGAGGTGAATGGCAATAGCACCTCAAATAGCTTTCTATACACTGATTTAATCTTTCAGTTTGGCCATCAGTTTGTGGGTGCTAGGCAGTGCTCAAACTCAATTTAACTCCCATGACCTTAAAGAGAGTTTGCCAAAAATGACTGGTGAAAACCTTATCCCTGTCAGTCACAATTGGCTCTGGTAAACTATGCAATCTATACACTTCTTTTAAGAACTTATCAGCCACTTCTTTTGCAGTAAAAAGATGCCTGAATGCTATAAAATGACCATATTTAGTAAGTCTGTCAATAACCACCAACAAGCAATCAAATCCGTCAAGAGATAAAGGTAGTTTCTCAATGAAATTCATAGAAATACCTTTCCAAGCTTTCTGTGGGATAGGTAATGGTTGCAACAACCCAGAGGAATGAACATGTTCCACTTTGCTGGCCTGACATATAGAACAGCTTCTCACAAATCGCTCCACATCCTGCTTCATGTTCACCCACTTAAACAAGCTTTTCAATCTTTGGTAAGTAGCTTTCTGACCTGAATGACTCCCTAAGAAGAAGAATTAAAAGATTCAAGCAATAATTTTCTGATGTCACCATGACTTCCCACATAAATCATACCATCTACCTTCAACAGTCCCCCAACATACTGCCACTAAGGGTTATTATCAGCATCCAAGAAAGCAGCCAATATCATCTTTTGTGATTCCTCATCACCCATGTAACTGGTGGCTAACTGTTGTAACCAAATTGGTTGAACAGTGGTTACAACACATAACTGATCATCCACAGGGCCAACACTCCTAGAAAGTGCATCAGCTGTCACATTGCCTTTTCCCTTCTTATATTGAATTTCATAATCCAATCCCAGCAATTTCACTAACCATTTTTACTGTAAAGGAGTAGTAATCTTCTGTTCCAACAAGTATTTAAGAGCCTGATGGTCAGTCTTTATAATGAAATGATTACCTTGTAGATAATGCCTCTACTTAGTATTAGCCATTACTAATGCCAACAACTCATTTTCATAAGTGGATAGAGCCTTATTCTTCTCACAGAAAGCCTTGCTGAGATAAGCAATAGGTTGGCCATGCTGCATTAGTACAGCCTCCATACTATCACCACAAGCATTAGTTTCCACCACAAAAACTTATGTGAAATCAGGAAGCTTTAAAACAGGTGCAGAAGTAAGAGCATGTTTCAGCTGTTAAAAAGACTTAGTTGCCTGCTCATTCCACTTGAACTCCCTTTTTTCCTTAATAAACAAGTGAGGGGTTTACTCAACAAACCAAACCCTTTTATGAACCTTCTGTAGTAACCTGCCAAACCTAGAAGTCCCCTCAATTCCTTGACAGTTTGAGGAACAAGTCATTCCACAATTCCTTGAACCTTGGAGGGATCCATATGAACTCCTTCTGCTAAAATCACATGGCCAAGATACTCCATGGATTCTTGTGCAAATGAGCATTTAGACCTCTTGGCATAAATTTGATTATCCACCAAAATCTGTAATACTTTTTCAACCTGCACCACATGATCTTGCAATGTGACACTGTAAATCAGAATGTCATCAAAGAAGACTAACACAAATTTCCTGATATAATCCTTGAAAACCTTGTTCATGAGGTTCTAAAAAGTTGCTGGGGCATTAGTAAGCTCAAAAGGCATTACCAGGAACTCATAATGTTCATGATGAGTTTGAAAGGTTGTTTTTGGGATATCCTCTTTACGGACTCTTATTTGATGGTATCCTGATCTCATATCTATCTTGGAAAAGTAGTGAGATCCATACAACTCATCAAGTAATTCTTCAATCACATGAATGGGATACATGTTCTTAACAATGAACTCATTTAGGTGCCTGTAATCAGTGCACATCCTCCAACTGCCATCTTTTTTCTTAGTCAACAAAACAGGAGATACATAAGGGATGTCACTCTCCCTAGCAGTTCCCTTTTTCAACAAATCATCCACCTGAGCTTTAATCTTATTTTTGTGGGCATGGGGATACCTATAAGGTCTCAACTTAAAAGGTTCAGCTCCGGCTTTCAATATGATCTAGTGATCCACAGACCTTTTTGGTGGTAAAGTGGTTGGCTCATCAAACACTTGTTTGTACTTTTCTAAAAGAACTTGTTTCTCCTCATGAATTTCTTTCTCTTCTAAGCAATTCAAAGCTGCAACAGTTGGAGCATTCTTTTTTTTTCCCTGTTAGTCTCATCTTCACACCATTTCAACCTTGTATCAGAAAAAGTAAACTGTATTTCTCCTCTTTTTCATTTTGGTTGAGCCTGTCTAAGAAGTCCTTGTATTTCCTCTTCAGCTGCCAAAGAATGCCCTTGGATCATGAATCTCCTCCCTTGCCATGACATCTCAACGCAACACATGTCATAGTCAAAGAGTATGGGACTAAAGTGGGACATCCAATCAGTACCAAGGATCATTCCCCAAGGACTGAGATCCATAATTCTGAAATCAAATTAAAAATGATGCTTTTGTATGGACCACTTAGCTGCTGGACAGATTAAGTTATTCTTGATTTGATGATGATTAGCCACTTTAACATAGTAAGGCTTAACCACTTTCCTCACGAAACCAAGTTTCTGTGCTAGTGAATTATCCACAAAACTTCTTATTGCCCCAGTGTCAATTAAGATCTTAATCAACTCATCATTGATATACCCAACACCACTATTACTGTTCTTGGTTCTTGCTCCTCTTCACCATTCACTGCCATATATTGATCCCAACACTAACTGGCCTGTACTTGCATTTCAGGAACATATTCTAACTCCTCGCTTATCCAATTAACCTACTCTAAATCAACATCATCCTCCACAATCAGCAAGTTAACATGTTCCATTTTACAAACATGCCCAGGACCCCATGCACCATTATATTTCCAACAGATTATTCACTGTTCTGTACTCCTTTTCCTCAGGTGACAACCTTTTAAAGACTAGTCTATCATTTTTCTTTACCCCTTGAGTAGCTACCTTACCACTAGCATTGGAAGTTCTACTTACTGGGGAAGTAAAAACCTTAGGTTTAGGAACCAAGGAATGAGT